AATCCAGAAAAAAATGTAACTTATGAAAGATACAAATTTTTTACTAGAACTCAAAAACAAGGGGAATCGTATGAAGATTTTTTAATTGAATTAAGAGACTTGAGTGCTTCGTGTGAGTTTGGAGTTCTTACAGAAAGTCTCATCAAGGATCAATTGGTTTGTGGAATTTTAGACATTTCTGTTGTTGATCGTCTTTTACGAATTAAGGATTTGACACTTAATAAAGCAATAGATGTATGCAGAACTTCACATGAAACTAAAAAACAGCTTGAAGATATATATTCCATTAATCCTAGCACATCGGAGAATTCCTATAATAATGAAAACTTTATCAGTAAAATAAATAAAAATAAAAATTCGTATAATATAAGTCATCCAAAAAACTTAAAAATTAATAAGGATCATGACGAGAAATACAAAATAGACTGTAAAAGATGTGGTTATCGACACATAAGAAATAGATGTCTAGCATTCGGAAAGAAATGCATCCTCTGTAACAAATATAATCATTTTGCAAGTCAATGTAATAATCAATATTTGTGTGAAGTTGAAGAAGATAAAAATAATGAAGAGGAGCAAATTAATATTTTGCATTTTGAAAAGATTTTTGTAAATTCAGTTGATAGAAGTTCAAGAGACTGGACTGTCGTAGCAGGCGTAGATAATATACCTCTTACACTTAAAGTAGATACAGGAGCTCAAGCAAATATTTTAGTAGCCAGTAATTTATCTGTTTTAGGTTTAGATAAAAATAATCTTATTCAGTCAAAAGTTAGACTTGCAACATATACAGGTCAGCCAATCAAATGCATAGGCAAGTGCTCCCTGCGTATAAAATACGAAGGTAAAAATTACTCACTTGACTTTTTTGTGGTAGATGCAAATAAAGCATGCAATATTTTAGGACTAGAATCTGCTATTAAAATGGGATTAGTTAATCCTGTATATAAAATTAATGAAGCTAATTTCACTTTAGAGTATGACGATTTATTTCATGGCTTAGGTTGTATGAAAGGTGAATATGATATAAAATTGAAACCTAATGTTTCACCTGTTGTACATGCGAGTAGAAGAGTTCCACTTGCAATAAAACCTCGTTTAAAAAATAAATTAGATGAATTAGAGAATTTAGATGTCATACGTAAAATAACGCATCCAACTGATTGGGTAAACTCCTTGGTCATCGTTTACAAACCTAATGGTGATTTGAGGCTTTGTCTAGATCCTAAAGATCTGAATAATGCAATACAAAGACAACATTTTGAATTACCAACGTTAGATGAAATTACTAGCAAATTGTCAGGTGCGTCATTTTTCAGTACTTTAGATGTTAAAAATGGTTTTTGGAACATAAAATTAACGTCAGAAAGTTCTGATTTATGCTGTTTTAATACACCATTTGGTCGATATAAATTTCTGAGAATGCCCTTTGGGTTATGTAGTGCTTCAGAAGTTTATCAGCATAGAATGCGTCAAATATTAGAAGATTTAGAAGGCGTAGAAGTATATATCGATGATATACTTATTTGGGGTAAGACAAAAGAAGAACATGATATTAGATTAAGGAAGGTATTTGATAGACTTAGGCTAGAAAATGTGAAACTCAATAAAGAAAAATGTAAAATTAATGTCCCTGAATTAAAATATTTAGGTCATATAATAAATAAAAATGGTATAACATTAGATAATAGTAGAATTACTTCAATTATATCAATGAAACGCCCCAGGGATAGGAAAGAACTAGAACGATTTCTAGGAGTAGTAAATTATGTCTCAAAATTTATTAAAAATTTCGCAGCTATAACTTCACCTTTAAGAAATTTACTTAAAAAAGATGTTGAATTTGAGTGGCTACATGAACATGACAAAATTTTTAATGAATTAAAAAATAAGTTAATTAATAAACCAGTATTGCAATTTTTTAATGAAAAGCTTCCGGTTGTTTTGTCCGTGGATGCTTCAAAAGATGGTCTTGGTGCTGTTTTAATGCAAAATGGTTTACCGGTAGCTTATGCCTCAAAAGCATTAAACGAATGCCAAAAGCGTTATGCACAAATAGAAAAAGAATTGCTTGCTATTTTATTTGGTTGTGAAAAGTTTAACCAGTTCATCTTTGGCAGGAAAATAATTATTGAAACGGATCACAATCCGTTAATAGGCATTGTTAAAAAGCCATTAAATTCTTGTTCACCACGAATTCAACGTATGTTGATAAAGTTACTTAAATATGAATTTGATTTAGTGTACAAGCGTGGTAAAGAGTTATATATAGCAGATACTTTATCAAGGTCATTTAACGAAAATGAAATGTTAGAAATAGATTTAGATGAAAAAAATATTGAGGCTAATATTAATATGATGATTTCTACTTTAAATATTAGTCAGAGTCAATTAGGTGACTTTCAGAATTTGACTGAAAGTAATAATGAAATGAGATTACTTAAGGATGTGATTGTTAATGGATGGCCTGATCATAAAAATTCTTTACCTGAAGATATCAGACAATATTGGCATGTTAGAGATAGTTTAACATATAAATCTAACTTAATATTTAAAGGTGATTGTATAGTGATACCTTATGAGTTAAGAAAAGAAATGTTAAGACGTTTACACTATCCTCACTTAGGGATTACAAAAACTTTATTAAGGGCAAATGATGCTATGTATTGGCCTGGTATGATTCACGAAATAACAGACTTGATATCTCGATGTGAAACATGTAAGCTTTTTAGTAACAATAATAAAAGAGAAACCCTAATACCGCATCCGGTGCCAGAATTATGTTGGGAAAAGGTTGGAATTGATCTGTTTGAATTGAATGGTCATACTTATATACTAATAGATTATTTATCCAAATTTCCAGAAGTTGCCCTCTTGAAATCCACTACAAGTGATGAAATCATTAATAAATTGAAGCAAATTTTTAGTCGGTTTGGTATACCCAAGCAAGTAATGAGTGACGGGGGCCCACAATTTACCAGTGACATTTTTAATAAATTTTCTCGAGATTATCATTTTGAACATATTCGATCTAGTCCAGGGTACCCACAGTCAAACGGTTTGGTTGAACGAGAAATCCAAACTATAAAAAAACTTCTTAAGAAAGCATTACATGATGGTAGAGATCCGTATTTAGTTTTGTTAGAGTTTCGTAACACTCCAATATCGAATATCATTCCTTCACCAGCCGAAAATTTATTTCATAGGAAACTTAGAGGTATTATTCCTATGAGCAAAAACATGTTCTTTCCAAAAGTTAATAAAAACTTGAGAAAAAATTTACAGACACGACAAGAAAACGATAAATATTACTATAATAGGAACAAAACTCAATTAAGAAAATTAGCTTATGGAGAGATAGTTTTATTTAAGGTAGGGAGATTCTGGAGGAAAGGAGTGATAAAGGATATATTAAATAGTAGAACGTATAGGATAAAGAGTAATGATAAGTTTTTTATAAGAAATAGGTTTTATATTAAACCTTGTAATTATGATTCTGACGATAGTTCTGAATCCGAATACAGTACTTGTCCTACAAGTGATGTAGATTTGAATGCCCCAACAACTAGTAATAGAGAAGAGGGTTTCTATACAACGTCTTATGGCCGTACTGTTCGTCCGCCAGTAAGATATCCTAATTAATTTAATTATGTTTCCAAATAATAGAGTTACTTATTTAATGTTGTTTTTTTTGTTTATGTTTTTAACATGCTGTTTAATTTAGTTTAAAAAGGGAGATGTTGTATTAGTTTAATTTATAATTTTATAAAACATATACAAACTTTATGATGTTACTATAAATTATATGAAACATAAAACAATGACATTAGAAGATGAATTCTCAAGCTATCATGTAGTTTTATTTTAATTAATATAATATTAATTTAATATAATTATTAACCCAATTATTAACCTAACCTTTGAGTATATAAACGCTTGATCTTCAAAGACCTTTGAGTTCTCCCCCTACTTTCTAATGACCCTTCCACTCACATTCATCCACTTCTTTTTGTAATACATACTTCTTCGCTACGTCCACGTTTTGTTATCGTTGAGTAGTCCTTTTCTTTCATTCTTTTTAAACATATTTCTCAAATACGAATTCAGGCAAACAAAAATAAATATTAGTATCTAGATCTGTTTTTACAGATTTAATAGTAGGTACAAGCTTATTTAAATAAAGCAGATATATTTTGAGATACAGTTTCATAACAATATTACTAAAATCGAATTGCTAGGCTACACTAAAACAAAACCTTGAGACAAAAATAATATCTTATTATAAATATAATAAATTTGTTAAATAAGTAATATAAGGGTCATACACATATCGATGTTCGGATAAAATAACCTGGTTTTTATTAGTCAAAACATGCTGATTTTTAATATTAATTAGACCTATTGTATGCAATAGTATAAAACGAATATTTAAACCTATAAAATATTTATAAATAATAAAAAAAATAATTAAAAAATAATCCTTGTCCCCTTCTGTGGACTGTTCAGATTCGTAGTACGTGTGTTTAAGTATATACAGCTTATTTTTTTATGCACATATTATTAAATAGACAACTCTCATGGACGTATATTATAATAAAGACTAATATTATTTTATAGTTGCTAATACTTGCTTTGGGTTTTCACAACAATTTCAAATAAACAAATGGTTATATGTATATACGTCTTTTCTGTGGAGCAAAAAATCAGCGTATTAAAATTTTCTACTAAACCTACCGTAATTGAAATATTTTTTACACTGGTAACATTAGGGATGGACATTTAAAATATACATCGATGTTTTTTTCGATGTAATGCATCGACCGGTCACATCGATGGTAATACGATGTATTGAGAAATACATCGATGTTTCTTAAACATCGATTGTTTTCGCCATGACGTATTTTAGGTTAGGCCTTAATTAAAACAAAAATATGTATTAATAAAAGCAGGAAATATATTTATTCAAATTCAAAATCACACAGCCAACACATTTTTTTTTACATATTCCAATATTTTTTGTCAATGCTATGTAAAAATAAAAGTTTACTTAATCTTTTCCCCTTCAATCGGTTCCTTCGTTCAGTCAAAACTAGCCCTGCCTGTGAAAAAAGTCTTTCTGAAGGTACTGACGTGCCAACTATTGTCAAATACTTGAAAGCTATTTTGTACAGCTTCGGGAATTGTATTTTATAATCCCTCCAGATTTCTAACGGATTTTCGTTCAGTCTTCCAACAGGACTTCTGAGATAAACTGAAAGTTCGTCAGACAAAACATCTTCAGATTTGTTAATTTTCCAGTTACGATGCACTAACTTATGGTGATCAGTCCATAATGAAAAGACCTCTTCATTTTTATCAGATTTATCAGAATCTGACTCAGGTTCTTCATTGCTTTGCAAATTCTTCTTCATTATATCCTTAATTTTCGAAACAGCATTCGAACAAGCTATTGCATCATTGAAATGTATTCTTTTGAACCGTGGATCTAGAATACTTGCGATAGCAAGAGCACTCACATGTTCTATAGAACCCATTCTTTTATTTATTTCATTAATAGCAAGTTTTTGCACCTCCTTCGCTACGGGATCTTCTATAACAGCTGAAGTTATTTTAGAGAGCATGCAACGAACTAAGGGAATAATTTTACTACTTGTGCAGTATTTATCACCCGAAATTTCTTTTGTAGCCGCTTCCAAGGGTCGCAACACCACGATGACAGACGATACAGTAGATATATCCGATGCACTGAGCATTGCAGGTGCTCTGGGGTGGCGGAAGAGAATATCATTTATGACACTGCGGAGTTCTAGAAATCTTTGTAACATATAGTATGTACTGTTCCAACGAGTATCCACGCTTTGTATTAATTTTACCCCAGCAGGAGACTCCATAGCCGCAGCAGTGGCTTTACGTAACTCGTCACTAGCTACGCAACTCTGTTTAAACCAAGTCACTATTGTTTTTACTTTAGAAACAATGTTTCTCCACTCAGTACACATCATTGTGCCTTCAGCTACCAAATTCAAAGTATGGGCAAAACATGGGATATGTTTCCTTCTACCGAACGCTAATTCGATCGCCTTTACTATATTGGCTGCGTTGTCAGTAACAACAGCCGTTACATTCTCTTGGTCTATTTTCCAGTCTTGGCATACCTTTAAGAGAATTTCAGAAAGATAATCTGATGTATGTCTTTCATCCAATTCGTACACGCCTAAAGTGATTGAGTATAGTTCAATGTCTATTCCGAAATGCGCTGTGATGCCCAAAAAACTTTTCATATTTAAGGTATCCGACCAAATATCCGTTGTTAGGGTTATATCTTCTATAGAGGATAGCATTTTTTTAATTGTCTCTGAAATTACTTCATATTTATCGTCCAGCCAGCGTCTTAGAGTTGTTCTACTCGGGAGTTTATATTGAGGAGCAACTGTTTTCATTAGAGTTCTGAAGCCTTCGTTTTCAACAATTGAGAAAGGCTGATGGTCTTTGCAAATCATGAATAATAAACAGTTGTTCAGTTTCCTTGTCTTCTGTCCAGATTCTGAGTAAGAAGAAATATCTTTAAAGGCGGCCTGTATTGTTTTTTGGCGTTTTAAAGGGGTAACGTTTTCTTCTAAGTCTAAATCAATAGTTTCATTTACGGTTTTCGGTAACGGCTCACAGGATCTTTTATTGCCACTGCCACTTGTACTAGGAATCGGTTCAGATTGAAGTAAACCATCATCAATGTTATCGTTAGGCGTTACCTTGGTATTTAGAGGATTCGATATTTCTTCTGCATTTAATGTATTTTGTTTTGGCTGAATTTCAAGATAAGCAGCCTTATGAACATTACGAACGTGCCCAATTAAGTTCGTAGTATTTCCAGCAGACTTAATTTCCTTTTGACATAGTTTGCATTTCGTTTTCTTATCATCAATTTTGTTAAAGAACTGCCAAACTGAACTTTTTTTTCTTAGGTCCCATTATAACTGAAAGTTAAAAAAATAATACTTTATAGCACGGTTTACGGGGTATTTATAATAATACCTATTAACTGCCTAGTAAAATACAAATATGTTTATGCCGCATCATAATCGATAATATAGTATCGATAACTTGGAATCACTACGGTAGGTAGTATTTCAGGGTAAAAATATAACCTTCCAATCAAATCGTATTACATTGCGAAATTAATGCAAACTTCGTAACGTAATCTTCTCTTTTATATGTTAATTAGTTATATGCACGCGCAGTAAAACGTAAAATATTTTCAACATAAGTAATTACTTTCTACTTTTTGACAACAAAACAATGTGATATTACCAGTAAAATTTCGAACCCATTATCACTAAATACATTATTCTGTTTATTAATACACATACCTGTTGATAAATCAAAGTTTCTTTTTAGTTTCAAACAAAGCAAACACTTGTATCGTATTAAAACACAACACACGTTTCCACAGCAGAGACTCGGTCGGCCATATTGTTGTTTTGTTTTGTTGGTTTAATTTAAATACTTTTAATTTTGCTATACCGGCTCCGCGGCAATGGAAACATAGCCAATTCAGCCTATAATAACTGATAGGCGCGTTTGTTATATTGGCAGCACTGATTATAACGTTTCGTTTCACTCATAGTATACTCATTCCTAATTTGCTTGGTCGATGTATCGAATGAAAAACATCGATATATATTCGATGTTGAAGTATTAACAATACATCGGTTTATACGATGCATCGTTACTATACATCGAGTGTTTTAAATAAATCGATGTATATCGTCCACAAATAGGTAACATTAGAAACTCTGACATTCGCTTATGCCATTACGAGAGACTGACGTCCATTTTTATTGCTTTAATTGTTTTAATCTTCCGATTACTCATTTTGTAAAAGATCAGTGTCACTTTTCTGTTCCTGTTGTAGTTTGGCAAGTAAGTGATAATTTTATTTATAAATATTTAGCCGAAATGCCTTTTAAAGAGTATTTTTCGAATCTTGTTCGCCATTTTTCTAACCTTGAAAATGAAAGAGGATTTTTGATCTAGGGCTAAAATATCTTTTCTGTGGACATCTTTTCTGTGAACAACAATGTCCACAGGAAAGTCGCATGTCACAGAAAAGATATGTCAAAATCTCAGACCAATAAATACTTTTTTATTGGTCTGAGGTCAAAGTGACTAAAGCTCAGATTTTTAATGTATAATGGTAGTTTGACAATATTGACACAGATTTACCTGTACAGTTCTGGGTTAACTTATGTTATATAAAAAAAATAGCTCTTCTGCGTTTATGTCCTGATTTGCAGTGTAACTATGTAGATTTTTCGCATGATATTGTTTGTTTTGTTTTAGGTATAATGCCTCGCTCAAGTAGGTCTAGGGCAGAACTGAGTAAAGAAGAAAAAAAAATCGTAGACGTGAACAGAAGAAATTAAGCATGCGAAGAGCTAGGGCTAAATTAGATGCAGTTGCTTTAGAAGAAAGACGACGAAAAGACAGGGAAAGATATCATCGGAAGAAACAAGATGGTTTATTGAAGACAATTAAAGACTTTACACCTAGACAGCAGAGGCAAATACGAAAAATGTGGCGTGAAAAGTCTAAACTTAGACGCGAAAAAGAAAAATTATGGAAGCGTACTGAAAAATCCTTAAATGAAAATACACCACCTCCGTCCCCCTGCTCCTCACGTTCGTCGTTTTCACGTCTTGCTATGGGTAAAGCAATAAGGTTAAGAAATACACGTCTATTAAAAGCTCAAAACCAGCATTTAAAAAATAAATTAAATATATTGGAAGAGAAGAAGAAGAAGAAGGCTGGCTAAATACAGGATGCAATTAACAAGGAAGAAGAAAATAAATAAACAGGACAATACAATGAAAATCAGTTTGAAACAAAAGATATGTGACTTTTTAATTGATGACGAGAATAGCAGACTTACAGCCGGAAAAAAAGAGACAATCACGCGCAGAAAAATAAAAAGACAAATACGTCTTTTAAATGATACGCTTCTTAATCTGCATAAGAAGTTTAACACTACGAGCGGTTTAGATATCTCTTATGAAACGTTTCGCTGATATCGTCCTTTCTGGGTAATATTCCCAAAAGCGGCTTCAAGAAATACTTGCCTGTGTTCTGTACATACTAACAATGATTATATTGTACGTGCTTTATACCAGGCTAAGGTAATAGCTTATTCATCCGCCACCGATCTTGTCAAATCTCTTTGCTGTAATAATAATCTCAATTTACGCTGTTTGGAGCGGAAATGTTCACTGTGTTTTGAAAAGTCTCCAAATTTTAACATTATTAATGGCAATGATACAATTATTTATCAAAGGTGGGTAACTAAAACTTTTAATGAGATTATTAAAGGTACTGAAAAAGCTTGCAAAAAGACTATTAAAGAGAGCGTGAAGACGTCTCAACAGCTGCTGGTAAACATTTTAAAAGCAAATTTATCCACGTTTATGCAGCATCTTGCAAACATTATTAATCAGTATAAGGCTATAAGACTAATTAAACATAATCTTACACCACTAGAAGGTCTTTTGCACATTGATTTTTCTGAAAATTACGTTTGTAAGTACGGATCAGAAATTCAATCAGCTCATTTTGGCGGGTCAAAACTACACCTTTCTCTACATACCTGCGTCCTACTACTCTGTCAATAATCAACCACCACAAAATATTGTAAAAAACTACGTCTATCTGTTCTGTCTCTGAAAACTTAAGACACGATCCTGTATTGATATGTGGACATCTGAAGCCCGTCATAGATAAAATTAAATTGCTGTCCCCAGATTTGAAGATTTTACATATTCTTAGCGATGGACCGACCACCCAATATCGTAACAAGACTATGTTTCACATGATAGTAAATTATATAAGTAAAATTTCTAATGCAGATACTATCGTGTGGCATTACAGCGAGGCCGGTCACGGTAAAGGTGCGCCTGACAGTGTTGGTGGCTGTGTTAAACGGACGTGTGACAATTTTGTTGCAAATGGAAGAGATGTATCGAACATTGACAGTTTCGTTAGTTGTTTGAAAAATAATTGTAAGGGCATAGAAATTGTTCGTATCGATGAAGATCATATTTCCGAAATACAAAGTATAGCAAATGCAAATAAATGTCGTCCATTCAAAGGCACTTTCCAAATCCATCAACTCACCTGGAGCGCAACCGAGCCTAATGTACTTCATGCTAGAAGACTAAGCTGTACTTCTTGTGCAGCTAACACTAATTGTCCACATTTTGAGATCGGTCAAATACAGATTGCATGTGTTTCAGATACTTTAGAAGTTTTGTCAGAAGCCCATTCAAGCACGTCATCAGAACTTATTATGCCAAGCCCAGTTTCCCCCGGAACAGCTTCTGCATCCACTCTCTCCGGACCGAGAACGCCACATTCTCATAATTTGTTCACACCATCACCTAATTCCATAGAGAATGTAACGCCTCCACCACTTACTCCAAAAAAAAAAGATTCTCCTTGAGAATAACTATTCCGATGACTCGATTACACCACCCAAGAAAAGGATTCTTCTTGAGAATAACTATTCCGATGACTCGATTACACCACCTAAGAAATTAAGAGTACGATCCTTGTTTCCTTCAAGTGATGAGAGTGATTGAAATATTTTTAATTATTTTCTACCGATGTTCCCGTTATTACTATGTTAAAATTTATTGATAATTTTCTGTTGATGTTCCTGTCTGATTACTTTATTTTTGTTTACAATACTATATTAAAAATTATTAAATTTGAAGTTTGAGGTTTTGTTAGGTCTTTTAAGATTTTATTAAAATATTAAATAATTGATTCGAATTAGTTTGACATTTTTATCGAAGTAATATTGATTCTAAATATTCTTTCCTGTAGATCTGTGTCTCTTCTGTGGTCAACAAAAATCTTAAATATTGTATATTTTTGATAAATCTAAATAACGATCTGGTTTCTGTTTTGATTTGTGTTGCTTTGATCTGTACTAAATAAATGAGACTGATTTTTAATAAATACGACGAAGTTTTATTTCTTTATTTTTTTTGTTTCATTTTGTGTATGACTCATAAATTATACTAATACCTACCTACAAATCTTACTTTCCATTTTTAAAAGTTAATCATTATAAAAGAATTGAGTTCTCTCAAAAGTTAAATTAAAATGATCGCAAGGTTTATTCTGGAATGTGGCCAGATTAATGAGGCGAATTGTTAGCAAAGTTAGGAGACTAAACTCACAAGTAACGCTACGTTTATTTCATTTTAATTGTTAGTTGTTTCGTTTATATATTTTTATTAATTTTACTTTTATCAATATCAATTCATTTTTATTATTGATAAGAAAAATAAGCACATACTATGGTTTTAATTATTACTAAGCCACTTGAAGAGGAATTAATTAACTGATATTACCTAATACTTATGAGTTATCTATACTAATATAATAAAGAGGTGATGTTTGTGAATTGTGAGTTTGTGACGAATCGATGAACCTAATGAACCGATTTAGATGAAATTTGGTAAGAAGATTTGGTGAGACCCTGGGAAGGACATAGGATACTTCTTATCCTGGAAATCATCCCTTAATGGGGTGAAAATGGGGATGAAAGTTTGTATGGGGAATCAACCTAGGGACGAACCCGAGTGAAGCGAGGGTGAGTCGCTAGTGTATTTATATAAAGTACTATTATATATATTATATATGATTTGTCAGACAATAACAACGGTTACCGTGACAACAAACAGTTATCAGCTAACTTCATCATATCGCTTTCAGCTATATTCATTATGTCGCTCTTTGGCTGTCGGTGTGCGTGTGCATCTTACAAATTTTACTCTCATATTTTTTTCAAAACGTCCCAAAAGGAGCATAACTTCAAAAATATAAAAGCATGTACTAAAAACATCTCTAATCTCTTTATTTTTAAAATACAATAAATAAATTTTATTTACAAGGGCGAAAAATTTCTCGATTACAAAAAGGGGTAAGGCAAGGGTAAAGCGATATTTAAGTACATTCTTTTCCATTAAATTGTTTGATGAGGCGTCGCGACGCGAATATCGTGGACTTAAGGGCAAAGTAATTGTAAAATATAATACGTAATTGAGATGAGAGGGGAAATTTGATGTAAAAAGAAAAATATACTGTAAACGGAATATTTTGACGAAACATGAGCAATTTTTTTTATATATAAAAAACATCGGGCCATGTCTAACAGAATCTTAATGGAAAATTACAATAACAGAGTTGGAAATTGAAATAGGTAAACTTGCAAAAATACGGTGATATTTAAGTCATATAATTCTTATTTTTTTTGACATTTGATATTTACACATTATGAAGACGAAAATATTAATTCGAAGATACTTTCGAGTAGCGTAAGTTAATTTAAAGGTCTACTGTTGAGAAAACAAATATAAAGAAATAGAATGATTTAATTATGAATTATACAAAATAAAGAAAAATCTCAAGTTGTAGCACATTTAGTTAATAGTGTATCACAGTTAGGTACATCAAATGTAGATCACATGAGTGTAAATTAGTTAATTAATATATATACTAGGAGTATATATATATATATATATGTATATATATATTACCCTCGCTTCCCTTTTTTAAGACCTACAATGTTCTAAATTCCTAAATTTATCTTTTAAGGTACGATCTATAAGCGCACACAGACATACATACAGACATAAAGACAAAAAATGTATATTGTATTAAAATAATTACCCGTGTTGTGTGAGTCGCTATTTTCATTATTTTATTTCGTGCATTTTATAATTATAGGTAAGCTACGTAATATTCACAATGAAGTATTTAAGTTTTTTATAATGGACATAATATTTATAATTATTGCTCTACTGGTAATTACTAAATTTATTTTCATTATTTACAATTTCCAAATATAATAAGTACCTATCTAGTAATAATTTTTTGATTTGAATGTCGAGTGTCGAGTGACCTGTAATTTAATTAATCTATTAAAATTTTATTTTACATTGAAATGTTGAATCTTCTATAATAAATATGCCTCTTTACTTTTATATGTAGTCAATATTCATAGCCTCTACGGTAGTATTACTGATCGAAGCTCTACGGCGTAGATCGCAACTTCGATTTGCAAAAGTTAGAAATATTTAAAGTGATTGATTTTTGTCCCACTCCGGATGAAAGATGGTCTCTTTCATTCATTCCATCTCTTTCGTTCCAAGAACACATTGTCTCAGCACCGATGGCAAGTTACTTTGGGAATGGAAATGTTACCTACCTCCTCCGTATATTTTTCCCCCCGTGTTTACAGACAATAATTTTCTGTCGCATCGTATGGAAAATGGAATCAATTTCTATATAGACTAAAGTAAAACAAACATTATCAGAAAGAATTGGATTTATTGAAATACTGCAGTACCAAGTCACATATTAGTACATCAACGTATGCAAATTGGAGAATACAGATTCTAATACCGCCGGATATTCCATGTTTCCTTACGAATGAGGAAATTGAATGCGATCTGATTTGGCCTCTAGACTCTGCCGTATCAGTTCAATTTTTAGCTCTCAGACACTACTATATTCTGTCACAATACACCTAAAACAATAACATTTCAAAATACAGTTGAAATTCTATTGTATTATAAATATGAAAAATATTCATATGACTTTCAAAAAATCGGTCTACTCTTATCCATATAATTTAATGAAAACACCTGATATATAATACAAAAAAATATTAGCAATACATTTCATAAGCACTAATATTATAAACTACTTCTCTATCGACATAAAACAGGATAATAGAAACTGGGAAAAAAGATGCTTTATTTTCCTCTAGTTTCCGGGAGGCCTTCCATTTCAGACCAAATAACTAATGTTAAATCAAGTGAATTGATAACAAACGTGTGTGGGATATTAAATATAGTCAATAGATTATATTCAATATCCCATTTACACGTATTGATCAATATGACCGAGAATTATTCTTAAGATATTTTTGTTCTCTTATTCGCACCGATGTCCAAATGTGATGTAACTATCCGTGTATCTGTAGTTTATGCATCTTCCCTCGTGACAAATGAAACGTAGCTGCTGACTCCTCATTTCCATTTTTCCACTGAAATATAGAGTTTTCATTGAAAGAATTGTCGTGTCAGACTAAAACAGTGCATAGTTTTATGGTTGTTATATAAAGATATATTTTATGTTTTAAGATATAAAAAATACATGTAGTATTTTTTAGAAATAATAAAGTTATTAAGGACTTTGCTTTTTATTCGATTGTCTAGATAAACTTATGTATATCTTTTTTAATATTTACCTATTTAAAATTACTCGAATACTCGATTTTATTTTAATAATTATTTTTTTACTTTTGCGGTGGTGGAGGATCTCATTAGTCATTACAGTCCGGAAATGAAGCCAAGAGATGCAATGGGAAGTGGCCCAACTTGGAGGGCGTTGTGCAATATGAGTTGCTCCTGGTACTTCTCTGATAGCAGAGTGGACTTTGGGAGCAAATTTAGGTTCATGTGGTCTGCTGCAGCGGGTCTACCTCGTCGGGGCGTCGTGGTTAAATGCGTAAGCGATCCTGTGGCGTCCCATAAAGACGGGTAAGGTTCCGGTTACGTTTTGTGGGTAGTACTGGCTTTTCTGACAGGTAAGTCACACATAACTACCTGATTGTATGCAGGTGGTATGCGTAAATGCATTTCTCAACGTTAAAAAAAGTGTAATGGCAGCGTGAACGCTGTCTCGTCAACGTCGTGCAGACTCGGTCTTACTTTCAATATTAATTAAAAATATTAACCATAGAAGAATTTGGGTAGATAGTTGGAGTTGGTTGTTTCTAGGTAGTTGGGGGCTGGAGAGTAACATATACTACTTTTTACCGCGGGATATTATCTCATTCCCACGGAACAACACGTTATAATACAATGAAAAAAATATTTGTGATCAGAATTACTGAAACTTATTCTTGTATACAATTAAATAAATACGTGTTTTAGCATTTTTCAAGATTAATCCCATAAGAGGGTAAAATAGGGCATTAGAGTTTAATATGAAACCTATTTTTAGAGAGTTTTTTGTAGTTTTAGCGCGAGCGAAGCCGCGGGTTCTGCTGGTTAATATTATAAATGCGAAAGTAAACAAAAATGCGAAAAGTAACAAACAAACAGAGTTGTTTGTTTGTTACCTTTTCACGATTAAACGGTTGAACCGATTTAGATGAACATTTGTATGAAGATAGTTTGTTAGCCTGGGAAGGACATAGAATAGTTTTAACTCCGGAAGTCACCCCTTAAGGGAATGGAAATGGTCCAATGGAGGGTGGAACTCTGTATGGGGAATCAATATTTGTGAAGTAAAGGATATAAAACTACCCATAATTATATATAAAGATATATAGTCTATCTATTCCATACTAACCGTCAAAACGTACCTAGCAACGAACCTGAGCGAAGGAAGGTGAGCCGCTAGTTTGAAATAAAAACAAACAACTAACAAGTAATATTTTTCAACGGAGATGATTATTGTCTTTTTCTCCCGCCAGATGTCGCGATTACTATAGCCCTTAGTATATTGTAAACGTCTATAGCGTTAATGGATTTTTTTTTTCATTTTATTTAAAATTTAAATGAAATGACAAATTGTGCAGTGCCAGGATGGAAAGAAAATAGATATCATTTGTTCCCAAAAGACAAAAACTGAAGAAATTGTAGGCTAAAGCAATAACCAAATTTGGCGAAATCACAATCTTTATATTAAAGGATATGTGAACATCATTGTAAACAAAGTGATTTTAAAACTCTTAAATCGTCTACAGGTTTTTTTTACTTTTTTACATATTAATTACAGTTTTATACAACCTTTCATCCCCTATTTTACCACCTTATGAGATTGAATACTAAAAGACGTATTTATTGAATTGTATTGAAGAGTATTAATACCAAGTTTCAAGTGATTCTGACATTATTACCCACTTACCCCTTTAAGGGATGAATTTCGAAAAAAATCAATTAAATATATTTCTATTTTTTTTATCTTGAAGCTAAACACTACTTTCTGTGTATTTCACATTAAGAATGACAGTTTCATACAATCTTTAATCTCCTACTTTACCCACTTAGGGAATGAATTTCGAAAAACTTCTCTTATATCGGATGCCTATATCATAGAATGAATACGTTATTCAAATTTCACGTTACTACGATTAGCGGTATAAGCTGTGTGTTGACTGTTGAATTGATCAGTCAGTTAGGACCACTAGGGTTACATACTCTATGAGGACCACCACAGCCCGCAGGATCCACCTCTCCTTCTCCTCTCCTTGAACTAGTCACACTGAACACAATAGAAGCAAAAGAACAGGTACAAAAGAGATTCATAATAAATTGCTTAACCTCAGACAGAATGTAAATAGGCGATACATGTGGCGCCCTGGTTTCGAGAAATCTTCCTCATTGTACCATAAGTAAAAAGAATATCTGTAATGTGTAGGTCAAGCTTTAAAGATAATTTTACTCTATGCTTACGCACACACGCATGATCATTGACAACATTACACAATAAAATTCAACATGGCTGTCTACTACGAATGGGGTTCTACGCGGCTATTTATTCTCAATTTCTGTTTATTCTAAGCGTTTTGATTAATGGAAATACATTGCCTTATTTTAAATAATGTAAGTCAATGTGTATAATATAGTTTTCGGCGTAAGTATGCTGTATATAGTTATTTATTTTCTCTAATATCCTTGACCGATCTAAGAAGGCGAAGTAGTTACTACTTTCGTCTATTATACTTATTATTGGATATCTCTTGCAGGTATTCTGAAGATGCCAGTTAATCCTCTCTCGGAAATAAAAAAAGGTGTCGAGAAAACTAAATTTTCACTGTCACTTAATAGAAATAATGCTACACATCTAAGCAAAGAAAATATAGCTGCCAATACGAATAAGGAAAGCTCTTCACCAGGACCTAACGACGATAAAGAGAATAAACCTGTGAAAAGACCTCTAAAGAGCACTTATCACAACACATTGAATGCAGCTAAGAAGTTAAGACCATTGACTGAAGTAGCTAGAGCTAAAGGTATGTATATTCTGACATTTGTTTATTAAATTTTTACCTGTCATTTTTAGTGCTTCATTATTTAATTAAAAGTCTTAATACTACGCTACGCTAGAAGCTGAAAATAGCGTAAATAAATAGTTTTTTTTATTCACTTTTAAATAGTAATATATTTAATGTTAACTAAATTTAGAGTAAACGTAAAAGATACTTTCATAAGTGTTTTCTGGGTGATTGCAGAAATATTAACAGAATCAGAGCTAGTTGTTTTGGAGCAGTCTCAAAGTAACACTGCCATGTTGAATGGCCATCATCCAGACAACCAGTATGGAGGGAGCACCCAATGGAAAACACCCATTGCAACTCTCTCCAATCTTGGAAACACCTGTTTTTTAAATAGTGTTCTATATACTTTGAGGTTAGTAAGATATAAATGTAATATCTTTAATTTAGTTAATCTTTAATTTAGCATGATCTTATAATGAATTGAGTATCTGCTTCTTTTCTCAAAATTGGAAGAAATATAGCCTGATGAAGATATTTTAACATTTTTTTATTTATTCTATTGAATTGTATGTATGTATTCAGCCCTTCTTAACGTCCCACTGCTGAGCACAGGCCTCCCTTCAATATGAGGGGGGATCAGGCCATAGTCCACCATGCTGGACCTGACCTATTGAATTATCTGTATTATATTGACCTAATTATTTGGGAAAATTAAGTAATGATTGATATGATAGTGAGATTTATCACTTAGATTTGAACATTTTGATTACAATTATATCACAATAACATCAGTGTTAACTATTAGACAATGACTAATGGTTGATTATTTAATGTTTTTAGGATATAGTGCTGTTACTGTTACATTTAAAAATAAAATTTATAAAAAATTTAGTTAGTTGTGAAAAAAAAATCAATTTTTTATTAGTTTTCATATTTAATAATAGAAAAGAATATATTATTTTAAATATGTTTTCTAACTAACCTATGTATTATAATTAATCTTCCAGATATGCCCCCCAATTTGTTCATAATCTACATCATCTGGTTTCCGATCTCAGCCGAGTGGAACAAAAATTAGGCAGTATTAGATTGAAGAGCTCCTCTCTGGGTAGAAGTGCAGCAGGTCTTGCTTCATCAGGAACCAGATCATGGAGTAGCAAGGATCTTCTTTCATTAGGACAGTCAGATAATAGCTCGGGAAAGAGTAAAATACAAGTAAGAGAATTAAAAATTAATATATATTCTCTAGTCTTCGCAAAACTAACATTGTCTTACGAATTTTAATCAATTATTTGTAAATTTATAATTAAGACAGACCAAACAAGTAATACATAGTAACATTTTCTAAGACCATTATAAGCCTTCTTAAAGTGAAGATCCATCTTAAGACCTTGTCTTCTTCATCATCCTCCATTCCTTGTCATCTTAAGACTAACCAGATACCCAAAATATTAAAATTTTAATTAAATATAAATTATAACAAATACAATCTATACTAGTATTATATATATTATATAAATATAATATATATTATATAAAGACGTAAAGTTTTTGAGTTTGGCGTTGTAGAGGGTCTGTGGATCTACTTAACCGATTTAGATGAAATTTGCTACGAAGATAGTTTAAGTCCCTGGGAAGGACATAGGATACTTTTTATCCCGGAAATCATTCTTTAAGGGGGTGTAAATGGGGATGAAAGTTTGTATCGGGAATCAACTTAAGAGACAACCCCAAGTCAAGCGAGGTTGAGTGTCTAGTGTTGAAATAAAATATAAAGATTTTTACTATTAATCTTATCTTAAAATCTCATAAAGCTTGTGTCAAAGAAATTTCAAACCATATGATATAGCACTGTGTTGTATATGTATATGTTATTATCATTGTCTTGATTGTATAATGGAAACTTGTTTCATATTAGAAGCGATGGTGTTCTTAGACAAAATATAGACAATTCAATATTGAATAATTAATAAAATTTACATACAATTATAATGATCAAGGTTGAGATGTACCATTCTTATTCATATTATATAAATTGTTAAGATACAAAACCTATTTTTCTACAAATAGCTTCTAAGCTTTGTTTATATTTTACTTAAAAATTAAAAATTTATGAAAAATAATAATAATTGAAACAGAAATTTTAGGAGGTAAATTGTAAGCTCTATTTTGATATATTTAATACTAGCTGTTGCCTAGTATTATTGTAAGACCACATGAGAATTAATCTCAACATTTTTCTTTACTAAAATATTTTATTAAAATATGTGGAGTGACAAACTTATATATAAACTTTCACAATTTTTATAATAATCTTACATTGATCAAAAAAGTAATAGGTACACAATCCCATGCAAAAGTTCTCTTAAAACTGTCACCAATTGTGTTTAGGTAATTATTCTAGTTGAAATAAATATACAACAATGTAAATTGGACCTTAAATGCAATGCTTTAAAGTTGTTTTCACAAAAAAAATTAAAAGCGCGCTCAAATGTCCAAATGAGCGCTCATTCGGTGAGGACATTTTTTGTCGCTGATTATATCTAGTACTTTTTTGATCGATGTAATCTTATTAATTGCTAGCAACTCACCCTCGCTCCCCTCGGGTTCGTCCCTAGAGGATACTTTAAATTGACCTTACTTTTTTATATATGAACCGATTGAAATAAAACAAATATTAAATGTTGAGTGAAAGCTTACCATAATATATTAGTGAAAACCGCATAGAAATAGGCTAAGCCATTTCTGAGATTAGCGCGCACAAACGAATGGATAAACAGACAAACATACAAAAATTCTAAAAATCATTGTTTTGAGTTCAATTGCTTAAATAAAGACTACCGATGAGTTTTTCTCATATATCTTCTATGTACAGACAGCGATCAGTTACACTTTTATTATATGTATAGATTGATATATCCTTTCCAGATAGCAACAGAGAAACTTCACGAGACATACCTAAGTCTTCGTGCGGCGGAAAGCAAATGTATCAACAGCGGGACCGATGTGAGCCCCGAGCCGTATGCGGCGGACGCCTTCCTTGCGGCTTTGAGAGAAGTCAACTCTACCTTTGAAGGTACAGCTTAGCCAATTGTAAATTTGAAATGTTTTATTTCTTTTTTTTAAAGAATATGCTTAGTCAATATAAAAATTTATCTGGTGCAATTGCAGAATGTATTATAACTACAGAAATGAAATGTTACAATTACAATTAATTTCACACTAATAATAATTATAAATATGAAAGTTTGAATGAGAGTGTGTCTTCGTTCATATCAATGGCTCAACAGATTTGAATGCAAATTAGAATGGCTTCCCTTTTCAAACGCTACCAACAACGGTTGACAGAGCATCCAAATGAATTAACAGTCCATATACAGGCGAATAACTATACTAACCGCCTTAAACGACACGATATACTGAAACTGCCACAAAGAATATAGTTGTTATCGAAATAATACGAGTAGTGCTCTCAGTGGAACTTACATCATAGGCTTTTTATCAAAGTAACTATAACGCGGGCAAAAATTGATCATCCTTTATATTTTAAATAAAACTATCATTTCGGATTATTTCGCGGATTTATTTTGATTTTAAGGTATTGTTACAATTATACCTTCGAGACCTTCTAACACCTCAGTCTCTCCCGTGACCATGATTGCTGAACCAAAAATCAAAATAAATCCGCGAAATAATCCGAAAAGATAGTTTTATTTAAAATGTCAAATATTCGCGTAAATCATCCTATCGTAAAGTATCATCCTTTATATGTACCTATATAACAAGTCACTTACTGTCATTTCGATCGGGTGCGTCACTGGATGCCTAACAGTAGCCCTATTTGCTACTCTAGGTATAGTACCTCTATCTGTGTACTAATTGTCACATCCGTCCAGCCGTTTTAGCGAAACACATATACACATACATACAAACAAACTTTGGTGCATATAATAGTGACCCATAACAACGTCCAGGTAACAGACAGCAAGATGCGCACGAGCTACTGGTGTGCATTCTCGACAGTATCCGTGAGACGTGCCGAGCGCTGAGCGCGCGAGCCTCGCGCCTGCAGCTGCAGGAGAATGGCGATAGGTGAAGATTGTTTACTAATATTATTACTTCACTATTTTATATACTCACTAGCGATTCACCCTCGCTCTGCTCGAATTCTTCCCAGATACGTTTTAACAGTTAGTATAAATTTTTCACATATCAGATATTTTCCCCTTTGACCCGGATAACCAGCTAACATCATACCAAATTTCATCAAAATCTGTTCAGTGGTTTTCTTGTGATGCGTTCTCAGACAGACAGACAAACGAAAATTCTAAAAGCTATAGATTCGGCTCAGAATTTTATTATGTGTATAGACTAGTGACTTACCCTCCCTTCGCTCGAGTGCGTCGCTAGATACACTTTAATAGAAATGAATATTTATTGAGAGTGTACCTTAGGCGAAAGACTTATGCTATTGCAGATTTTTCTGTAGACTATAACATAAAGGTATCCTAAATGTTCACCCGAGTAATAAATTATCACTACAAAAAAATGAGTTAAAATCGGTTCAGTACTTTTTGCGTGAAACGCACAACAGTTTCGCTAAGTTACTGTTTTATTATATGTATTATTATATGTATTGATGTTATTGATTTATTTTCTTTAAATATCTTGAGATATGTGTCAGATCTTTATAGTCATATGTCAGATATTTATAGTATAGATATAATAGGTAAACTTTTTCAAATATATAGGAGGTATCATATTTTTAAAGATTTTGTTTATAAATTTATAATTAATAGTACTTTTTCTTTAAAGATATCTATCTATGGATAGTTTCATTGAAGATGGGCATATAGAACAATTATGTTTTTTAATAAAACTATTTTTGTTGGTTTATTTCACTTTTTGTGCACTATGTTATTTATGTTGTTTATTTATTATTATTAAATAATATTTGTGCTGTGTGTTGTATCGTTGTTGTTTGTGTGTTTGTTGTATGAAATAGTGTATAAATTGTAATACAGCAACGGGATCGGTCGGCACGGGACGAACATAGACAGCGACGGCGGCAAGACGCTCGGGCACCTGCGCAAGTCGTGGAAGAAGCGCAAGGAGGTGAAGGCAACCGACAAGCGCCACTCGCCGTCCGACGAGCGCGCGCCCTCGCCCGACCCGGAGCGCGACGAGCGCTCGCGTCCCGGCTGGGACTTTGTAGCTGATGATTTCGAAGGTAAATAACTTCACTACTTAGTATAAAACAAAGTCGCTTCCCGCAGTCTGTCTGTCCTTATATTGTATGCTTAGATCTTTAAAACTACGCAACGGATTTTGATGCGGTTTTTTAATAGACAGAATGATTCAAGAAGGTTTATATGTATAATACATGCACATTATGGTACAGAAAAGCCGAGAAATTGAAAGTATTTCTTACTAACCGTTGAAACATACATAGGGAAGAACCCGAGCGAAGCGAGGGTGAGTCGCTAGCAATATTATAAATGTGAGTTTGTGAGAATGTATGTTTGTTACTTTTTTGCGTAAAAACTACTGAATGGATTTTGATGAAGCTTTCCGGCGCCTGCGATGTAAATAAGGATGTTACAATCAATGTTAAATATACTGTAATTAACATTAGTGTACTACTGCACTCGCACTGATAATATTTTCATGTGTAAGTATTTTTAACATAAATACCCACTCGTCTTACGGTGAGGGAGAGCATCATGAGGAAACTAGTTTTTAAAGTCAGCCAAACTGAATTTTGATTAAATATCCCTCGCTTTGAGGGAAGGTTCTGCTTATTAAATAACTCTTTTTGTTTTACTTCTCCCCAGGCACGATGGTGGTACGCACGATGTGCCTAGAATGCGAGGCGGTGACGGAGAAGGCGCAGGCGGTGTGCGAGCTGTGCGTGCCGGTGGGCGACGACGACGCGCCCGACGAGCCCTTCCGCGCCGCCTGTCTCTCCAGCGAGTACTTGCGAGATCAGAATAAAGTGTGTATTGATTATACATAATATTTATATTCCGCATATTATTTAATTTACATAATAATTATTACATTCAGATAAAATTTTAAAATTGTAACATAAATAAACGCTAATATTGTTAGGATAGTGTGTGTAGATAATTAATCATAATTTTTTGTCTATTTTCGACGACGCTGGTGCACGGTAAAACTGATGAATTGATGATGATGATTTACCTTAAATTTCAATTCTTTTTGTATTGTACTTGTACGAACTATTTGATAAATAAAATGAATTACTAAGAAGTTGCTCCCGAATCGCTCATGCGTCCCTAGGTGCCTACCCGAGTATTAAATTTCATTGAAATCCGTCCAGTCATTTCAACGTGAAAAAGTGACAATCATACAAACTATCACATTTGTAATAATAATGTAATTTAATATAATTACTTTTGGAATATTAATTTTAATGACACTCAAATTTGAGAGAGGCACATTACGCTGACTTGGCAGTGTAACTTCCTAACTGGGCCGTTTTTATGATTCCCCTATTAGAATCCTTAATAGGTATCCCAGTGGGAACACGCTTGCTTGGGTGAAACTGGTTCAAAACCCGAGCACCTCTAATATTTTCATTTGCAAATCATTTCCAACATGATTACTACATATTGTTATATATTTGTTTGTGGGTAAACTTTAAAAATGTACTTAGTGGCTGCGCCCATAACGCGAAGCTTGTCGAGCAATAAATCACGTGGCGACCGTGACAGGACTAATTATAATATCTATTTTATTTTCCAGTATTGGTGTGAAAGATGTCTCCGTTACAACGAGGCTAGGCGGAGTGTCGCCTACTCTCGACTGCCGCGGCTCCTCGTGCTACAGTTGAAGCGGTTCAGTGGCGGTATGGAGAAGATAACCCGACACGCGCCCACCCCCCTCCTCATGCCATGCTTCTGCGAGCCCTGCGCTAAGCGACCGCCGGAACATCCGCCTACTCATAGGTATCGAAAGTTGATATTGTTTTTAAACGACTTCCAAAAAGGAGGTTTTCAATACGTCGGAATCTTTTTTTTATGTATGTTCACCGATTACTCGAAGACGCCTGAACCGATTCGGAAAATTTTTACTTTGTTTCAAAGGGTATACGAAATTGGTCAAGCGTTTTTTTTTTATATAATTTTTTTTTTTTTTAATAAATTGCTTAATCGAACATGTTATTAAAAAACTTTCTTGTAACAAATTACCTGCTTATTACGTCTACACTAAAAATGGACAAATAAAACTTACAAAAAAACCGACTTCTAGGCACTAAATTAAAAAAAAATAACTAAACGGGGTTTTTATTTAAAATAGATACCTAATCAGATATTTTCGAAGTCGGTGACAGCCGACAATATTTTAAGATATGAATATCTAATGGGGAAATATGTGTTTTACGTATCGAAATACTCGTATAATAGATTTCCTTTGAATTGGGGTTTATATTAGTGCCTGGAAGTCGGTTTTTTTTTTAAGTTTTATATTGTATTTATTGCATGTTTTTAATATTATGTAGGTAGTTCAAAGAAGAGGTGGTTTTATTTTATAAATTTTCTTGTATTTAAGTAAGTGTGTAAAAGGACGCATTTATTGGTTGATCTAAAAATATAACCTATAGTATTAGGAATTATTTATGTTCTGACATAATTATTATTATTATCTAAAATTATTAATAAAACTAGTGACCTACCCTCGTTTCGCTACGGGTTCGTCTGGAGACAAAACAAACCTAACCCACGGGAATCGGACCATTTTTCCGGGATTAAAAGTAACCTATGTGCTATTCCAGACTATAATCTACCTCTCAACATCCTCACAAACTTTCACATTTATAGTATTAGTAGGATATAAATTTAATTGAATAGCTAATTGTGTTAACACTTTATGGTAGAGTAAATATGTTATAATTCTAGATATATATTATGGGCGGTAATAATGCATCTCGGGCAGACGCTCACCGGCGGCCATTATGTGGCGTACGCTCGAGACAGCTCGCACGAAACCAAGTGTGAGCGCGAAGGCGGCGGTGACATCACCACCAACAGCGGATCCAGCTTCATGAGAACCCTGTTCAACAGACCCAGACCTTCCCCCTCCGGTTGTACTGCAAATGAATGCTGTGTACCCAGACCGAGGCCAGAAGCTTGTTGGCTCGCCTGCGATGACGACCTCGTCAAACCTATATCGAATGAAGAGTTTGAAGATCTCCTATCAGCAGAACCCAAGATGAGATCTGCTGCAACGCCGTATCTATTGTTTTATGTCAAAAGCGAAGCCGGCTAGATGTGTGAAAATATCCTATGAACCCCAGGAAAATGTAAATCCTACCTCCTGTACTTTGTTGAACCTGAAGTTTGCTTTCCTTCGCGCCCATTAGTGTAACATCCCTTTAAAGTATAAAATTTTATAAATTAAAGGTATTAACACTGACGCCGATACTCCACTTTTATTATGGAAGCGTTTTTCTTTAATACATAATACACTTGAAATTGGCCCCACTGATTGATATGTGTATTACATACATATATGTACTTATATGGTGTTTAAATACAGGCGATACTTCTTTGCATTTTGCAGACATTTTAAAAACAAATGTTAGGTAAGGAGTTGTTATTATAGATTCTGTAGACCATTTTTAGTATTACCAACACCAGTGATCACAATAGGGAATATGCGTATTTAAATAAAGGTGAAATATATATTTTTTTTATAATCTATCGCTTCTGAATGAAGTAACTATCAATATTTTTTTGTGTTATTTTCTTTTTGATTAAGAAAATAATTATTGAAAAGTGCAAAAATAGGTGGGAAATTCAAAGTAGTTGAAACGCAACGCCATTGGTCAGGCCGAATGTGACGTCAAAGTCTATCATAAGAGAGCGCTGATGTTTGGTGTTTGTAATTGGTACTAACAATCTAAATTCTAAACCTGTTCATTCGTTGATTGCAATGTTGTCATAGACCATGACATCAAGCCAAGAGCGCCAAAATGGCGGGCGTTTAAAGTATCCATATCTGCATGATATTTAAAAAAAACTTAATTTAAATTTTTTGGATATGGTTTTTTTTTCCTATTTTATAACGATGTAAGCGATACGATAGTATTAAAAAAATCACGCATATTCTCTGTTATGTGTTGTTCCTTTCCCAGTCCATGCCTGCGCCACTGGCAGCTCTGAACAAAGTAGTCATTTAGTTGATCAGTATGTTGGTATATTACCAATAGTTACATCACTCGAGTCAAGGAATAATAAATGTTTGTATATTATCGCTACATTGGTTTGATTTTATTTGTAACAATTAAATAAGACATTGTTGTAATGTATTGAGTTAATATATTTAAGCTTAAAAAGACATTTGAGGGGTGACTGCTACAACACTGTGTTAGTGTGGCCCGACGTGATATTATGGATTTAGCGAAAATGTATTAAAACCTAGGGTATTACGAATTCTATCAATAGGTGTATAGTAAAATATAGAATATGAAACAGTTTTCTCGCTATTTCCACATGTTACAATCTGACAATATAATATAAAATATAAAAATTGAATATTATAATTTTTTATACTTGTACCTTTCATTGTATCGATTGTTCAATATGCTATATATTATATTCCTTATTGTTTACTTCAAATATAGCAAAATGTACTTTTATACGCTAATATATATAAATGACAATATTGGCCTAATTATAGAAAAAAGGAAATATAACTCGATCACTAAATGTTTAATCACTAATAAAAAGTAATCTCGTTTATTAGCGACAGACTGACCGACTGACAGGCTCCATGTAAAGCTTGTTTATTTGTTATTACTTGGCCTTAATAATTAATTACTGGAATAATAGTTCAAAAACAGAACAATATTTAAGTATAAAAGAATTTATATATAAATACAGTATTACCACGAATATTATAAGTGCACTTTGTCCTTAGAGAAATTTTTAAATTAGAAAGTGTATAGTGTTAAAAAATATAGTCATAACTACCTGAGTATAGTGATGTCCCTATTGCCACTTGTTTTCGTGGTAGCACTGTTTTGCCGAACACCAAAAATGTTCAATGTCTTACATTGTTATTCTTCACATCAAAATTCTATAACTATTCTTGCATATTTTTTGGAAATGCTCTTTTGGTTAATTAAAGATTATTATTATTACAACGACATAATACTTGCTTGCTTGGAATATGACTGCTTTATTTATACAATTTTAACAATATACGAAATAGCTATTGTTTAAGATGTTGCCTTTCCTATGACTACTTGACTACAACTATTTTTCTACTTGAAATGTAAATATTCTCTTTTTGAAGACTCTTAACTGCAGACTTGATTTTCATATTCTATGTCTCGAAAATTATTAATAGTTAAGATGAGCTAGACATGTTGTAAATGTTAAACAGTAAACTTCTCTAGAAAAATGTCTGTTTTTATGTAAGTTTTGCCATTTCATATACTGAGATATATATTATTTTTAATAGAGTTCTATGAGTTACATTTTTTGCATGCTTTTTATGATTATTACATTTGCAAATAAAATTTAAAAAAATATATTAGTAAAACCGATTTATTTCTAATATATTGTACCAATTAATTGTCAATGGGAATCAATAATAAGGACTCGAAATAAACCATAGATCTTTAAATATATTTTTATCATTTGTGTAGGTACTTCTTTATTCATACCATTTTAACTTCATATACAGTTTAGTATAATCGAAAATAAGCAATTTGAAAATGTACACCTTAAATTGTATGTAAACACTAAACATAACAAGTGGAAATTTTGTTTTGGAATTTGTAAGTCATTGCTTTTCATATGTATATTTGTTGTGGATGCCATTCCAAAAAACCTTTAAAAAAGGTAAAAATTCTTGTCAGTAGTTATACATAATGAGTTATTTTTATTAAACAAAATATGTTATGAATAATTTTCATTGTAAATTGGATTGGAATAAATTAAATTTCATTAAATTTCTTTTTCTTCCCCTGCATTATGCATAAAAAATATATGGGTGTTCTAAATTAAAATGTCATTGACCATCGAAGTTCAATGACTTCTGAACTACACCAAACTTGATAGGAAAAAGAATACAGTATCTGTTCTTAATTGACAACTAATGTTTTAAGATACCATTCAGTAGATCAATCATACAGTTCGATTAAGGCTAAAGTTTATTTGTTAGCTGATAAGGGGCCCCTAGTTATCACCAATAAGACTGGTCAAATAAGTCGATCGTACAGAAGGCGCTTAGCTGTGTTTTGTTGAGGACGTGCTAATTTAGTGTAAAAAATGAAAGCTGTGGAACAGAGGAATATACGTAAAGTAAGTAAAATTCACAAACTACAGAAATGCCATGCTACATGCAAATTCTTTTATTATCAGTTTCATGCTATCATTATTTGTAACCACAGTAAACATAGATTATATTGTTATTGTGGTTTCAATTTAAACATTAATATGATATTGTTACATATACCTGTAAAATAGATAATTTTTCTTTTTAGGGGGCATGGGCATATATTACAAACCTTTTATTTAACGATAACTTTATATGTTACATTAATATGAGATTAAATAAATAAATGTATGTACTGTAATTACACATTTTTTAAGCTTTATTGTAAGTTTTTACGTAATGTTTTCCGTAGATTGTCTTCATTCATCCTATTCAAGTATTCACCTATAATTTTAAAAAATAACAGCGTTTTTACTAAGGAAATAAAAATATTTTGTATTTTAAAAATAAAATATTAATATAAAATATCAAATATGTAAAATATTTCAATTTAAATATTAGTACAGCACCCACAAATAATATAAATCATTATCCTACGTGATATTTTTATGAAAACCGCAAAATTACCTAGTTAAAGTTATCTGTTACAAATTATCAATGTGGCTAGTGTAAAAATGAACTGTGACATTGCAATGACCTTAGAAGTCCTTCGCAAGTCGTGGCTGACTGTCAAACTACCTATCTATATATACACAGAATATAACTCCTTCAACAAACTTTTTATTAATTGAACTTACAAGTTAATTTCCTTAATTTCCAATGGCTTCTGTAAGTAAACAATTTTTTATATATTTTAAGAAAAGTGTTGTAAGAATTTATAATTCTTAATATTATTTATTATATAAATATTTTATAAGATATACCTACCTAATAGGTTATTTGAAATTTAAAAAATTGTCGATATTTAATATTTTACATCGACAATTATAGTTTAGTATAAAACTGTACATAGTAATGGTTATATGACATATGTATGTGATTTCTTATTACTTTATAGAAAACTTTTACTGTATAGAAAAATTTTCCATTCAATAACTTTAGTTTTCCTCAGAGAGATTTATAGAACTCTTACAGAATATTTACCAAATCTTTTTTTTGTCAAATTAATTTATAAAAACCTATTTTAAACTAAAAGCAATATTTAAATTTAATAATTCAATTTATACATTTTAAACATTTACAACTTATTGTTAGGTACATTCCTTGAAGATACATATTGATAGCTATCTCAAAAGCCGGGTAGATCAAGTCACCATTATAAATACAGGAATTATCATATTAAATATACATTTAAATAGCTATATTGCTTTAAAATATTTTTAACTAATTTCAAATAAATCTGTATTACAGATTATTTCATTTCATTGTCAAGTTTTTAAAACTAGTGCATTCTTTAATAGAGCTTTAGGATCTTTGTTAAATTTGGACCTTAAACTCTATATCCTAACGCAATACGTATACGAAAAATAACTTTGAAGTTATATTAGATTTAATATGCGAAGCGTGAGTCGACAATTATCGGGACATATTATCTATTATCACGGCGAAGCACCGAATGTCTAGATTTAACAGATAATGTTGAGGAGAACCGCAACAAAAGAAAATATTAACATTACCAAGCGATAGTTAAAAATAATATATAATAATATTTACGAACCAAATACAAACTGCACTTCATGGATTTATCTACTTAGTTGACAGTACTTATATCTTTATATTTTGATACTTAAAGATTATGTGGTATTATATAGGTATATAATTCATAAACGTTTACCTTATAATTCAAAATCGGGCACCTATAACGAATAATAAAAAAAATTAAGTAAGTAATTAACTCACGTCTTGTATTTCGAACCAACTGTTACTAATATATGCACAACGAATAGGAATTTAAATTTTGAAAGCATTAGAAAATTATTACACCGGAAATAGAGTAAATACCTTTTTGGTATTTGTCAAATTGTCTATTTTCCTTCATTCATAATGAGCGGGAAAATCTGTCATGGACTTTAAAAAAATGTAACTTACCTAAATAATATAAACAAAGAACACTAGGTCTGTGATCATATTTTGCACCGTTTATTGGCAACCGTGTTGGCACTTCTACAAACGTTTAAAATTAGATTACTAACAGCTATGCAGAAAAAATTACCCATTTTACTATCAGACTGTTGTGCTTTGGCCAACGTAACAACTTTAGATTGAAAGGGGTGAATACTGAATACGAATACAAAGCTTTGAAATGTCCCCCTAATTTTTATACTGAAAACACGAAAGAGTTGGTCTACTCACCCCGCTCGACGTCGATGCGCGCGCCGACGTTCGTGATTCAGTGTCCAATACGCAAGTCCGCATTTCATTGCAGCCGAGAGAAGTTTTCCACACTAAAGGGCAGTTCAAGATCACTAACATTGCCGGTCTTACCGTTTGAATATAGTATATTTAAAAAATATTTTCGTAATAATAGTGTAGATATGGTGTGGTCAACAATTTATGATGGAAAAACTGAGGTAACGATTTTCTATTTATATTCTATTCATTTTCTTACGTGTAGTAGTTGCGTTTAATTTATTCTAATCATAGACGAATTATCTAGCAGTTTTCGTCGCTTAATACTGTTCTAATAGAAAATTACTCATCCAAAAATAATATGAGAAAAGAAATTAAGTCACTTTTCAGCTTCCTGGAGTGAAAAGTAATGGTAAAATTAGAAACAATAGTTGTAGTACATATATGTACCTATTTCAATAATTATCATGCTAATTATCTTTTCCATATTGTCTTCAGTGATGTCATGGAATTGTGTTCTATGCATATACCTAATAATCCCAGTCAGTAAGTAGTCTTAGGTCACTAAATGAACATCTATACTGATATTATAAAAAGGAATGAGTTTGTTTGTTTGAATGTGCTAATCTCAGGAACTAGTAATCCTGTTTGAAAAATTCTTTTTGCAGTAGATAGACCCTTTTATTGAGGAAGGCTATATATAGGCTATATATCATCATGCTACTATCCAAGGTAGTGGAGAAGTAATATAATACATATTGTATCTATTCCATACTTACCTTTAAAACATACCTAGGGATGAACCTGAGCGAAGCAAGGGTGAGCCGCTGGTATTATAATGTATTGCAATTACTTACTTGGAACTTTGATTTTTTTTAACAACACTTATCATTTACCCTTGTGGCTTAGGTATATATATATATATATATATATATATATATATATATATATATATATATATATATATATATATATATAGAAAGATAAAAGCAAAGTATTATGTATTACATTGAAGTTACTAATTATATTTTACATTTTTAATACGAAATATTTAACTAGTTCTATTTAGTTTCAGGGAAGAATTTCAATCTTTATCTAAAATTATAGTAAATAAAATACTATAAAATATGTAAAATATACAAACAAAAACATAATATCTTTTTATAACATTTTATTTAATGAGCTAAATGAGCCAAACAAGAAATTATGCCACTTTTGCTTTATTTATAGTTTATTGAATCTTTAAATTTCAGTGTTGTATAGACTGTTGTTTTCACTCAACCTAAAGAATATGAGAAACCTTTAAATTTATGATAAAAAATATATTAAAATGGATGGATAAAAGAAGTATGTATTAACTTCTAAAGTACCTATTTATGGTAACAGCTCAATGCCAAGTACATTAGCACCTGTCTATTGCTCTTCTTATTTTATATGCACATCTAAAATTTTGTTGCAGAAAATATTTTTCATGTATTATTATTGTTGATATATCTATGTGTTTAGGTATATAAGTACTTTGTAATATAGCAACTAGATTGATAATAATAATTATTAAAATCTTGTCTATCTTATACTTATATTAATTATAAATGCAAAATTTAATTTGTTGTTCGTTTCTTCTTCATGCATAAACTTTATACATGTTCAAATAAAATTTAACACATTATTTAGATGACCTTATGCATAACTTATAGGATACTTCCTGGAAACAGTCCTGAGAGCAAAATCATGAGTATATATGGCTAGTAAAGTTTGAACATCATAGTTGCTTTAATTTATAATTATAATTTTTTTTGGATAACACATGAATTTTCCTCATCTTTTCTCCTGAAATACCTCATAACAATGGTCATAAACAATTTTTATTGAAAAGGGTAATAAATAGTGATACTTCAAAATTATTATTCCTTCTTGTTCTAAGACCCTGTTAGTATTCTATTTTGATTATTATATTTTTTTTATATATGTGTGAATTGTTCACAGGCTGGTTCTCAGGATAAGCCCTCCATGCAGTTGGCTGCAGCAGATGCGGGCTCACATCTCCAGCACATGTGCTCCTTGGATATTGACTCTAAAGCTTCCTATGTCCGTCTTTCTGGAATCATCTGCACCATTGGTATACAAAATTTATTTACTGTAGAGTATATTATAAAAAATGCATTTTTTTATTTTATATTACACAAAAAATAATTAATTTGGTTTAAGGTTTTACAAGTACAAGCTACTCAATCATACATACATCTGATGTAATTGATATGAGATATTATACAACAAATTAACTTCTAGATTATTTTCCAAATAATAACTGCATGAATATTTGGTATTTCATTAATGCTACGAAAGAAACTTCTCATCACATCACTGTCCTAAATGAGAAAGCTTAATGTTTGTTACTCTTTCTCGCTCAAGCAAATGGATGGAGGGATTTGGATAAAATTTAGTACACAGATAACCCATAACTTGAAGTAGTACTTATAGGCTACTGTTAGGCTCCTAAGTGGCTTATAAAATATTATATACATACATACATACACTAGCATTGCCCGCAGCTCCGCCCGCGTTCAGATGATCAAAAATTAAATTCTTAGGTTTTACATATTAGTATACTCATAAATTGCAGATATTGTATTTTTTCTCAAAAACGAGATATTTTTCCGCTAACCAGTTATCACCATACCAAATTTCATCGGAATCCCTCCAGTGGTTTTTCTGTGATGCGGTAACAGACAAACAGACAAAAAGTCTAAAAACTATAGATTCGGCCTGTGTATCGATAATACTCTGTTTATTTCAATAAGATTTTCCAAAAAATATCTAACGTGCAGATTCGGTTTAGTTACAATTTTATTATATGTATAAATATACATATATACACAAGTTTTTGTGGGTTGTATTATAACGTATTTTCCAGTGGAAATGAGATACTCTCCCGCGTTAAAAAAGTAGCCTAGATCTCTCCAGACCTCCATCTCCATACAAAAAATCACGCCAAACCATCACTCTGTTTCGACGTGAGAGAAGTATAAACAAACAAACACACGTTCACATTTATATATTAGTATGGATGTTGTTTATAAAAAAACCATCCAAATCGCTAGGTCCTGTTTCCCGAGAAGTGTCCATGCTCGAGAAAATGATGGAGACGGGCATGAACGTGGCGCGCATGAACTTCTCGCACGGCTCGCACGAGTACCACGCGGAGACCATCCGCAACTGCCGCGAGGCTGAGAAGAACTACAGCGCTCGTCTCGGCGTGCCATTCTCCCTCGCCATCGCCTTGGACACCAAGGGACCTGAGATCAGAACTGGCCTCTTGCAGGGTGTAAGTACTTATCTATACATTTATACAGATAAATAAAATTGAAGTGTCTGCTTGTAATGTTAAAATAACGTTTTACTAAATGCATATGAAATTATATATGGTACATACTCGTATAAGAAAAACACAATTTTTTACATTTTTGTCTGACTGTCTGTTTGTTCCGGATAATCTCTGAAACGACTGGACTGATTTTGACGGGACTTTCCCTGGAATATAGCTGATTTTATTGGGAGTAACATAGGCTACTTTTATTTTAGAAAAAGAATTAGGGTTGCGCTCAAAAAAATTAAAACGTACCGAGGGACGAACCCGAGCGAAGCGAGGGTGAGTCGCTAGTTTATAATAACATTTTAAAGAGGTAAATAATGCGCATGAATAAAATGGCAAAAAGGCACACATGGACGTTCCCGAGCTAATTCGCTTGTACTTGTAATACGAGCTATGTAAGTTGAACTAATGCGTCATAACGCATGCTAAAATAATTGTTATTTGAGCTGATTTGAAGAAGCTAACATTTCAATTTTTATGCGATTCGATCAAATATAATGATACTATAAATCTTATATGTATACATTTTTTATTGTATAGTGATATGCAATTATTTTAGCAAAAAAAATGTTTCTTTTTATATCAAATCGATATTTTTAGTAAAAATATTTATATAATTTTACGTAACTAGTTATTGGTAAATGTTTCGAGGAAGTCGAACAATGCCAGCCACAAATGCGCATAAATATTTGCAGCAAGTAGAAGTAACCTCAGTTTTATGTAGTACTAGCATTGCCCGCGGCTCCGCCCGCGTTCAGATGACCAAAAACTAAATTCTTAGGTGTTACATATTAGTATACTCTTACATTGCAGTTTTTGTATTTTTCCTCAGAAATAAGATATTTTCCCGCGGTAAAAAGTATCCTAGGATCGCGCGCTACATCGCCCGGTTTATATAGCTTGAGCAGGCGGTCGAGCGATGCGGGGCAGAGGGGATGGACTCGCCGTAGGCATCTCAATGCTCGCCAAGCATTAAAAATGTTTCGCTACTAATTACTTCTAACAACGATATCTCAAAAACTATTCATCTGATTGATTTAGTGTAAAGAGCAATTTTAATCTGCATTAAATGACTAAGCTAACTAAAATATTCATTTGGATAAGGATTAATACCGAACTAAAGAAAATAACTTTGAAAATAACGTAATGTTTTTAATTAAAAATGTTAACATAAAAGTGGTTATTGTAAGTCAACCGTAAGAGATAGAGATATGCTATCGCGGACTTTTTTGTAGCATTTTTATAGATTTTGAATTCTCTAGTACATTACTTAACTGTATCTTTGCTAGTTTACGCGGCGTTCGCGTGGAAAGTTCCCATTTGGCGAGATTTTTTGCGACCTCTTCAACATTTGTCGCCGTATTTCAGCTAATTTACATAAAAGCATAATAAATTATATACCTAAACCTTCCTCAAGAATTACTCTTTCTATTGTTGAAAACCGTATAAAAATCCGTTCAGTAGTTTTCGAGTTTATCGCGTACAGACAGACAGGAGGACAGACAGGAGGACAGAAAGACGCGGCCGGGGGACTTATTTTTATAATAAGTATAGATAGTATTATTTTTAAAAGGAATTTGTTTGTGATTTCAAAGTAACTACTTCATTTGAATTCATAATAAATATTTGCACGATATGGAAGCCCAAAACAACAAAAAAATGTATTTGCTGAATCTCTAGAAAATAATGGAATAGTAGTAGGAGGCAATGTGAGTGTATTTCTTGTGTAATTTACTCAATATTTTTGCGTACATATAATCGTCCATTATAAATTCCGTTGTTCATCTCAAAAACTCATAAATTTTAAAAATACGTAAGTTTGGATGGATAGCTGTTTGTTACTCAATCTCACCACAACGGCTGAACGAATCTGGGTGATATTTGGCACAGAGACATTATAATCTCGAACAGCACATGGTTACTTTTCATCCTGGAATAATATACGGTACTCGTGGGATAGATTTGTTTTTGTTTTTCACAGAGCAAGCGATCGACTATCTATTGCATACTAACTCTTAAAACGTATGTGGAATAATTACTCTTAATGTGATTTAGAAGTAGATGTTGCTTTTAAGTCAAACGGTAATTATTTATCATCCAAGATGTTTTCTAATAATAATATGTACCACCAGGGCGGTTCTGCAGAAGTGGAACTGAAGAAGGGTGCCACCATCAGGCTGAGCACAGACCCCGCGTACCAGGAGAGCGGCAACGCCGAGGTGGTGTTCGTGGACTACAAGAACATAACCAACGTGGTGAAACCGGGAAACCGCATCTTCATAGACGATGGTCTCATCTCGGTCATATGCCAGTCTGTCACCGCTGATGCCCTCGTTTGTAATATTGAGAATGGAGGTGAGTTGCGGGTAGATTTTAAATTTTGTTTTAGTTATGAGCAATGGTTAATGATTATAATCAAATTGGCACTGCCAAAGTATAAACGACATTGCAGATATGATTGAGTGATTAATAAGAAATTTATTTACCACGATTAAAACTTTAAAAGTGACATTCATTGTAAAAAGTGACAAAAAGTGTATTTCGAGTATAAAAATTTAAACATTCATATTCCTATTAAACATTATTATTAGTGATATGTAGCTGTCAGAGACACCGGACATCCTTCCATGATTGTAAAAATCCATTTCACGTACACTACAATCCTATACAAAATATCATACTAATACCATTTAGACGTTAGATTTATTGTAGGGATTTATTGTCTAAAATAATATGTAGTTCTGAATCATATTTCTATTGCCAGGCATGTTGGGATCAAGAAAGGGTGTGAATTTGCCTGGCTTACCAGTTGATCTGCCTGCTGTCTCCGAGAAGGATAAGTCTGATTTACTCTTCGGTTTAGAACAAAACGTAAGTACTTTAGAATATATTTACTTAATTAATAATAAATTTTAGCAACGCGTATAGTTATGTGCATTTTACAGAAGGGAAACTGCCAATTTTCATTGCTCAATAGCACCTCCAGGTAAATTTCTAAGAAATTAATTAAATTTCTAAGAAATCTATTGTTAACTGTAAAGCCGACGTGTTCGCGGTCGTGCAGGGATTAATGATAGCAATGAACAAATATTTGATTGAAAGGTACAGAAAGTAAAACTGAGCTCCCTTCCTGTCTCGTCGCATTCGGTTTGTTTGCTGACTCTTCTCAGTGACTGAAAGAAAAAGAAATTGTGAGAAGGAACCCTCAAACCGAGTTGCGATGTAAATTTAGGTTTTGCTCACGCACACAAATAAACATATATTTCCGTATCGTACGATGAATTCTAAAAACAGCCGATATGACATATAATGTGTAATATCTTATGACTGATAAACTCATGGTAAGCATTTTATTTTACAACAACCAATGACGGTATATTTTATTCTTGCTAAAAGATTACTTATCTAACTCGTAAGAACGAATTTCAATACCTACACCATTAAAATATTTTACGGTACACATTTACGTTACTCACTATCAGGCGCAGACATCGTAAGAATTGTAGACGTACCTATAAATATATATACTATACCTACACTATATATATACTATATATATATATATATATATATGTAATATATATATATATATGTAATATATATATATATGTAATATATATATATAACTTTTGTTAAGACTTCTCTGTAGATATCTCCTTTTTTTATCTCTCATTCTATTAATCTTATGTGATATTGTAAAAAATTGATAAATATTCCTTCACTCCATATCACCCACGTTCAACCAAGTCCAAGACCTCATCTAAAGATAGGGTTACCAATCATACAGTTAAAAACAGTATTATAACTTTATTTCGCTCTAACATACTTTTTACTGTTCTATTAAAAAAAAGTATCCGGAATACTGTTTTTATGGTCCCCTGGATCTTGTGCTATAAAATCTGTCTACAAAAGTAAACCTACAAATTTCGATTCAAAACGAAATGTCAATGTCAAAAGTGAGACTGACAGTTATCACTGCCAGGCATTTCTATTGGTTGGTTGGTCAGATGTTGGTTCTATTAATTTAATAAAAATGAGCTCCTTATTTATTTTAATACTAGCGACTTACTTACCCTAAATAATTACTTACCCTTGCGATAACTTGCGATAAACGGATGCCCCTTAAGTTGAAGGGTAAGATCTATAAATCCGTAATAAGACCTGTCGTTATGTATGGATCGCATGCTGGGCTACAAAGAAGACTGATGAAAGAAGATTGCATGCTGCTGAGATGAGAATGTTAAGGTGGATGTGTGGAGTGACGAGGATGGATAAAATAAGGAATGAGTACATAAGAGGAAGCTTACAAGTAGCACCAGTGACAGAGAAGTTGAAAGGGAATCGTCTTAGTTGGTATGGGCATGTGAAGCGGAGGGGATGAAACGCATGTTACGAGAAGAGTGATGGAAATGAATGTAGATGGATGGAAAGGTAGAGGAAGACCGAAGAAAAGATGGGTAGATTGTGTGAGACAAGACATGAAAGAGAAAGGGGTGAATGATGAGATGACGAGTAATAGGGGAGAATGGAAGAGGATGACTTACTGCGCCGACCCCAAATGACTTGGGAAATGGGCAGGAAGAAGACTTACTTACCCTATCTTTGCTCAGGTTTGTCCCTAGGTTGATTGGCCATACAAACTTTTATCCCCATTTTTACGCCCCTTAAGGGTTTTTTCCGGGATATAAAGTATGCTATGTCCTTCTCAAGGTCTCAAACTATCTTCTTACCAAATTTCATCTATATCGGTTCAGTAGATCCAGAGATTACCCCCTATAACGCTACAAACTCACAAACTTTAGCTCTTTACAATATTATAGTATAGATGATTTTAAATTGTGAAGAAGCATACGAATATTTTAAAAATGACAACAAATTATTGAATTGTGCAAGAAGCTTAAAATATATTTCAAAATTTAAAAAAGAAACCAAACACTGTTTTTTATAGAATACTCTTTATTTTATCTCTCCAACCCTAATATCAAATATGTTTTATTTCTTGTATAAAGAGTTGGCAACCCTATCTAAAGATGCTGACACGTGAGCTTATCACGTGCTTATATCATATTCATACATGTGCATATCTGAGAATTAATAAACAATGCTTTAATTACTACAAACAAACAGAATGAATCTTATTACATATATCAAGTCATATTGCACAATGTTTCAAGTGTTTGTTTGAAACATTGTACATATGTAATATCAATTTTTATGTATGTAAAGTGTATTTTTATTGCAATTGTATATTGTATATATACAACTTATTATTATTTCATGTGATACTTTAAAGGTTCGCAGAATAAGTATAGTGATAATTCACGTCTCTTATATGTATGTATTAAGCCATTTTCACCTGTCGGGCCTCCCTTCAATACGAGGGGGTACCAGGCCATAGTCCACCACGCTGACCGAGTGCGGGTTGGCGGACATGTCTTTTGAAAACTTGGTAGGTTCTGTCAGACATGCACATTTCTTCACGATTTTTTCATTCACTATAAAACAAATGGTAATCGTGTTGAAAATGATTTACACATGAAAATATAAGAGGTGGGAGCTCCGGGACTAGAACCCGCTTCCCTCGGTTTCCTAAGCGAGCGCGTTACCACTTCTGTTATATTTCCGATAAAAGGTGAAACACCTAACATTTGTAAAAAAAATAACCGTTTAAAATACCGTATCTAGATAATATTATTACCGGGTTATATTTACATTTTACTGTGTTTATAGCCATCGGAATTCATTATAACGTTATCAAGTGAACTAGTCACGGGTGTTATCAGAGTTCTCCACTTGCTAGGAAATGTATTTAACTGACCTTGCATATAAACTTGACTTTGAATTTATCAAACATATTATTCTTAACGTTCATCTATACATATAATAAAATTGTAACGAAGTCGAATCTGTACATTAAATATTTTTTGGAAAATCTTATTGAAGTAGACATTATTATCGATACAGAGGTCGAATCTATAGTTTTTAGAATTTTTGTCTCTCTGTCTGTTACCGCATCACGGAAAAACCACTGGAGGGATTTTAATGATATTTGGTATGGTGATAGCTGGATCCGGGTCAACTTATAGGATACTTTTTACAGCGGGAAAATAATCTCTGAGAAATCGTTACTTAACGTTAAAACGTAAGTAGGGACAAACCCGAGCATAGCGAGGGTGAGTCGAGAGTATATTTATAAATGACAAGTAAAAAATGACTAATGGGATTTGCAGAAAAATTAACTAAGGTCGTGGATACGATTCTCGGAATTTACTTCGATGTAGTTTACGTAAAACTTGTGTTTTAAAGTGTTTGTTGTAATCTTAAAGACACTTACCAAACGCAAAGTGCACTTCCATTTGTCAATTACTGTTAGTGATTCCGATGATGGATAGACTCTCCGCACTCGTAAAATCAACCGATCTATAAACAGATTCATAAGAATCCCATCTGTACATATATTCGATAGTCGATACTATTCTTTAATTGCTAATAAATGTTACGCAGCAGCCAATAAAATAATAATTAACAAGTATTTTCCAATTGTCCGGGCAAATTTTCTTTTTCTTTGCCTGAAAACATTTGTTGTAATAATTTCAATTATTACGTACATTTTAAAAACATGTGCACTTACCAACGAATAGAATTTTAATCAATACTAATATTATTAAAGAGGCAGAGTTTGTTTGGTTGAACGCGCTATACTCAGGAACTATTAATCCGATTTGAAAAATTCTTTTTGCGTTAGTTATCTGGTTTATTGAGAAAGGCTATAGGCTATATATCATCTTCGAAAAATGTCCGGCTCCCGTGGGATAGATTTGTTTTTGCCTAGAGACGAACGCTAACGAACGAGTCGTTAGTTTTTTTATATAGATTTAATAACTAAACTAAATTAGATTTTAATAAATTAAATATAACATATTAATAGATAAATAATAATAAACCCTTATATCTCGCAGGTGGACATGATCTTCGCGTCCTTCATCCGCAACGGCGCGGCGCTCCAAGAGATCCGCGCCATCCTCGGCGAGAAGGGAAAGAACATCAAGATTATCTCCAAGATTGAGAACCACCAGGGCATGGTCAACCTGGACGAGATCATTGCGGTTAGTATGGACTATGGATAGTACTCGGACCAAAAGAGTAAGGCTGGTTGTTTTTTTTTAAATTATATAACAATGTTAGCTATGGATTAAAAAAAATAAAAAAATAACGCAATATGCCCTATTAAGATAGCTTATATCTATGCACACATTGGTCACTTTTTGGTTTCATACCGCACAGACAGAGCCGTGGGGAATTCTAGTATTAAATGAAATATAACATTTTTGCTAGTAAAAAGGTATGGGAATGATAATTATGGTTTCATGTAAGTGAAACTGTACCAGATCAATAAGTCTGAATACGCTGTCCTCCATTTAACCTTTGCAAACATGTCAAGGTCGAAAGCGACAAAAAAGTAATATTATGTCCCAAGTCCCAACTTATGGAATTATAAATTGACGCGTACATTAAATAACTATATTATTTTAAATATATATAAGTATAATAAAATATGTAACATAATTTGTGTGATAGAAACCACAAAAAAATCCCATATATTTTTATAAAATCAGCTAATTACGGTTAAATAAAACTGTTTTTTGTCAACCACTTCAGTTAAAAGAGATTTTACTTCTATATTTTTTTTTTATTTCAATTCTGCCTCGTTTTATGTAAGACATACAATTGTATATAATGATTGCACATGCGGGTGAGACATTTCTACTTTAATCTAGTTGCATCTAGTTTTAACATATTCTGACATGAGCAGGCTATTCAGGCTATTTAAGAACGGATATAATCCATTTGCTAAATAAACAGGTCATGCGGTACATTGAAGTTGAACTCTGCATTCAATTTGTCGCTCAGATTTTTGAATCAAACATTTTTTATATTGTTTTTGTTCATTACAATTGATCTACAATTTTATGAGTGTCAATTTAATTTGTATGATTATTCTGCTTTAAAAATATTTCTGTCAAGTGACAGGGTTAAAATTTTCGTGTTTTCAAAGACTTGCTTGTTTAGCTTTTTACTTTCTAGCTAGTATTATCTTCCAGGGTGTTAAACTTGGGATGTTCAATAAAGATTAAGTGATAAAAGTGTATATTTTTTATTTTATTTTCCAGGCATCTGACGGCATCATGGTGGCGCGTGGTGACTTGGGTATTGAAATCCCACCAGAGAAGGTGTTCCTCGCACAAAAAACCATGATCGCGCGCTGTAATAAGGTAAATGGTATAAGTAGTAGTTGACTCAGTTAATAAATAAAAAGTATGTATTAGGCATATATGTATGTATTAACTGATATAATTACGGGTTTGTTCGCAAGTGTATTTTATCAAATCCATAATTTCGAAATGTGGCCTCCCGCTGCACAGAATCATGAAACATAAAATAGTCAAAAATAGTCCTTACAGTAAAAGTAACTATCTCAATACGTCTTAATTTACTTTTAATCTTACCAAAGCTACAACAACCAATTAAATAACATAACACCATCGACCACATGAACCAGGTCGGCAAACCAGTAATCTGCGCCACCCAAATGCTGGAGTCCATGGTGAAGAAGCCGCGGCCCACGCGTGCGGAGACCTCCGACGTTGCCAACGCCATACTGGACGGCGCCGACTGCGTGATGCTCTCCGGCGAGACCGCCAAAGGGGACTACCCGCTAGAGTGCGTCCTCACCATGGCCAACATTTGCAAGGAGGCTGAGGCTGCCATCTGGCACAAGCAGCTCTTTATCGACCTCAGCGCACAGGTATGTGCACTTCTACACCACCTTTAAATACTCTGTGCTAATAACGCCATGACGTGTGATATCACCAACGCCATAATCGATGGTGTAGACTGCGTCATGCTCTCAGGAAAGATGGTCAAAGGTCCCAATATTGCCAATATATTTAGGCTGAGGCTGCTGTCCAATATAAGCAACTCTTTATTGACCTGTTCGTGAAATTTATCTACATAGCATATAAGGAATTAAGTTCTGTCAAGAAATACTTATTAGCAACCTAAAGTTTAGATAAGCAGCCTGTAGTTGAAAAGGTGGTGGCATAAAATTGTAGAGTATATAATGTTCCTAATCTCTTCAGTTTCAATATTACAAAATTAGTGAATACCAGGAAGTTATATTTATCTAATTTGCAAAGAATGTGCGCGAAATTATGGAATAATGGTTAAAACAACTATATTATTTTAATTCAACTCCAAACCTATTATATAAAATTTATCAATATGACATCAGTCACAATGAAATCTTGTAATATCCTAATTCCACAGGTAAAAACACTAGAACCAGCCCAATCAGTAGCCATAGCGGCGGTGGAGGCGTCCTCCAAGTGCATGGCGTCCGCCATCGTGGTGATCACCACTAGCGGCCGCTCCGCCCACCTGCTCAGCCAGTTCCGCCCGCGTTGCCCCATCATCGCCGTCACCAGGATGCCCCAGACGGCTCGCCAGGCGCATCTGTACAGGGGACTCCTGCCTATTGTTTATTCAGGTTAGTCGATCTACAAGCTCAGACTATATGTAATGATAATAATGCCGTCCTAAGCCCTAACCGATCCCGGCCACGACGGCCAATCTCACTGAGACTAGCCAGATGCGCACGAGATATTATATTGCACAAGTATACGTACAGACACAATTGAACTCTTTATTCGTCACAACCGGTGATAGTTACAGCGCAGGACTTTACATGCTCTGAGGCACGGGGTTGCATAATCGCCAACTCCGTTCAACAACTTCCCTATTTTTTCTTAACAGAAAAACTCAGTAATTAAACATGCCCAATTTGATGTAAATTTGGTATGATGATAGCTGGTTAACCGGGTCAACATATAGGATACTTTTTACCGCGGGAAAATATCTCTTTTCTGAAAAAAATTACAGAAACTGTATTGTAAGAGTATACTAATATGTAAAACCTAAAAATTTGGTTTTTGGTCATCTCAACGCGGGCGGAGCCGCGGGCAATGCTAGTCACTACTATAAATAACTAGCGACTCACCCTCGCTTCGCTCGGGTTCGTCTATAGTTATGTCTTAACGGATAGTATGGAATAGATAAGACTATATACAATATGATATATAGCCTAAAGCCTCCCTCAATAAACGGACTATCGAATGCAAAAAGTTTTTTTCAAATCAGATTAGTAGTTCATGAGATTAGCGTGTTCAAACAAACAAAATCTGCCTCTCTATTATATTAGTATAAATATTAATTAATAAATTTCCATATTCAATTATAAAACTAATTAAAATTATAAAAATGTTTAAAGTTATAAAATATTGTAAGGTACTTGGTGCAATTTTTCATTTTCTTATTTGTGGGTAGGCTGTCTGTAACAACTATACCTTCGAGACATCTAACACCTCAGTCTCTCCCGTGACTATGTTTGCTGTAAAGCATTCGAAACGTCGGAAACCAAAAATCAAAATAAATCAGCGAAATAATCCGAAAAGATAGTTTTATTTAAAAAGTATAGATAAATATTTTTTATATAAATATTCGTTAACAGAAAGCCCCGCCAGCGACTGGCTGAAGGATGTCGACAACCGGGTCCAATACGGCCTGAAGTTCGGTCGCGGTCGCGGCTTCCTCAAGACCGGCGACAACGTGGTCGTCGTCACCGGCTGGAGGCAGGGCTCCGGCTTCACCAACACTATTCGCATTATGTAAGTGTGTTTTAGAAGTAAAACTTCTTTAGAATCGTTATGATTCGAAACTCGATGAACGAAAATGCGACACGAGAAAAAGATAAACATATAAATATATAGAATACACTGCCATGTTGCCATGGTAACCGTTGTTATTGTCTGACAAATATATAATCTAAAATAAATACGGAAAGGATATAAATAATATTCTTTCCATATATGATATTCTATAAATATATGATTCCAATATGCCATAATATGCGTTACAATTATTGATTTGTTATAATTTAATTGCGATATTTGCCAAAGAAGTTTTATGTCAACCGCGCATAAAGCATGCATGCATTGATTGATGTATTTTAATCTCTTAGATCTAGCAAGGATTAAGGACTATTTATAAAAACTAGTATACCCTCACTTCGCTCAGGTGCATAAGGATGCACCTAGGGAAGTGTCATAATTGTGTACTTCTCATCCAAAACCGTTCACCTGTTTCAGTGTGACATAAAAACTTTTCGCAATTATAATAATAGCCCAATGATCAATAATACTATTTAAAAATGGAACATTTATACTTTTTTTATTTTTTGTTGCAGCCAAATCGAATAAGCACGAAACTCATGAGAGATATTCCTAACAAGTATTAACACATACAAGGAGCAGTGGAGCAAGTGTTACGGCATTACATCTAACACTCACAATCAGTGATATATGTGTAAATGTGTATCAGCTGTTGATAATTTACAAGTTTTTAAACTAGTACTAGGATTATATGTTCTATTTATTTTATGCATATTGTTTAGTGAGAAAGTGAAATGTATCTAAAACGAAATGAAGTTAAAATATTAAAACAATATTCTTTGTTTTATTTGATTGGTTATTAAAAATGCTTAGATTTATAACAAAATAAAAATAATTTCCCCATTGGTAATGACGAGGACTGGAATATTTGAAATATTAATTTAAACCAATATTTGAAAATCGACAAGTGATCAACTAAAATTCTGGTGTTACAAAAATACATTATTAATAGTAAATGATTTCGAGGTTTAAAACTTACAATACTAGTGCCATCTCGTGACATGTTATTGTTATACCAGTTATGCCATTTTTCTACAGAGTTAAAAGATACGCGACAGAGGCGATTGGTATTATGTACTAGTATAGTAATAAATGATCTGAGGTATTATGGAGGGTTGAGGTAAGGAGAACCATCTTATATGGGAGACAAGATGATACAGTGACCACCTGTAAGCTGTAAATAACAGTTAAAAACCCAGCAGAACAGCGTGAGCGTAAGTAAGGAGTATGATATGAATTTAGCAGACCGTTGTAGACGGAGTGAAATGTGTGGAAATGAAAAATGTTATATTTTTGGGTGACTAGAGCACTTAATGAAACTGGAGTATGTAAAACCTCATCTATTTATTTAATCTATACATATAATAAAATTGTAACTAAGTCAAATCTTTACATTAAATATTTTTTGGAAAATCTAATTGAAATAAACATTGTTATCGATACAGAGTCCGAATCTATAGTTTTTAGAATTTTTCTGTCTGTCTGTCTGTAACCGCAACACGGAAAACCACTTAAGGGATTTCGATGAAATTTGATATGATGATAGCTTCTTATCGGGGTCAACTTAAAGGATACTTTACCGTGGAAAAATATCTCATTTCTGAGAAAAAATACCAAAACTGCAATGTAAGAGTATACTAATATGTAAATCTAAGAATTTAGTTTTTGGTCATCAGAACGCGGGCGGAGCCGCGGGCAATGCTAGTTCAAAATGAGTTAGCAAATAAAAAGGTGTGAAGTAATGTAATCCTACACGTAACGCCTTTTTTTTAATGTACTCACTTGCTAAAGTAGCGCCACCCTGATTTAACGCCTTTCGACAGACATTTTTTCATCAGAGACACACTTTTACACAGACGATAAAGTAATGTAAAAACTGTTACCGTTAAAATTTACTTAGTTACTCATAATATTATGAACTAGTGTCAAAAGTTGCAAAAACCTTATCACCGCTAAACTCAAATGCACGAGTTCGTCTCAGACTAGATAAATTATAGTGTGTGAAGACATTTACTTTTTTGTTACTGGCAGTTATTGTCGTAATAAATATTCCTTTGTGTGGCCAAGAATGTCAATTCCGCCATCTTGAATAAAATTTCACAATGGCAAAAAGTGATATCCCAAATAAAAATTAAATGCACTTATTTACAACCAACATCTTCAATGACCGAATTTAAATTATTGTGCGTATTTATTAAGTAAAAATTATTTTAAATTTAATACATTTGATTAGTTTTATAATATTAAAAGATCACCAATAAAACAAATCAGCTGTTATCCGTCAATCGATGTCAACAAAATTACATAATTTTGTTTGGAAAACAGTGAAGTTAATATTATTGAGTGGCAAAAATTAGTGTTTTGATAATTATATTGGCATATTTTTATGATTTTTCTTAGAATGTAGCCAAACGATACGATTATGGATCGCAATAATATAATTGAGTGCGGTGGTTTTTATTTTATACACAATTTTGATTCGGGAAACCTAGGACATGTTGAACGAGTACCTACTGAGTTTATTGGTAAGTTTTGAAAATATAATTTTATATTGTATTTTATCTTCACATAACATTCAGACCAATAATTATAATATTGTGTACATGACATTATTGATCAATTTATGGTTAACAAAATATGAAATTGATTAAATGGTACATATTTTTAGCGCCAGCTGTAAATCCTAAGACTAATATAGCAGAAACTCCTGACTATGAGTTCAATTTGTGGACAAGGCCTGACTGTGCTGGTACCGAGTTTGAAAATGGAAACCGTACCTGGTTTTATTTTGGTGTACAAGCTAGTGAACCTAATATGCAGGTATTACATTAATATCAAATGGCATTTAAATGCTCTATAATATTAATTTTGTCAGTATTAATTTAGTACATATTTTAAATTTGCAAATTTATTATTTTAGGTGCGACTTAACTTAATTAACTTAAATAAACAAGGTAAAATGTATAATCAAGGTATGGCACCTGTTACTAGGACATTGCCAGGTAAACCTCACTGGGAGAGAATAAGAGATCGTCCTGTACATTCTGTAAGTACATTTAAAATACAGTTTTCCATGTAATGTTACTTTTTGCAATAGGTCAAATTTATTCACGATATCATTAGTCAATTATACAAATTATTTTACAGACGGATGACAACACATTTACTCTGAGTTTTAGATATAGGACCTCAGAAAATACAAAAGCAACAACATTCTTTGCTTTCACATATCCATATTCATTTGCAGAGCTACAAATAGCTCTTAACTCTATTGACTTGAAAATGTTGCCTCTTCCTTCTCCACAATCACCTGATGAAATCTATTATTGTAGGGAGTGTTTGATTTATTCATTAGAAGGTGAGTTAGTCTTAGGCTTGGTTGGTTGGTATAGAAACAACTTACCTTTTTTAATACTACACATTGTAGTAATATACATATTAAAATTTATTTTAAGTATTTTGGCATTGAATGTGTATTGAAATTAAATTTTAAGATAAAATGTATATATTTAAATTTTAAATTCAATTGTAGGGAGGCGTGTGGATTTATTAACAATCACATCACATCATGGTATCACAACTGAAAGAGAAGATAGACTAAAAAACCTGTTTCCAGAAAATCAAGAGAGACCGTTTAAGTTCCAAAATAAAAAGGTAGTTCTTTTCTAATTATTATCACGATTTTATTATTTGATTATTATTTATTTATAGTATTAAAACCAAAATATTAAGTTACTTATTTGTAACTATTTTTACATAAAACAAGATTATAGATGACTGTTTAAACCGATTTGATTGTCTTATAATATCTTTCAATGTTATAAAAATGAATTCATCAATAATATTATATATTGACGACACGCTTGGCTCAGTCTGTAGTGACCCTACTTGCAGTGCCAGCGGTCGCGGGTTCGAGTCCCGCTGGGGGCATTCATTTGTGTGATGAGCACGAATGTTTGTACTTAGTCATGGGTGTTTATATTTATAATATGTATGTATTTAAACTTATATATGTGTAGTGTATCAACTATCTGGTATCCATAACACAGGCCTCGTAGCTTACCATGGAACTAGATGGTGTTGTGTTAATGTCCCAACATATTTATATTTATTAATAACACTATATTTTCAAAGGATATGAAATATATAACAATAGAGACAAATCCCCAGGTAATATTCATATCAGCGCGAGTGCACCCGGGAGAGACACCGTCCAGTTTCGTATTCAACGGCTTTCTCAATCTCCTGCTCACGAGGAACGATCCAATCGCCATACAGTTGCGGAAGTTGTACGTGTTTAAGATGATACCCTTCCTCAACCCGGACGGGGTCGCTCGCGGACACTACAGGACAGACACAAGGGGTGTTAATCTGAATAGAGTGTATTTGAACCCGTCTCTACTGTATCATCCAACTGTATATGCTTCGAGAGCTCTTATTAGGTGAGTTTTAGATATTTGAAGAACTTAGATATTTGCTCCGGACAGGGTTCGAACTCCTTTGCTTCAGGTACTTCTCTGATAGCAGAGTGGACTGTTGGAGCAACCCCGTAATTGTTGCGGTCTGGTTCGGCAGACCTGCCGTCGGGCGTTGTGGTTGAGCGCGTAAACGTTCCTGCGACACCTCATTCGCCCGGCGGGTTACATTGGATTTTAGTGGGTAGTACTGGCTTTTCTAGCCGGCGAGTCTCTCATAACCACCTGTATGTCTATAGGTGGTATGTGTAAATGCATTTGCCAACGTTAAAAGAAAAAAAGAACTCGTACCCGTAAGGCATAAAAACAGATACTTCGTACACTTAGGCAGAATCGTCGAGTCGACTAAATTAATGAACATCCTGATTATCAAATCAAATAAAATATACTTTATTCAAATACAGCTCTTTTGAATCGTCAATTTTACATTTTAAATTAAATTAGATTTTGTAGTAGATTAACTGAATATCGAAGTTTTATTTTTTAATTTGTTTTTTTTTTTCATTTATCTTTAGCCAACATTCGTTCGTGGACTCAGATTACATTGGGGAATTTGTTTTAAGCTTATTAGCTTAGCCTGACTTAAATTATTTGTTGTTTAGTTTAGTAAATCCATATATGTAGTAAGATGTCTTGTTGCGACGCAACGTCGCGTAAAGTGTGCGTCATATTCAATTTTATTAAAAACTAAGTGGATTATCGCATGTAGAGTTTGCGAGGCCTTAAACAGAAGTATTTTGTATATCACATTCAGCCCTTTTTAAAGTCCAATTGCTGGACACGGGTGTCCCTTATATGCATGGAGGATTAGGCCATAGTCCGCTACACTGGCCAACTGCGACAATATGGAATATGCGTGTGATTTAAATAAAGATGATTTTTTTATAAGCTTTATTGCTTTTGAATTAAGCCTATGTCAATATTTTTAATGTAATTCATTTTCGATGAAGAAAATAATTATTATTTAAAAAGTGCAAATATAGGTGGGTAATTCAAAGTGGTTGAAACGAACGCCATTGGTCAAACCGAATATGACGTCAGAGTGTATCCTAAGAGAGCCATAAGACTCTAAGAGTATATTTAAAAAAAATATATTAAATTTTACTTTTGTGGAGTTGGATATTTTTTTTACAATAATATAACGATGATAAGCTATTGTATAAAAAAATAAAAAAAATCACGCATATTACCTATTCTTATATATTAATTCTTAAATTATAGAATATATTTTGATCGTTTATTTTTAGATATTACCATTTTGGATATGAAAAAGAAGAAGATATCTGCGAAGAGGGCAAGAGCCTCACTTCACGAAGTATCCCGAATATTAGTGAGAGTTCTGAGGTGGGTTTGTAGTTTTTTATTTTTTTAGGTACTACTATTATTTGCAAATTTTACCCACACATATTTCATTGAGCACATTTTTGCTTGTTAATGTTATTTAAATATTTTATTTTAAATTAATAATTTGAAAAAAATAATAGTAATTTAATAAATAAAATGAAGTATGAACCTTTCATATAATCATAAATGATATTTTCAGATAGTTGAAACCAAAAAAAAGAAAGGGCTTCGTTCCCCCTCGTACAAAGGCGAGTCCTACAAACGGGATAAGGCCAAAACAAACAAGTCCTCTGCAGTCTTCAAACAAGTCTCAGTAGAAAGTTCCAGAGAAAAGACACAATTGCAAACATTGAGTGGAGATGCAGCCAATTTGGCTGAACAGGTAAAGTAATACCTATATTATTCCTGTAGATGCTATTATATGAAACGTTATAATATACTCCCATTAATTATAATTATTATATAATAGCTCTCGATGATATTCAGTCCCTTTGGTCCCAAATAAATATAAAATTGTAAACCGATATTCACATTTTTTAAATAGGGTTTCAATTCATACAATGGGTGGTCTTACATAAATTAAAAAAATATATATACTTTACCGCAATAGGTATAGATAATAATAATTTAGTTAAAGTAACAATTATCCATCACCTTCCTATGGAGGCATTATGTGACTCGTACGTGACCTACAATTTCAATAAACTGAGTAGATCGTACATGATTGTGTTTATAATGTGCAGAACCATTTTCAATGCATCATGCATTTATTTAGTGAAGGACTTCTCGTATCTAAGACGAATGAAATATTATATACAAGTAGGTATCTTTATATATATAATTCTTCTGTGAGTGTGTATGTCACTGAACTTCTCTCAAACGACTGGACCGATTTTGATGAAATTTTTTGTGTGTGTGTTCAAAGGGATCTGGGAATGGTTTAGATTCACAATTTGAATAATAATTTTCATCAAAAAAATTATTAAAAAAAGTTTGAAATTTTCAAATTAAAGACGTGTAGACAGGACAACGTCTGTCGGGTCCGCTAGTATGTATATAATTACTATCGACTTGCGCTCGCAGCGCTCGGATGTATACCGTACGGGTAGGTATACGTTTTATATAGGAAAAAGTTATCGTGAGTGAAATTTAGGTAGTTAGTTCCCCATACAAAATTTCAACTCATATTTCACCCCCTTCAAGTTTTATTTTTGCAACGAAAAGCAGCTTACGTCTTTCTCCAAATTCTTATCTATCTCTATTTTAAAATTTCATCAATTTTGATTCAATGGTTTAGGCGTGAAAACCTTACAGATAAACAGAGTTAGTTTAGAATTTATAATATTATATATGTAGTTTGGATAGATTTTGACTATATTTGAATAATGAAAGAACATCAATAATACTACTGTGTAACAAAAACTCGTATATTCCAGTGACGCACTTTCGCATCATTCATTGTTTATCAAAGCGTTACGATCGCTGATGTGTTTGCAAATATATATTATAAGTATTTGTATTAGCTTTTGCGATAAATTTTCATATCTCATATTATTAAAATTCAACTAATCACTATATCTTCATATACCTATGTGGGATATGTATGTATATTTTTCAAAAATATCTTGTGTATGAATCCTTTTTAACGTCCCACTACTGGGCATGGGCCTCACTTCAATACGAGGTCCCGACAATCAGGCCATAGTCCACCACGCTGGCCAAGTGCGGGTTGGCGGAATTCATATGTCTTTTGAAAACTTGCTAGGTTCTCTCAGACATGTAGGTTTCCTCACGATGTTTTCCTTCACCGTAAGACAAGTGGTAACCATGTTGGAAAAGATTCGCACATGAAAATATTAGAGGTGCAAGACCCGGTTTGAACTCTCTTCACTCGGTTTCCCAAGCGAGCACGTTACCACCGGGCTACCAGTGGCTTTCTAAAATATCTTACCAAATATAATAATAATTATATCTAACTAATTACGTAGTTTTAATTTTGTATCATGTAGTTTTGTTTATTTTAATTTATTTCATTTGTTTAAATTATTTTAAACAGCTTTTATTTGTTTTTTTTTAATTTCAGTCGATAAAGATAGCTAAATATTTACCGTAACCACAATTATTGTGCCAAATAGGTATATTTTTTTTAATATTTCTAAGAACGTAATATGGGCAATAATTATTAATAAAGTAAATTCATGAAACATTGTTATTTCTTACTCAGGTATACGATATGAAGTTACAAGAGATGCCATCACAAACTAGCGATTTATCGTCAAACCTGTCCACCAATATAGAGGATAGCTCCCTCCTCAACGAGACCGCCCTGAAGGCCTGTCTAGGCTCCAACGTACATTTAGCTTCCAGCGAGGATCTGAACATACATGGAACTAATCCATTGAAACCTTTAAGAGATACGCTGAAAAACAGTATTAGTTTGCTAAAGGAGTCTACTTCGGTTGCTGAGTAAGTTTTATTGATTAAAAATTGGTCTATTTAAAATGTATGAATTGTAAATTATTTGAGTTATTCTAAAAGAATATCCTAAACTTTTATCAGTGATAGCTTGTTTAATTTTTTTATAAATATATTTTGGTTTTTTTTTGCGGATTTATTTTGATTTTTGGGTCCCGACATTTCAAATGCTACAAAGAACAGTACTAGATGAAGATAGTTTTATTTAAAATATCAAATATTATGATATGACGTATGTATCATAGCGAGGCGGCGCGCGTGCGCACGGGGTGGTGCGGCGAGTGCGCGCGCGCGGCGGCGGCGCTGGAGCGCAGCGCGCCCGGCCTCGCGCGCCGCCTGCCCGGCTACTGCGCCGCGCGCGTGAGTATACACACACACTCTCCCCTGATCCAAATAAATACTTAATAATGTCCAATTGATCTATACAGGTAAATAAAATTGAAGTGTCTGTTTGTAATGTCAAAATAATAGCTTTTTACTATATGTATATTATCTAATTATATACGTTATTTATAAGAAAATCACAATATTTAATTTTTTTGTCTGTCTGTCTATCTGTTTGTTCCGGCTAATCTCCGAAACGGCTAGACTGATTTTGACGAGACTTTCACTGGCAGATAGCTGATGTTTTAAGGAGTAACTTAAGCTACTTTTATTTAAAAAAAAAAAGAATTAGGGTTCTGCTTAAAAAAATGTATATGAGTCGCTAATATTGTACAATGTCGACTAGATAGAATATACAATTAGTCTAGAATTTATATATATTATTTGTTCTCACCATTATTAAGTAAAAATTGTTACTCTGGCTTTGACAGTAAATATGCAGCGACTATAATACACTAGGCATAGTCGCAGTAATACCCTGTAGCTGTAACAGAGATGATACTGAGCACTTTAATTTTGTAATTCAGAAATCTGCTATTTTTATACACGAATTTATTTGCTTCTTTTAAAAGAAATATATGTATATTCTTCATTTTTTTTTTAATTTCCTATATAATATTAATATCTCTTATATATTAATAGCTCCCGGACTCGAGTACGTGTCACAGCATAGAAGAGTACAGAGAACAACAAAGACAACAGATAGACGATCAGGAACGAAAAGTAATCAACGTAGATAGTTTCTGAATGTTATGTTTCTTTATAAATAATAAGGAAAATAACTAAATGATTTGTTACAGCTTCACGAGACAGAGCTCGCTGAAAGTGCAGAGAATATTTACTTCTGCACGAATTGTTTCAAAAGATACGTTATGTGTGAAGATAATGACAGTAATGTAAGTTTACTAGTTTTTAAATACTTATTATAACGCTATAATGACTAATCTATTTTAAATGTTTAAACCATATTTTATATATCTATGAGTGTATGAGAGTGAAAGTTTGTATGGGAAAGGAACCCAGCGACGAGTCACACAGCCACATGTATTTAGGTTATATAAAATTTAATAAATATATTGTATAAAAAATAATAATAAATAGTTTAATTTGTAGTGGGATTTGTATATACATATAATAATGTTATTTATCTTATTTGAAAAATAAAGACTTAATTGCGTTTCTGTAATAATAAAAGATTTATTTCACTATTACAAATTAAAATACAAAAAACATTCTAAAAATTACACTTATAATAAAATATTATCTCACCTGTAATAATAAAAGAAACGACATTTAAGGCCTCTATTTCAATCTAAATAACGATAAACTCTTCTCGAGGAACATTTATAATTACATCAATACTATATCAATTATTTTATTAAATGTCAAAATTAGAAACTAATAAAAAATAAAGTAAATTTGGAATCAATTAAAAAAGTATTTATGTAATGAAAATAAACTTAAAAAAAGCACTCGCATATGAAGTGGTTTTCTTTACATACATATAGACTGGTGCATTTTTAGAGGTTTCGATTTGAATACCACATGGTTTGTGAGTTTTTGTTGACCATACAAAATATATTTATACCGGTTTAGTGAAAATAAAAGTCGATGTCGACCCTACTCATATATTATATACATTTATATTCAACAATACAAGTAGAATAAGCAATAGAAGTCACTAAACCGTCCGTATAATAAATATTTTAAAGAAATCCACACTTGAAATTTTCTAATAAAAATAATTTTCCATAGTCGTAATTATAATTACAAATAATAATCGTAATGAATGCAGGCGGGCGCCGGCGCGCAGGCGGGCGTGTCGGCCGACAGCGGCGACGCGCCGCGCTCGCCGCCCGCGCCGCCGGTACGCACGCACACACACACACACACACACACACACACACACGCACACACACACACACACTTGCACACTCGCACACCTGTAACATTCATATTTTTAGCGGCATTTTAGCCATCTACGTGTCGGATCTTATTAAGGATATTATATAACAAAATATGGAGAAAATGGGTTGCTACAAACTAAGACTAAAGTATGGTCAGTTAGCCTTAAACCATACTTAACAACTTAACTGTCCGCAAAATAGACACTAGCTAAACAATCGAAATGTTCATATATGACTCATGGAACAGGGAAATGGTTAAGTCTAAGGGACCATGCTTGACAAAGAAAAAATACTATCGTTTATTTTTTTTTTTATAATGTAAATTCAAATGATAATTATATATATACTGCTTTGACACACTTGCCAAATAAATTTTATCTGGCAACACAACATCAACTTCCATCTAAAAACGATAAGTAAATAAAATTAAAAAAACTCTTTCTTTCAGCCTGTCATACAACCGCCAGTAGTCAAAGAAGAAAATCCCAAGTCAGCGCCGAGCAAGGTGAAGAAAAAGGCCGCAACCGCGCCCACCGCGAGGGAGGACGACTCCGGACTCTACTTGTACATAGACTTACACGGACACGCCTCTAAGAAAGGTATTTAGCCCTACTGCTATATCGCTAAAATTAATGTGTGTTATTATAGCTTTAACCTTAAATTTTTACCTGGCGGTTTCCACTCCTTGCCATTTTACCCTCAATTCTTAAATCACCTTTCGGCAACAAGAAAAGAACTCTTGTGAAACGTAATTTCGCATCACGTTTTTGCCGCAAAGTTTGAATATAACTTATCTGAATTAAGAGCCATTGGCATACAAAATCATAAAATAGTTTAAATATTAAGTTTAAAAAAAATTAATAGTAATTTAGAGATTCGTTCAAGTTCCTCTAACGCCTCATGTTCAGTTTGTACTTAATCTCATTTCTAATTGGTAAGTATGGTGAAGAAACAGGCATAATGGAGAACCTAACCAGTTCTCTTGTCAGAACACTTGTGTCTACTAAGCCGCATTGAGTTAGCATGGTGAACTATGATCCAATGCCAAATACAGGCTTTAGGGCTTTGTGCATTTGTTTCCATTGTGTTACTAGAATAAAGTCTGTTTTTTTTTAACAATCTGAGACAGTCTGCCTAACCGAGACACGTTAAAAACTAAATATCTAAATTATAGCTGCTATATTCGTTCCCGTTTCTTCCCTCAGGCATCTTCATGTACGGCAACCACTTCGAGGACCTGGAGAGCTGCGTGGAGTGCATGCTGCTGCCGCGCATCATGTCGCTCAACAATCTACACTTTCACTTCTCCTCGTGTAATTTCACCGAGAGGAACATGTATCTCAAGTGTGTTCTGTATACTTTGTTTCTTTTATTTCATATTCATAGTTGATATGGTAATTGGTAGGGTTCAAATTCCGGGTCTCGCGCCTCTTATATTTTCATTCAATTTCGTTTTTCTGAATGAAAACTTTGGAATGAAGGAAATCATTCAGCATCCGGAATAGAAATCGATTTTTAAAAATAAGTTACGACTTCTAAAATATCATGTAAGAATGGACTTTGTCTCTGCCCCTCCCGGCCCAGATAAGGGCATGTTTATATTTTCTTAACCCCCCCTTCCCCTGGGGATCCTTAAGTAATTAAACGGCGCCTAAGTTAGTCGCTCGGGTCGCAGGGACCGGCGCGACGGCATGTCGCGCGAGGGCTCCGGGCGCGTGGCGGTGCTGAAGGCCACGGGGCTGGTGCGCTCCTACACGCTGGAGTGCAACTACAACACGGGCCGCCTCGTCAACGTGCTGCCGCCCGCCGCGCGCGACCCCCCCGCGCCCGCCGCGCCCCCCGCCGCGCCCCCCGCCGCGCCCCCCGCCGCGCCCCCCGCGCCGCACGACGCGCCGCCGCCCAAGTACACGCCGCACATATTCGAAGAGGTAAACCCCTTCCAGGTAATTACCCCTTGCTAAGGGAGCAGGGGCGACCCCTGCCACGTTGTCCGCCTGACTGATATAGACCATGGCGGCCAATCGCACTGAGACTAGCCGTGTGCGCAAGAGATATTATAGTGCGCAAATGTGCGCGCATACAGAACGTGCAATCTCATACATTCTCACCCTTGACGACAATTTCACACTATCGATAAGACAACTGGCGCAGGACCGACGCGACACGTGCTCACCGAGACACGGGCGCGACACATCGCCGACTTCCCAACTTTGACCTGTTACTGAAAATTTCGTGACAGAAAAACTCAATAGTTAAACTTGGTTCGACCCGGGACTAGAAACCATAACCTCGGGATCTACAGCGACACATGCCAGCCCCTAGATCAAGACAGCCCTACGTAATAACCACTTTGCCAGGAAGCTTACAGAAGGCTTATAGAAGTTTATAAGACTCGACTTGAACTAAATCAACTAATTTTCAAGTTCTTACAAAATAGTTCTTAATTCAAAGCTTTCCCACCGCGCATCATCACAAGTAGGTTATTACGCGATACCTATAAGTTGAATAAATGTAAGTCACACCATGACAAATTTAATATTCTTATATATTATATTGTAATATTCAGAATCAATATCAACAACAAAGTGTTTTTTAACTTAATATATTTTAAAATTTACTACAAATGCATAATGTTTACACCATATATTTATTTATTGAGCTCTTCCAAATATTTTGTAGATTTTCCATGGTTAAGTACACATTTCCTTTATTAGTCATTAAAATTGTGTTACTGGTACTGAACTATGGACTGATCCCCCTCTTATTAATATACATAGGTATACAATATACATGCATTAAAATAATACATAATATACTAGCGACTCACCCTCGCTTCGCTCGGGTTCGTCGTTAGCTTGCTTTCCCAATACAAACTTTCATCCCCATTTTCACCCCCTTAAGGAAGGGATGATTTCCGAGATAAAAAGTATCCTAGGGTCTCAAAGTATCTTTTTACCAAATTTCATCTAAATCGGTTCAGTAGATTCAGTGATTACAACCCTACTAACTTGCAAACTTTACCTCTTTATAAGTTATATTAGTATAGAATAGCTACAATTTTAAGTTTAAGGCATATCTCAGACGACGTGTCACCTTCCAGGTAAGACACTATCGCGCTAAGAATATGGAGAGTTTCGAAGAGATAGATGCGATGAAGGTTTGTTTTTGAATAAACATACAGAAATTTCGTAGATATCTTTAATATATTTATTGATATTTAGATATGTATTTGAATATGCTTTAATGGTTGCTTCACGATATCTCTTCTAAATTCTCCTAGTGTAAAAACACTCACTGCTGCAAATATCGGCACTTTTTGAGTTTCTAACATCCAGTTTGTATTAGTATTTAGATTAGACATTATTTTAGTAATATATATTTTTTTATTTTTGCAAAATGTAAACATTGTATTATGTAAACACACTTGGGTATTCTAAATTTAAGTTGAAATGAAATTTATTTATTTAGTATAAAATTCTTGTAAGTATACAGTAAACAACAATGGCTACAATGATACTGCAAAAGTATAAACTGTGTTACAGATATTAACGCCCGCCTCCGTACAATATTTAAACTATTTTATAAAAACTAAAAAACAATAAGATGATGTTGATGTATGTGTGAGTGTGTGTGTGTGTGTATGCGTATGTGTGTGTTTGATTTATGAATGCAAATTTTTTTAATAAACAATGGTCAAAAGTTCTTCAGTCTCGTCATACGTAATGGATTTAAGCCATGCTAAACATACAGATTTGCAACGATAAGAAGTGAGTGGATATATATTCAATAACGATTTTGTGTATGTTTTTTTAATTGTATAATTATGAATCAATAATTACCATCTTTAAAATTAAAGGAACCGAAGATCGCGGATTCGATCCCCGCAATGGTATTATAATGTATATTTATTATTATATATTCTTTATTACACGCCACTTGGACAAAATGTGTCGATATATAATTTACCCCGTGGTGTGCGCGCAGGTGGGGCGGTCGCTGGGCGCGTCCATCCTCGACCTGACGGGGCAGCACCCCAACTCGCGCGTGCCCTGCTCCGAGCACCGCACCCTGTCCGCCGTGCGCGACTGGCTGCGCGCGCACACGCGCGCCGCGCGCCCGCAGGTACACGCACACCCACACACACGCACACATGCACTCATATACACACGTACGCACGCATTCACTCGTATACTCGCTTTCACTTGTACTTTGCATTTTGCTATACTTAAACATGCACACTCAAATAAGTACCTTGGACACATTTAATCTATCCTATACTTCGTTCTCATTTTTATCTGCAATACGCTTGCAACGTATTATTCTATCGAAATGATAAGAGGCTATCAATACCTTGGTTCGAAATACAATTATAATAATTTTATACGCACGCACACAAACACATCCAGTTTGCAGCATTAACACAGCACAGGTTGAAGTTGTACATAACAAAAAAATTACGTCCTGTGATAAAAGTATCCGGACCTCTTACGTTATACAATTATATACATGTTAGGTATATGTTATAAACACACAATTTTGATGTAGAATCCAAAATTTTTATACATATATAAAATACATGACATACTCGTATGTAAGTCAGTTTTATTAATAAGTTGGTATAATTGTTTAATTTTTACAAAGTCAATATTAATTTTAAAGAATTCCTGTTTTTAAATTGATTTTTAAAGTTCAATATCTATTGTTTATATATTTTTTTCTTATTGATGTACAAAAAAATCTTATTTTGTACATTATTTTCAATTATTTATAATTATTTTTCTTTACCTTTCCCAATTTTCCTACTAACCTTTTCATTTATTTTTCTAATTAATTTTTAACTGTGTTCTTAACAAAAAAAATCTCTTTAATTTTCAGTGCTAAATCACTTCCCCAAATCTTCTATATAAAAAAACAAACACCAATACTAAGTATATGGGGTAAGGAATTAATCAGAGTGGAATGTGTTATTTCGCCTAAAAGTAACGTCACGCTTGTCATTTACTAAAACTTACGCTATGGACAACGATTGCAGAACACTAGCCAATGAATAGATTCTTAGTATTATAATTAACATATTCGCAATATGTTAACATAATTGATTATTTCATTTCAGTTGACAATGTCACGGCTGAGGCCCAAGACGTCGTCCCCCACGCGCATGCCGCTGTACGCGCGCTCTAAGGCCAAAGTAACGGACGAGCGCAAAGAGAACGCGTATGTTGGAGCAAAAACCGATGAGAAGAAACGTATCCCACCTCTCCTGCCGCAGCGCTCCGGACACGACATTATCAACATGAACATGAAGTTTGCTAAGAAAAACGAGCCAGTCAAAACGTCTTCCCGAACTAGGTACTTGGCAGAAAATGAGCCCAAGCCGAAAACTCTGTCCACCAAACGAAGGAACATACTAGCGATCCGCAAACCGAACACCAGCAAAACGCAGGTGAGTGGTATCGTCAAGGCAAAAGTGAGTCGTCGCGCGGCCGACGACGGTGAGAACGCGCGCACCTCCATATCGTCCAAGCTGAGCAAGCGCAGCTACTCGCGGTCGCTGCGCGCGGGCGCGGCGGGCGCGGGCCGCGCCTCCTCCTCCTCCGAGGAGCTGGGCGCGTGGGAGGAGGCGGGCGGCGCGCCCGACCCCGTCGCCGCCAAGCGCAGGCCCTTCCCCAACCCCGCGCCCTCGCACCTCAAGAAGATCCGCTTAAAGACGGCCTTGTAGCGCACGCCGCACGCGAGGCCCGCCTCCGACCCGACATGACGCATATACATTATTCAAAATACATACCTACATACTTGATGTTTACGGTGTTTTGAAAATTTACAGCTATACGCCGCCTTTTTGTAGTATAGTGTTACATTTAATAAATCTCAATAGATGTTGCTTAATTTATGGCTCAATTTATCGGACGTTTGTCGTGTTGTATGTAAAAGCAAAAAAGCCGTTGCAGTATCTCGAATTTATAAAATTTATATAAAAAATATTGTTTTAATGAGTGATAAAACGAGAACATGCTCCAATCATACAACATGTTCTTCTGTGTAACAGATGGCCTAAGTAAGTGAAATAAACGATATGTGACTGTGTACGCGATATGTTATTATACGTATTTGGTTGATAATATATTGCAACTTCCTTGTTTCATATTGTGTAGTGTTATTTTTTTTAATAATATACATACAGATGTAGATGTGATTTGTGGTATCTATTTTGTTTCGTCGCTTTTTGTCTAGTGATAATTTTGACTTCTGTTTAACTTGTACTTGCCATATCATATTTGACTGCTTTTTTGTTGTTGAAATATAACAAGAGTATAGATATATATTTACTAAAATTCTATTATTATGTTTTTTATATTAATTTCCAAGCGTCACTTTTGAATGGGTCAACTAACAATTTATACTGTAAAAATGAAATAGAACTGTTAGGATTTAAAAATACTTTGTATAATATAAAAATTGTTTACAATTTAAGGAAATGAATCAGATTTTTTTTATTCATCTGTGCATCACATATTCGTGGAGTGTGTATTAAATTACGATTTTCATAGGGCCACACTGTTATTACTGGCATAGGCAAATGTCATTTTATAACTGCAATTTAGAAAGATGTTTTTGAGAAGAAATGTAAATTATAATAAAATTTATAGATTAGGTATTTAGCTCCAGGAGCTAGGTAAGAGTGAACATGATGATCTCAAAGAATTTTTCATAATTTTTAATTACCTTCAGATTTGTCTTTGATACAGGTCATTATTGTTACATTAATGTGTATATAGGAATAGTCCTGATAATTTGGTGAAAGTTATAATAAAACGAATCATCTTCTTTTAATGTATGAAATATATTTACATATTATATACTTACCATATGGGGAATATGAATTATATTTTTGAAACTGTCTGGAAAAAAAAATCATTTGTTACTACAACAGAGATATTTCAAGAACGGACTCCGAGGTTCAGAATATTTTAAAACTGACCCTATGACAGTGCAATAATGTAATATAATATTACGGGATAATCGTCACGCTCATTGTGACGTTTTTCAAGTTATAAAAAATATATGTATGTATGTATGTACTTACAAATTAAATGTTGTGTGTAAACAGTAAAATATAATGTATATTCATAGAAAACATAGTATGTATATTAAATAATAACTATTTATTTATCTAAAATATTAATTAATATATTAATAACATCTATTGTTCTCGAATTGTTGTTTCTTTTATTTAACCTTCTTAGTAGTAGAAAATATCTGTTAAAAAAGTATGGAGCACTGGAAGTAAGTGCTTGGCACTCTGGTCTATATGTCGTGGAAGTAATTCCACTACACAAATAAAAAGTGAAAAACATGAAACTGGCAATTGTTTTGGCAAGTAAAATGTTTTTTTTAAATCATTATGAAATTACTTTTCCAAACAGTTTTAACCATTACCATGGTCAACAGCATGTCATGGAAAAACAAACAGCTCCATCTGCTAATATTTGGTACACACTCATATAATTATTAGTAAAAATCGATTTACCGAGCGCATTGTATCGGTTTTCTTTAAATCATAACATTTCTCTCGCTGTTGTGATTTATTTTAACTACATTGTATCTTTTTTCAACTTTGCATTAAATTCAATATGAAGTTGATACACTTCAATAATTTTGATTTTTTTGTTCCTGATGGAATCTTATACATAGACAATTGAGGAAACAGTACTCTTGGCTTTGAGTGAAATATGTAAAATAAAAGGTACCTAGTTAAAAGGTATATGAATACAACTTATATCTAGGAATATACTACTTTTTACCCAACTATGTTGAAGCAAAAGGAGAGCAATAATTTTGATCATTACATTATTATGTATGTTCATCTGTTCTAACTAATAAACTACTTATCATAATTGTAGATAAAAAAATAGCTGTTGTCATCATATAATAATTGTACTTCTCCATTTTATACTTATATTAGTATCACAATCATTTTGCAATCACATCTTTTTGTTCATCAATTATACTAGCAACTCACCCTTGCTTCGCTCGGGTTCGTCCCTAGCTTGATTCCCTTTACAACTTTCATCCCCATTTTTACCCAAATAAAGGGATGATTTAAAGGATAAATAGGTCAAACTATTTTCTTACCAAATTTCATCTAAATCGGTTCAGTAGATCCAGAGATTACCCCCTACAATGTCACAACTCACAAAGTTTACCTCTTTATAATATTAGTATAGATGATAGGTGTATAAATACTGAGGTTATTGTGGCCATTTTCAAAGTTGCTTATGAGAATCAATGTATATATTATACTATTTTCGTTCGGAAATCTAACTCCATTAGGACTTAAATAATAGGACAATCAAAACCTGTAATGACTTATACAAATAATAAAATAAGTTAAAATGTTATTACTCAAAGAAATATGCAACCAGGTGTGTATGCATTTTAAGTGAAACACAAAAGAACTGTAAACCTTTATATTTCAGCCCACAGTTGCTTAAACTAAAAAATTACAGCCTGCGTCCTCGTCTACCACCCTTCCTACGGGTTGAGTCCGATGGCACTGGAGTGACATCCTCAATACGGCCGATCTTCATGTTGGAACGAGCCAAAGCACGGAGTGCAGACTGAGCTCCGGGTCCTGGAGTTTTGGTCTTGTTGCCACCAGTTGCTCTTAGTTTAATATGGAGTGCCGTGATACCAAGGGTCTTGCATTTTTCAGCAACATCCTAAAATGTTTGACCAATAATAAAAAAGAATAAAATATGATCTTTGATAAATATTAAACTTAAATCTTTTAGATTGCTATAGACCAGGAATTCCCAAAGTGGTTGATATCATTTTCCTAGGGGTCCACAAAAATGTAATCTGATTTTGGGCATTGACGAGGTCTAAATATCGACTCCTATATTATTAATTAACAAAAGTTCTAATTTGAAATTTTCAAGATACTGTAAAAGTTGTGTTACATGTACCAACTTGTTATGACTTATAATTGGACCCAGTTATGCAAAAAACAGCCCTGTGCGTAAAAATACTAACAGAGTTATAAGCATTTTATTATAAAAAATAAACAATACTTATATAAATATTGTTCAATTTTAAAATAACCAGAAAAACAAAACATAACCCAAGTGCAACTATTGACAGAAAAATGCTTATAACTCTGTTGGTACTTTTACGCACATGGCTGTTTTTTGCATAACTGGGTCCAATTACTATTATTTTAGTAGGAAGTAACAAGTAAAACTCAACAATTGATAAGCATGCACAAGTTTTAAAAGTATTTTGTATCAATAGGAAAAAAATAGAGATCGGATTTTTAAAGTAATATAGCTATGGTCTGAGGTATCTGTTCATTTTGTAAAAGGGGTTTCTTGCTCAAAATAATTTAGGTATCCCTGCATGATACATTTAATATTTTTGTTAGGATAGTTCGAATCAAGGTAACACTAAAAAATCTCAGATCTGAAACTTGAGTAAATTTTGGTGAAACAGTGAAACAACTTAGGAAAAAAATCTTAATAAAAGCTAAGAATCACATATACATGACTACATCAAACGTAAAATTCGATGCTTGTTGTATCTTTGAAACATTAAACATACAACCTAAAGATAGCAAGTATTATACCTGTTAACCTAAAGTATAAACATATTATAACGAACCTGAGCGGCCAACATAGCAGCGTAAGGTGAAGCTTCATCACGGTCAGCTTTAACTTTCATTCCACCAGTAACTCTGGCAATAGTTTCCCGGCCAGACAAGTCGGTAACATGGACAAATGTGTCATTGAAAGAAGCAAAAATGTGAGCTACTCCAAATACAGTTTCTCCGGCCAAATGTTGCGGTCCAAGAGTTACTTGCACCTCCTCTTTCGCTACTTTGTTTTTTCTGGGAGCCATGGTTTAGCCTGAAATTAACAACACTTCTATAGCACTTTTATAACCTTAAAAAATCTTTCCAATCCGCAAACTTTATAATTCACAAACTTGTACACGCATGGAATAGGCAATAATCTACTATATTTTTACAATATTCCATTAAAAATCACTTGTTTCATAAACTTTTTATAGAAAATTCTCTTGATACCTTAAGCTTTAAAAGCTGTCAAACACTAGAAAGACTTCCGTTACGCTGTGTTTCCATGAAGTGTCAAATAAAATGTCAATTGTCAAAGCGACAGAAATAATTAAATGAAAATATATATAATATTATATCTATAAATGAAAGATTATTTTTATCATTATTCCCAACTTATAAATACTTAAACAGGTAAATTCTAAAATTTTATATAAAATATATATATAAAATTAAATAAACTAATATTTCAATTATTCTATTTTCAAGTGTCAAATATCTACTATAAGGTATACGGTCGGACGGTAAAAATATAAAAAGTACTTACAAAGGGTAATTGCAGTGTTTTTTTATAATTTATAGATGTACTAATATCAAAATAATTCACGTCATAATGTGTTCCATATCAGGGTTACTAGAATACGAATGCATCCGTAAAGCAGTGTGACAACTAACGACTTCCGGAAGTAGTGTACGTCATTGCCAACAGATTGATATTTCGTCGTCGAGAATATCGTCAATTTTAGCGACGAAACATATTGCAAATAAGAGCAAAACATTGTGATAAACTTCCTTTAGTGTTAGTTAATCTAGTACAATTTATTAAGTGAGTATTTCATTTTCAACTCTCGAGAATTTTTGATCGAAGTTTCAACTACGCAAATGACGTTCTGTCATTCACATTACTCAATCCATTATCGCAATCCTGCGATTTGCGATGAATCCTTAAAGACTACATAAGTATCTGAGTTGGAAGAATATACGGAGTGTTCATCTTTTAGCTTTTATGTCAACACATACACTATTGTATACTAGATTTGCAAGTCACTCTTACTAATCTAGTATTCTTTGTGCAAATTTGTATGATATTATGAATTAACATTTCTACAAATTTTCCAGATTCAAAATGTTTATTTGGGATTGGTTCACTGGTGTTCTGGGGTTCTTGGGTAAGAAACTTTATTTAATTATAAATAAAATAATAATGTAATTTACATTCAAGCAAATATTATTTTTGTAAAGTTCAGTAACATTATAATTTATAATACTTTTTCCAAGGCACTTTCTTACTTTTGGATACTTTCATTTAACCTAATTGTTTTAGTTACTTATAATTCAAACTTATGGATGGTAATTTATATTAATTATAAATAGTTTATATAGTAAGAATAGTCATCATGAATTTTGCAAGAAGTTATTTTCATGCTTCTAGCAAACTAAACTTTGAACATTTTATTGTAATATTTGTGATATATATTTGTGTATCATTGATATATTTATAAATTAGAGTAATATAACACTTTGTATGGGGAAAGTTGATAATGATTATTTACTACTTATATTAATATAATAAATAAAATTATCTTAATACATATTAAGATAATTTTATATTCTGGCAAATTTAATTAAGTAAATTAAAAGTTAATTTCTTTTCAAATTTAAATTTAGTTTGATGTTTTTTATATCATTTGTGACAGGATTATATAAGAAATCTGGCAAACTTTTGTTCCTGGGTTTGGATAATGCTGGTAAGACTACACTCCTGCATATGTTGAAGGATGACAGACTAGCTCAACATGTACCTACATTGCATCCCAGTGAGTATAAATATTATAATATAACATTTATACATATAATATTACTGTAGATCACATTATATGCATATTATGCTCTTTTATTTAAATTTACATATTTTTGCTCCATGAGATTTTACCTATTTCATAATTAATTTTTTTATGTTTTAGTTAATGATTTTTTTGTATGTTTTAGTGGGCAAATTATTAGATCCATTCAAGAAAATAAATACTGCTAGTGTAATGTAATGTTTTATTAGTAAAATATAAATACAGTGAAGATCATTAAGATTTATTGCAATAAATGCATATGATCTGGTCTTTATGTTGATGTTATGAGATATTGATATTATCTTTGTATCATTTTTTTAAATATCTTCATATTTGTATATTCATTAAGTTTGTGTTTACCTTTAATTATAAATTAACATATGCTAATTACACAATTAGCATGTAGAGAATAGTAATTTGTAGTTAATAAATGATATTTCTTGTTCTTTTTCTTTATGGATAATGAAGCAATGCTTTCTCTTTCTATTCATATTACAAAATTTGTTAATTTCAGAATCAAATTTGAGTCTAACATACATTTTTTATTCACAATGCCATTGTATATTATTGTTCCAAGAAGACAGATATATTTGTGTGACTTTAAAAAAAAATTAATTCAAATAAGTGTATTGTCTAGTTATTATGTTTTTGTGCCCAGTTTAGTTAGTCACATTAGATTTGACCATGAAGGATTTCATTTATATTATAATCAGATTCTATCATTATATAATACACAGCTTTTATTTAATATACTTTTATTAAATATTATTGTATTATTTCAATAGCTAAATTATGCTTTTAACAATTATATTTTATTTATCTTTTTCTATTTTACATAGCATCTGAAGAGCTGTCAATAGGTAGCATGAGATTCACTACTTTTGACCTGGGTGGCCATCAGCAGGCCAGACGTGTATGGCGCGACTACTTCCCTGCAGTAGACGCTATTGTGTTCCTTGTAGACGCGTGCGACCGTCCACGTTTGCCAGAATCTAAGGCGGAGTTAGACTCGTTACTAACAGACGAAACACTCAGTAATTGCCCTGTTTTAATTTTGGGAAACAAAATAGATAAACCTGGTGCTGCCAGTGAAGACGAATTACGACAGTTTTTCAACCTCTTTCAGCAGACCACTGGCAAGGTAATTTTATTTTGATTGCTGTCATTTAGGAATTTAAAATCATTGCTAATCACTGTAGTCCAATTCAAATAGAAATTTAAATGGTTTTAAATATATTGTTAATTATAATTTACCATGCAAATAAAAAAAGGCTAAATGGAATGTGCTAGAATCACTAAGAGAAAATAGAAAAAGTACATACAATATTTATTTGTTCTTGGATATAATGTTGAATAATATGCATAATTATAGTTACAGTTAGCTTAAAGTTTATAATTGGCACCATAATTGTGAACTTATTTTCAAACATTGTCTCAAACCATATATAAACCATTTGTTTACAGAGTGTGCTCTACCCTGTGAGAAAGTCAGATTAAAATTGTTTTTTCAATTGCAGGGCAAGGTGTCCCGGTCGGAACTGCCCGGGCGGCCATTGGAGCTGTTCATGTGCTCCGTGCTAAAGCGCCAGGGCTACGGGGAGGGCTTCCGCTGGCTCGCACAGTACATCGACTGAGCGCGCGCCGCCTCCACACGCTTCACCCCACGTAGCCTATGTTTAGTTTACGCTAGTGTTGCCAGATCCATAAGGAAATTCATATTAATGCAATTTAGTCCATAAAATTATAAAATCCAGTTTTAAAATTATCAATACATTATGATTTGTAAAATAGTAACAAAAATCAATCTCAATATGTTAGATAGATAGTAATTATACACTTTTATCATCTACTTTACTGGAATGCCCATCATTGAATATCGAAACATTCCGAAAAAATTGCTTCTGGCAACACTAGTAGAGGCTTACTTACATGATGGGGCCAAACATGTGATCAATTTTGCCCATACTGACTATTCTTTCTTCATTTTAATGTATTTTATATTTATAGAATAAATGAAATACCTACACTCTACAGTCTTTCAAATCTTATTAGTTTTATAGAAATTTAAAAATTTGTGGGCTTCAAATGATACTCTTTATTCAGATAATTCTGACACTGGCCCCACTGTAAGCAGCCTGTCTCGTCTGATGCTCTTGATTGCTAGACTGAGCATTATATTATTTACATTTTTATAGTACTTTTAGTATCGAATCGAATAACTAAATTAGCGTTTTATCGCTAGTGATAGTTGGCGGCATGTGGCTACGTTTTCATTTGTGTATGGAATTGTTCTCGTATATAAACATAGGCCGACCTCTCGCTCGCTAGTAATGAAACATCTATTTTGGCTCTAATTTCTAAAATTTGTTCTTACATAAAAATGATTTGTATTGCATAATTTGATGACACAATATGGCATAAATTCGCGTGTGCCGGATGTTCATCAAAAATTTCAAATGATGTTGTAATAATTTCATATAGTTTTGTATCCAAATTTACTATAAGTCACAATTGATAAAATAATATGTTAAAACCATATACAATAGATTTACGAGATACAAAAGAATTTATTTATAGTGCTGACTAGAGCCAATATTGCCACTTGAACTTCAATATCTACAATGTACTTACATACTAAATCACAGTACAAAAATATATTGATAATGTTTTTGTGTTGGTTACGAGCCAGACGTTACTAGCTAGCGAGGTAAAATTTTGAATGCGTTCAAAATAACTTCGCCTCAAATAGCTTGCAATGCATCATTGTGCGTCGTGGCGTCTCTCGCGGCTCATCTCGCGCGTCATCGTTGGAAGGTGAATACTACGTGTAATGTTTTATTTACTACATGTGTACATTTTCCAAACGTCAATTGTTTATTTCAATTTCTTGTACTCATACATTATGCTAGGAAATATTATCATTTTTTATAAAGACATTTATCAGTGTATGAGGTTGTTGGTTACTGGTTATAATTTATTTTCAATTAATATGATTAAATTTTATTCGGATTGGATTTTAGGTTTTTAAAACCGCTATATATATATATATATATATATATATATATATATATATATATATATATATATACACACACACACACACATATGTATCTATTAGGTAATGGTGCAAAGACATTTTCCTGTGTACATCACTTTATCAAAACTTTGATCAGTATCTTTTTTTATATTTCTTTTCCTAGGAAAAAATTATTCTTAATAATTACAATTTGTCTATATAATATATATATTTTAGATTATTTTTTCTCATTCCACTTACATTCAATAATAGTTCCGATATTACTTTGACAGTGCTCATTGTGTTGTATATTTGTCAACGCGACATAACGATTATATTTTTGTAAATTACTTGTACTATAATCTATATTATGTTTTGGCAAATAGAAGATATAAAATTGAAGCGGCTGGCCTGAAACCATTTTGTTGTTACAGAGATTTAATTGTATATCTGCTGTATTAACTGAGCTATTGTCAACCCATTCGAAGCACAAAGTGTTTTCAAATTTTCTTGATATTAATAATTAATAGATTTTTCTAAAATTACATAAAATGTTGGCTAGCCGTTTTAAATAATTTAATGCAATTAAGGTTTGCTTTGTTAGTTTAACTTTGATTGTACTCTGGTGTATGATTTGCAGTAAGTCCAAAAACAAAGTTTGTAATAAAATTTATATGGAACAAATTGTATTTAATTTCATTTCCTAAGCAAACACAGATTTGGGACAAACACTTATTAATTCTGTAAAAGAAATACTTTAAAGGTGTTAAAATAAAACTATGACATATTACTTAAAAAATTTAATGAAAGGAAAATAATGTGATAAAAATATTAAGTATAGAATATTTCTAAAAGATATAATTTCACTAGGACTCGAAAATCCGTCCACCGGTCAGCTATATATATATCCGTGTAAAAAAATGGGAATGCTTTAAATAAATAAGTCGATGGAAAAGCGACGTCACATCACTTAAGATTATACATACAATGCATTAAAACAAAAATACATGATTATTAAAAGACTTCTCGAGCATCAGCAAAGTGGATATTTACAAACGGTACTGAGAATATATTGCACATTCAAACTTATAATTACATTGCATGACAAAGAGTTTGCAGATGGCAACCTGGCTTATAATAATAATATAAAAAACTAAATCTAATGTTTATATCCTTTGTGTTCGATAAGTTTCAATTATAAAATAAATAAAATTGAATTCTAAACGAAAATATATTTATTTATATATAATTGAGTGTTCATGGGAACTAAATATATTTTAAATTTTGATAATAATTTTGGGGAACACTTACTACTACTTCCCATGCTCAGATTACAACTTCTCATTTCAATAAAAATATTAGAAATCATTTAAAAACTGCTTTGAAAACAGTTTACGAACTAATTAGAAATCGTATAATTTAATTATTTCGTATCCGATTCGTAAAAATACTATTTATAAATTATACTAACTATATATCGCGCACAAATTCAACAGTCAAAAGGTGATGAAACATCAAAGTATAACTAAGTGTAAGCTGGAGTTCAACACGTTTCTATGAGATTCACTTGAAATTAAGAAGCGGCCAATATAAAGTTATTGTGACATTAGTGTGAGGTTCGCTAATTACGAGGTGGATATTATTGTGAAATTTTCGATTGCTCCTGCACTTTTATTTAAATTCTTCATTCATCATTAGATGTAACAAACAATTGTAGTATAATTTTTGTAAATATAAGTAAGACCAATGTAAATAGTTCATCAACCATGTAAATAATTCATAATCACGGATGTCGTTAACATTGTAAAAATACGTATCAAATGGGATGTCGGGGCGATATTTGTATGAAACTAGGTTGAATTTATGTCGCGTGTTCCCCGCGCCCGCCGCGCCTAAATGCACTCGTCTATTCGGTAACTTAACCTACGTCACTACCCTACTCCGCGTACTTACACTTCCCGAGATTGTCGTATAACAAAATATTATTATTATTTATTTATATAAATTATAAACTTTGCCTACCGATGAAATGAAATTATGATTTATCAGAGAACTTATCGTACATTATACGTAATAATGAAAATATTTTATAAATCGATCCAACAGTAAATAAACTTTAGTCATTAACAAATTAGACGATAATAAAATGTCGAAAGATATAAAGCAGTGAAAACATCGATACAATATATCGAATATTAATTCTACGTATTTTTCGGAACATTCACATCTAAAACGTTAAAATTTAATAACAACAATGATTCTTATGCCTACTTATAATAATATGTACAAACTTCGTCTACTATATTCGGTCGTCGAATTAAAAAATTACTTAATATTCACCGTTTCCTTTAAAATCCTGTAGATATTGTCTTATTTATATTTTAAATCACACGTCAGCTTAAAAGGGCTAATCCATTATGTTAAAAATACGCACTTACATAAGTATAAGAGTGTAAAATCACTTTGGTACACACAACTAACATTCATAGCATTACTCGGTGAAACTACTCAACGTAAGGCCCTCTCACAGCTCTCACAGATGAGTTGGTTCTATTATATTTCTGACAAAAAGTTATATTATATCACAAACGATGTCGCCGCCGCGTCTTAGTTCATCCACTTGCGGCAGTTGGGCGCTCCGCACATGCACATTATCTTGTGCGCGTCGTCTTCAATGTCGAATTTGTAGTCGTATGCCAACTGGAAACACAATTATTAATAAGAAAAAATATTATTAAGATATATGTATAATAAAATACTTTAATTATATACGGCGAAAGTTAAACATTGATATTTTTTAGAAAGACTTTTAAGGAAATTAATTTCAGTTAATAAATTGTAAGTTGCTAATTGGTTCGTTTAGACACGTGCCACTCTTTCACTGATAAACAATGATGAATAAATAACACGTCTAGTGATCTTGACTGTAGATCTTGACTGTATTAATATTGCCTTAATGATCTAATCGGACTGTTGTACATACATTTATACATACACTACACGTAGAATTCAGTGAAATACATAGTATATAATAATGTACCTAACATAAAAAGGGTAGAGGGTAAGAGGCGACTTCGCCGTATGCAATTTTATGTCAGTGAGTCATTTAGTAGGTTCCTTTGATCGATTTTTGGTATACACTTTACACTGGTATGGGTATATCATGAGGGAAGAAAGTCATATAGGTATTAGGTCTGAAGTAGAGGTAGACCGAGAAAGATATATCGATACGAGATACATCGATGTATCGATATTTTTGATTCCATATATCGATATTTTTTGTTAAACATGTGTATGAGATGGCGGTTGATAGACGAAGCTAACGTGACAAGGCGAGTGGAGGCGCGTGTACCTCCTCGCCGCGCGCGATGCGGCGGCGCGCGAAGATGATGATGCGCAGCTGGCGGTCCACCTCCACGGTCTCGGCCACGCAGTTGGGCTGGCACGAGTGGTTGATGTAGCGCGCCAGCCCGCCGCTCAGCGTGGCGTCCACCACGCGCCGCTCGTCCAGCCGGAACATGTAGATGCCGCGGTTCTGTTGCACACAACACACACACATACATACTAGTTACACGACATATCGTGTCATTGAATTCAAATATATTACACTAAACACGATCAACTGTAATGTCTGTAGCTGTTGAAAAGTTTTTTAGCATCTACCACCTGACTGTGTCATCAGACCAGTTTAAAGAAAATTGTTATCTAAATTTTCCATCCAACGGTATAACAAGAGATGTAGCTGTGCTCCATAGCTATGTTATCATAACCATAACGAGGCATAAGGAAATGCTTATAACCTACATCTTAGTAACAGTCAAATTCTTCACAACAGTGTACATACTTTGAACATATACCTTAAAAGTCAAAAATATGAGAAAGTATATTATGTTATTGTTACATTGCAAAAAACAAAATTAATCTAATACCTTTAAACGAGCAATTATCGTATATTTATTTCGCGATCTCGGAAAAGACTAATGATCTCGCTAAAATTTGTTATAATATGGGTTTTCGGGGTCGAAAAATCGATCTAGATTAGTCTTATGTCTGGGAAAACGCGTGTTTTCGAGTTTTCATAAGGTTTTCTTTCGCATCACTACACGCAAAATATGGTCGCTAATTCCGCACTTTCGGACATAAGCATCGTGGTCAAGCGACCAAGACACAAGATAACGACGTTTTACCTTAGCTTCGTATTGTTTCTCGCGGATTTCAGAGAGTTCGGAACGAATGATTTCGCCGATGTACTCTATGACCATTGTGTGCTTCTCCAGGTCCCGGGCGGCGTACAGTCCCAGTCCTTGGATTTTAGACCTGTATTATAAATATACGTTTTAGTTTTGTTTTGGAATTGTTTTATATTTAATTAAGTTTTAATTAAAATAAAATCATTTAATTTAAAATGTTAAGGTCAATAGGGAATATGCGTGTGATTTAAATAAAGGTGATTTTTTTTTATAATCTTTATTGCTTTTGGATTAAGTCTATATTAATATTTTTTATTATAATTTCTTCTTCATTAAGAAAATATATACATAGAAAAATGACTAATTTAGTTTGTAGCGACAAAATCATCAATAATACTTTGAGGTCATATTCGGTCTGACCAATGACGTGCGTTTCAAATACTTTGAATTTCCCACTTATATTGGCACTTTTTTTTAATTATTTTCTTAATCAAAAAGTAATTACATTAAAAAATTTTGATATAGGCGTAATTGAATAGCAATAAAGATTATAAAAAAAAATATTTCACCTTTATTTAAATCACACGCATATTTCCTATTGGTTATGTCTGTCTGCACAGGTCACCTGGCGAGGTAGACGTTGTTGCGCCACTCGAGCTTCATCTTCTTGTACTGGCTGCTCTTGGTGTGCACGAACTGCTTGGAGTAGGGGCAGGCGGGGTGCGCGGGGTGCGCGTGCGGCGACAGCGCGGCGTCGGGCGGCGCGGGCGGCGCGGGCTGCAGGCTGCGCGCCGGCCGCCGCCACGCGCGCGCGCCGCGCGCCTCGCAGCGCGCGCAGCCCGACGGGTTCACGGCCAGCCCGCCCTCCAGCAGCGCCGACCGCCCGAACTTGAACCGGTAGTCCGTCAGCGTCTCGATGCCTGCGCAACGACACACGATGCCTCACTACTAAATACTACACCAATACAACACTATACAGACATTTCAAAATGTCTGTAATATATAAATATGCATGTTTCGCGATCATTTCGCTTGATGTAAACACAATTCAGTCATTGGTTAAAAATAATTTTAATATCAGTGCAAGTTGCTAATTGGATGCTTATAAATTATACTTTAATTATTTTAGTGAACATTTAATTTATTTTATTTTAATGTAATTATTTTAGTGAAGAGTGAAGAGACTAGATACAAATTATAAAACTAAGTATAAATAGCAATTTATGGCCCTGTAACATTATTAGAATGTTATAAAAGAAATAGGGCTTAATTTGTATTTTTATAATATATTTTTTATTATGATTGATGTAAGCGCACCTGGCAAGCTTTCAAGTACTCTGACGACGGCAGGCTCGGTGAGTCCGAAGAGATCCTCGCCTGTCACGTAATTTGGCCATAATTTCAAAACGCCCTCTTCACCCCTTCCTTCTCTTAATGCGGCTACTGCATCTAGCACCTAGATAAAACATTAATTTTAATATTTATTTATTCTTATAGTTACCATTGAATAATGAGAATAAAAATATTAATTATTAAATGTTATAAACATTTCTTACAAAAAAAACCTAAAAAATATATAAGTATATAAAAAATTAAATTGCATTCTTCTACTTAACCGAAGTTCACAAAACAAAGAGATTCTCATTTTAGTAGTATATTTCTATAATTTCTCTTGTAAGTTCATTGTGTGTATAGAGCTTTTGCGTACATATTTTAATGAGTGAAGATTGTTATAAAAACAAATAGTTCAAATAAATGTCAATAGACAACATTATATGTATCCATCTGTTAATCAAGTTTGTGTAAAATTAACAAAAGATAAAAACAGATTTCAAGTAAGTATATTATGGTTTTAAAAAATTGTCTAAGGAAAACGAAAATAGCGCAAGTAAACTAAACACACAGTTTGTACACCAACGAGTAACACCATCTATTATCTACTCAAGTAACAACATTAGCGTCGTCCAATTTGTTTGTATAGGACGAGGTATGTGTAGTATCACTGTAGTGATCATTTATCATGTCAGCCTATTCGACGACACGTTTAGCTCAGTTTGTAGTGATTCTACTTGCTGTGCTGCGGTCTCGGGTTTGAGTCCCGTTGGGGGCATTCATTTGTGTGATGAGCACGAATGTTTGTGCTGCAGTCATGGGTGTTTATATTTATAATATGTATGTATTTTAAGGCCACAGGCCTCTACATGGTGAACTAGATGGTGTGTTAATGTCCCAACATATTTATATTATCCATTCTAATATCATAAATGTGAAAGTGTTTGGGTATTTGTCCTTCTTTCATGTCGAAACGGAGTGACGGATTGGCGTGATTTTTGTGTGGAGATAGTTGGAGGGCTGGAGAATGACATAGGCTGCTTTTTACCTCGGGAGATTATCTAATTGCTACGGGAAAACATATGCATATACAGATGGTTATAATACAACCCAATTAAATATTTATGATCAGAATTACTTGAAACTTGGTATAAATGCTCTTCAATACAATTAAATAAATACGTGTTTTAGCCTTTTTCGAAATTCAGGATGAAGAAGAAAAAATAAGGAGATAAAAAAGGGATGAAAATTTGTATGAAACCTAGGTACCTTTTTAGAGATTTTTTGTTGTTTTAGCGCGAACGAAGCCGCGGGTTCTGCTAGTATTTATATAATATTATGTATTACATATATTCATATTAGTATGTGGTGTGATGGTGTAGCGTACCTTGGCCCAGGCGGCGCGCGGCGTGGGCGCGCTCATCTCGTGCAGCGAGTCGTCCTGCACGCGCACGTGGAAGCGCGGGCGGCCCTCGTCCTCCGAGATCCAGCACACGTAGCGGCAGCGGCTGTTGGCGCGCCGCATCGACCAGTAGAACCGCACCTGCGCACATACACACAAACATACCGCATGTAGTGAACTGTTTATTATAATAAAAATATATTTTCCATATATAAAATCCTAAATCAATTATAACAAAACCTTCATTAACTATACACCCGCTATATGACACTTTCCAAATTTATGTATTTGTTAAATCCCTCTAATAAGTTTTGTTTATTTGTTAGAACTATCAAACACTATTGATGATTTAAAAGTGCCTGTAATTAATCGTCAGCGTCCCTACCGGCCAGTAGGGTGGTACTAAGATTGCTAGTGTGAGTTTTTTCTATATTAAGTAAAATCTCAGCCCGCAAACACCAGTTTAGTTTCAGACTAATAGTGCTACAATAGAAGTAAATAAAATAAACAGACATATAGTATATCTCACAATCTTATATCCGATAGGGTATATGTAGTTGGGCGTGTGGAAGGCGGCGAGCTGGTGCGGCAGCAGGTGGCCGGGGCTGAGGAAGATGAGGCCGCCGACGCGGATGAGGTGGTTGGTGTCGCAGTGCAGCATCACGGACGCCACCTGCCGCTGCTCGTCGCGGCACACGTACACGCGCCGTCCCACGCTCAGCGTCGTCAGCTCGTTATCTTTCTCGTTCTGCGCACACACCCACCCGTACAGTTACACATTATTGGAGCTATTACGATTACTAATAATTTGATGTAGTTTTGCACAATAGATGCACCCACAAAAACTTACTTTTCAGAAAACAGGACTTTTAGTAAAATTGGTAGATCAAAATAACAAGATCGTAAAATAATATAATAAATAATATATATAATAAAACCGTAATATTGAGTATTTTATCGACTTTCTGTATACATATAACTTGATATGTAGGTACCATTTATGACAGTAACTAAAAATGATTTCCTTGGGCTGGATCCATTTTCCATAAATACATCCAATTGTTAATAACCTTGATTTACATGATTATTTTGATTATATCATTATAAAACATTTTTTTAAATAAGACCTATATATATATCTTAACCATATATTTAATACAATATTATTGTTAATTGTGTTTTCTCGAAAGATAAAGTAGTGATTAATCTAACGTCTCAGATTGTCAGTAATGTCGTCTATCTTTACAGGATGCAGTTTTAGCCGATTTGTCAGTGGATTTGGAGGTTGGATTGATTGTAGAATCTTAAGTCTTTGAATTAGATTCAAAATAGTCGCTAATTCAGGTTAAAATCCTTTAGTAAGACCGCTATATATGACTAGGGAGTGCCGAAAGAATCTCTCAAAAAGAATAAATGTCTGTAAAAAGATATGTCCTAAGTGATTTAATAAATATTATTACTCACCTTCGGCGCATGAGAAGCGCAAAATGCAGATTTATTCTTGTAAAATACGCAGTTATCCTTCACAGCACATCCCAGATGGTAAACGCTGCCACATCGAACTTTGAAGCACCTTACGGTGGCTCCCAGTCTGCGACAAACTGCGCAAGTAGCATTAGAACCAGCTCCTAGGGCCGAGTCTACATTCATGAGTGCGCCACTCACGGTTTCGTACACGCCTTCAGACCACAGGGCGCAGTTGAGGTGCACCCATCTATCTACGTCGCAGTTCAACAGCCTCGACACGCCGTCAGCGACGCCGTCCCCTTGAATACCGCATAGTTCACATTTACGAGTATCTTCATTGGTCACGGGCATTATAGCTACGCCAGTACGAAAAACGAGCTCTGTTAGCTCACGGTCTGTTGGACGCTTATACTTGATGGGAGGTCCAATACAACCGGGAGACCAGGACTTATACCGGATACCCCGGTACTTCTCCTTTTCCATACTTTGATTACTTTTTTCATCTGGCTCCATACCCTTTAGGTCTTCGTCGAGTGCACTTACATCGTCACCGACTTCTTTCATTAACTCGTCGTTGTCTAATGAATCGATAAAAGATAAGTCCATTTTTTCATCTTTAATATCTGGTTTTATATCTAGATCATCCGTTTCCATGCTTTCCGTCGACGCAGTGTCAAAATCATCTCTGTCTTTTGATAGATTTGTTTCAATATCTGATTTGCTATCTTCCTTGAGGGCAGTTTTTGATTTTCCATCTAATATTATATTTGTTGGACGCCATGCAAATCTTTCATAGCATTGAGTGCTACAGAAAAATAGTTCTGAATCACTATCACATAAAATTTCCTCGGCATTCCCTTTGTTGGCCGATAATAGAGGGAATTCCGAGGCTTTCGCCCTTACTACGGAATCTAAAATTACTACATCGCAGTGTCGACAGAATTTAGCGGCTCCATTAAGGATGCTTTGTATATCAATCGGTGTTCCTTCTTTACCGTCTTTACCTTTAGATCTGTATAACCCAAGTTTATGTGACGGCGGTGTAGCCGTCCGCTCTATAATTTGATAGGACGTAGGTGGTGGTATGTGCAGTATACCAGCCAGTTCTTTTAATACTCCGAGAATATCTTCTGCAGCACCAGAAGTCAAAGTAAGAGTAACAGTAACATTTTCATTGCTCTCGGTACTGCTAGGTGAATCTTCCATTTTAGTCTTAACAGGAGCATAGGTATCCGAGCATTTAAGCGATTTTTGATTGTCTTCTTCGTCTTTAATTTGATATAATGACAACGGTTTAACTCTTAAGGGTATAGGTGCGATTAGTGGTATAATAGGCGAAACTCGGCCAGAAAGTGATGCTTCCTCATCTTCTTCATCGTCTTCGTCATCGATAGGTTTAAGATATGGAAATCTATCATCGAGTTCAATGTCATATCCTTCTGGGCTAGAGCAACTAACAATAGTGTCCGGAGTATCAGTATCTCTCTCTTTGCAAATAAAATCAAGTTTCTTATCATCTGGGTCTTCCTCATATACAATAGGTTGAAATTCTTGATCGTAAAAACCTCTCTGGGTCGTAGTCGTCGATTTTTCAGGTAATGGTTCCTCATCACCGAACGGTTTAGTATTATAATAGTCAGCGACATTAGGAATTTTGGCATTACCAAACTCTCCAGTTAAGTCCCCTTTAAGAATATCATAATCTTTATTTTTAAGTTTAGTTAGATCACCTGACCCAAAGAGAGGGCACACTGCAAAGTTAGTGGTCAGTGCGGGTTCTTGAATCTGCATAGGAGGCAATAGCCGTAGTTGTGTCATTAAGTTGTCAATGAAGGTATCATAATCTTCTTCATATCGAGATCCTTTTCGAAGTCGCTTTTTGGGGTTAACCGGATTCATACTATTCTCAGCAGCAGCTTTCATATGCAGTTGCAACTGTTTACGCTTCTTTTGTTGATATTCGCGACGTTTTCTTTTTTTAGCCTCTGAAGGCGTTTCAGAAGGATTGATGTCAGAATTATTATCCATGTTCACACTTTCTGGATATTCTTCTTTCATTGGCTGGTCTAGTTTACCCTGATCTGATGCAGTTGAAACTCCCGAAGTTGCCGATTGCTGAGAACTCTCATCAAGAAGTTCCTTTTTCACGTCCAGTGGTGTAAACGGACGATGGATAGGACTCTGCTGTGGTGGCGCTACTTCTTTCTTGATAGCTTGATGTATCTGTTGATTATCGATGTTCATTGGATACGTCGGCAAAGTTTTCATAGTCGGTGAGCACTCTGGCATTGGTGTAGTTTCTTCTTTACTGAGTAATTTCATTGGAGGTTTCCGTACATCCATTAATGATTGAGTTGAAGTGTAAATCAAAGGTGACACAGACGAAGTAGGTATAGAGGTTTGAATTGGCCGAGTAGTGAACGGAGAACTTACAGTAGTTATAAGCCTTGGGGAATTTTTAGGTAATTCTACTTCTTGTGTCAGTCCTAATGTAGGAGGTGGTATAGACGGCCTCGCAAGCTGCGCTTCTAAAGACGATATAGTTCCCAGGGCAGGTGCAGTCCGTTGTATGGTCATTGTTCTTTGCGGAACTACATTTGAAGATGTAGTTGTTGTCTGCAAAAGCTGCTTTAATAATACGTTTTGTGATTCATCGTGGCTCCTCTGACTTGCAGCGTTTTGCTGAATAATTTTATTCCCCGCATTGTCAATGGTTGTAATTGAAGTATTATTTGCTTCCTCGGTTTCCATAGGTTCAGATTTAACGATAACTGACTCTACGCTATGACGTTTTGTAGGCTGGATGTGCCCAACAATTATTTCACTTTTGGGTTCGTCAGTGGATTTGGATCTCTTCAAAGGGGAAGTTAATTGCGTGTGCAGAAGCTTAGATGATGTTATAAAATTAATCGATTGCGTAGGTTTGGCTTGCATTTGACTAATACCAGGACTCACTATACTGTGAGTGCGCACAGTGACATTAGGAGCTGGCTCTTTGTTGCCAATAATTGTTCTTGAAGTCATTACCAAAGCCGGTGGTTGACTTGAACTAATATTTTGTGAATTAAATTGCAAATTGGTTGCATTTATTTGTCTCGTAGGTTGAAGTAGAGTATGCCCCAGAATGCTGGTCGGTAAAGCCTGATTTTTCTGGAAACCACTAACGCTCGTTGTCGTTATATTATTTGAATGCATGATCGAGGTGGATACGGGTGAGTTACTATGAATTTTGGAGAGCGCCGGCATTTGTAATATTTGAGAAGAGATCGATGTAGAGCATTGAGGTTCATCGTTTGGATTAAACGTTTGATGGTTAATCAAAGGGGATTGTGCTGGAGACTTCATTAGACTGTTTTGTATTCCTACAGGTGAGCTGATGGGCGATACTGTAGGGGATTTCCTTATTTGCCCTATTGACGAAAGTGTATTGACTCTTGTGCCAATTAGTTGTGCTGCACTCATTGGAACTGTGTCAGAAGTGGATATCGGTGCTTGAGGTTTTTCTATTCTTTGCACGGGTGATGGCCGCGACGTAGCAATTTCTACCTTTGAAGATGGTAGCAAACTTTCAAAGTTAACTTGAGTTGGTGTCGTAGCATCACTATTTTTCCTTATAATGGATTGGGACTCTACTTTAGAAGAGTTAGTATTTAACGACGACATAATTGTACGTAGTTGTTGTGACACATTAGCCATGTTGGAAGTTAATTCCGATGGTTGGGAAAGAGGTGATAATTGAGGTACTGTTGCTGATTGTAAGGCAAGCCTATCGGCCTCTCTGGCAGGAAATGTTGGTTGCTCTTGACTTTCTTTATTCTCAGCTTTGGGCGTAGTATTAACGTTTTGATTTGGAGGATTAGTTGTTTTAGGATTTGGTTGTTTCATACCAAATGGTTTAGCATCATCAGTGATGTTTTCAAGCATACAAAGCATATCTTCGAAGGACTCCACATGCTTCGGATTACCTTCAACTGTTTCCGAATGCTCTCGCATAGTAATGTCATTAAGGTACCTCTCTTGAGACGGAGTCGGCGAAGGTATAGATATTTGAACAGATTCTTGGGTTATATCAGATGTTATTTGCATGTTTGAATCTATGACCATCTCCTTAGTTTGGTTTGCGATCGCCTTTATAGTTTTTACTACGTTCTCTTCCGAGGTACTTTCAGTAGGCGGAGTGCTCGCTACAGGTGGTTCTTGCATGGATTTACTGTACGAAAGTAGCAAATGACTTTGCAGGTTATCTTCTGGTTTATCTTCGTCATCACCCTCCATAATATTATCAGGTATTTTTTCAGGTATAGGATCAGGACTTTTAATATCCGCTTTACCCAATAATAGTGGTGTCCTATCTGTTAAGCAAAGTGTATGTGGAAGTTCTGTTTGTTGACTAATTTCACTTTCTATGTCTATATCTTTAGTATCCTTCAGAAGAGAAGATTTTTGATCCTTTGAGTCTTGTGAAGTTATTGATAGCAAATGTTGCGAGCTAGAAGGGTTTTGTAAATCGGAATTACTTTCAGAGGTTACAGTACTATCGGGAGAGGCGGCTTCGTCTTGAAATATCTTAGCTGGTAACGTGACGTCGTGAGTAACAGCTAAACTCGATGATTTAGTGTTAGATAAAGATAAGGCCATGGGTTTTTCTATAGTTTTCACTATTTTTTGTTTCACTTGATGATGTGTTAAAATAGAAACAGGAACTCTTGACCCACCGGCGACCGTGTTTGATGTAGCAAGTGTAATCACAGGATTTATACTAGCGTTTTTGGCTACATTGGAAGATATAACACTTATAACAGAGCTGATTGGCTTTGATAGTGACTGCGATGACATGTTAACAGCTAATGGCGGGTTACTTATATTAAGCGGCACTTTTTTGATTTGCGATTTTGACATACCGCTAGCGTGTCCAGTTACATTCGCTATAGGAACTGAAAGATTCTTTAAAACTGGTACCGAAATGGTTTGATTTGCAATAGATACTGATGCTACTGTTGCTTGAGAAACTTCATTAAGAATTTTCGTATTTGTATGAGGTGCAAGTACTGCTGCACTTAAAACAGGTAAGCGAGAAAGAGCTGAACTTTGCGACGGATTTACTATTTTATATTGCTGCATGTTGCTATTTGGCTGTTTCGCCGGTGCTAAGCTTATTACTGCGACAGTTTTTGTCGTAGTTTCAGTACGTGTGCCTTTATCTTGGGGCATTTCTTCTTCAGCTTCATCTTCTGGCTTTCCACTGTCAATCAATTCTTCAAAGTCTTCCTCCGTGGCAATGCGCTCTTCTGGAGAGATGGCTCCGGAACCTTCGACAACCACAATATCGTCATCATCTAAATGTTCATCAAATTCTTGTATGTCGTCATCATCTTTACTAAAACTCATTCTCGCAGATTCATCTGAAGTGCTCGGATATTCGATACTATCCGAAGAGTACAGTACAAATTTCCTTGCATCGATTCTTTCACTAATTTCGTCTTGTCGATGTTCTGTAGCAGCCGTTTTTCCGGCGAATCTTGGTCTTGGTGGAGTACGTCTCTTCAAAATGGACACTTTATTGAGATGGGTCGTTCGTCGGCGATCGTCCTCTTTGTTTGGCCAGACCGGAGCACCCCCGAAGAGGCCGGGCTTGAAGTATCTATAGCCGGGCGGCATGGGTGCCATGTGGTGGTGGTGCGCGCCGCCGCCGTGGTCGTGGTGCGGCGCGGGCGACGCGGCGGGCGACGCGCAGGGCGTGGGCGTGCGCGCCACGTGCGGCGACCGCGACAGCGACGGCGACGCGGGAGCCCCGCCCATAGGACTATACTGTTGCCTTTGTAGTATTTGCTGTCGCTAAAACAATAAATAAACATGATTAACACTTATTTAGTTTACTTTTGTATTCAACTGTTAAATATAATAAATTACTTTACTATTGACTTAGTTAAATTCAAAAAATATTAAATTAAAAATGTTACTTAGTCTCTTATTTCTTAATAATCATTTATTTATACATTGATACAGGGTCGGAATTAGTACATACGACATTATTATAAATGTTGCACTTACAGTCATTTCGTTTGTCGTATTTCCAGGCGAAGGCAGCGGTTGAGGGCTACCGAGCGGAGAAGTCTGCTGACGTCCCACAAAAGGTACACCAACCCGCATACCTAATTGCAAATAATCACTTTATTACAAATGTTGTTCCGTTCTAATTTCACTTTATATGAAATATACTAGCGACTCACCCTCGCTCCGCTCAAGTTTGTCCCTCCTTACGTTTTAAAGTTTTGTATAGATTTCTCAGAAATATTATTTTCCCGCCGTAAAAAGGATCCTATATGTTGACCCGAATAAACAACTATCATCATACCAAATTTCATAAAAATCCCTCCATTGGTTTTTCCGTTATGCGGTATCAGACAGACAGACAAAAATTCTAAAAACTATAGATTCGGCTTCTGTACCGATAATAATGTCGATTTCAATAAGATTTTCCAAAAAAATATTGAATGTACAGATTCGACTTAGTTAGAATTTTATTGTATGTATTAATGAAATAAATATTACATGAAAAAAATATATTTAATTACCTTGTTGATGATGTGGTGGTCTAGCGAATCGCGAAGGTAACGGGGAACATCCTGGAGCGGGACGTGAGAATCTCCCCGTTGAATAGTCATTCTGAAATCATAATTTAAATTATTTAAGCTGTACCGGTTTTAATGTAAATATTTTATATGTTATGTATGTATGTGTTTTTGTATGTTAGACTTACATTCTGCAACTGTGGTGAATGAGACGCAACTGGACTTTGTATTTGTGATTGTTGATAAATCTGTGATAAAAACAAAACTTATATTAATATTATAGATTGATAAGATGTTTGAATATTTAAACCCATGGCGCAATAACCGTTAATCAACAGATTTGCATGAATTTTGACTCTAAGATAGAAAATCAAGAAAAACAACGTCTTCAAACAAATGGAGAGACATTTTTACTTTATATGTAAAAAATAAACAATATGTCATTTACAATAAATTAAATATCAACACTATAGGTATAAAACACTACATTAATAAATATATAAAATTAGGTTCTTTTTATAGGTAAAAAATCAATGTTCTATAAAACAAGGAATGGCATTCTGATGAAAATTGAGTTCTTTGCTAGTTCTGCAATCAGCTTAATTTCTAATCAACTTAAAAATATTTAAAGCTATAATTATTTATTTAGAGAAATATAGACACAGCTATAAAAATTTTAGCTTTAGAAAATAATGAATTTTACTTTTATACAGACTTACTGGTGCTATCTATGAAATAATTTAAGAGAAATAAAATTGCTATACCTGAGGACTACGACTCGGAGTAGGCAGCTGCGGACTTGTTCTTTGAGCTTGAAACTGTTGCAAGAAATGTTGCGGAGACATAGACGATTGCATGGGCGACTGTTGCGTGTGCATCGGGGACTGTTGTAGATGCATCGGAGACTGTTGAGAGTGCATCGGACTCTGCTGTGGATGCATTGGACTTTGCTGTGGATGCATAGGGCTCTGCTGAGGATGCATAGGGCTTTGTTGGGGATGCATCGGACTTTGTTGCGGATGCATCGGACTTTGTTGCGGGTGCATCGGACTTTGTTGCGGGTGCAAGGGACTTTGTTGCGGATGCATCGGTGAATGCTGCGTTGACATTTGATTTTGCGGATGCATCGACGATTGTTGATGGATAGGCGACTGTTGTGGATGCATTGGACTTTGTTGAGGATGCATAGGGCTTTGTTGCGGCAAACTAGATGTTTGCTGTACATGCATTGGTGATTGTTGAGAATGCATTGGCGATTGTTGCGTGTGCAGAGGTGACTGGGTTGAGGGATGCAGTGGAGACTGCGATGTATGATGCAATGGAGATTGTTGCGAGTGAAGTGGAGATTGCATCGGAGATGCCATGGGGTGTAGAGGGGATTGAGGCGCAATAGAATGGAGTGGAGATTGAGAATGAGGAGATTGGATGTGTAATGGGGACATCGCGGGCCGTGACCCCGGTTGACGAGGCTGTTGGTTTCCCGTCGGCATTGCATTTCTGACTCCTGCTAATTGTTGCTGGCTAAATTGTACAATGCCTCCAACTGACTGTGGGCGTTCTTGAACTGCTGACAACTGACGAACCAGCTGTTGTTGCGGAGCCCCGGCTTGTTCGATAACTAAAGTACGACCACCTTGCAAAATCCTGCCTTGTGTATTTAAAGGTGACGTTACTAGACCTATTCTTTGTTGTGATAATGGCTGACCGTCTGAACCAAGGACTGTTTGTTGTGTCCGTATAAGCGTCTGTTGCTGTATAGTAGAACCTTGTAATCCTATTTGCATTGGACGATTGATAGTAGTTTGTTGTTGCATTTGTTGTGACTGATTCATATTTTGATTCTGAGCGAAAACTGTTTGATTAGTTATTTGTTGTTGATTAATAACAGTCTGTTGCGCAAGTTGTGGATTTTGTTGTCGTTGTTTTGTCTCGTATTCCTAAAAGAAAGAAATATATAATTTTACCAAATCTTTTATAATATTTATTGAAACACGCATAGCCAAACAATTTTTATACCTGAATAAGCATACTGTGTTGTCTGGCTTGTTTTCTAGCAGCCTCCAAGTGTTTCTGGAGTGCTTGCTGCTCGGTCGACACCCGCTGCAGTTCCGCTGCATCGTTGGGCATTAATTCATTCCCAGATTTTCTTAACTGACGCTGCTTGCTATTCAGCGACTGAAAACAGAATGTCACAGTGTAGCTGTGGCTAAGCGAGACGCATTACTCTAGCACCCGGTTAGTAAACATAGACATTCGGTTAACACAGGTGCCCACACCCTCAATACCTGAAAGAGAACCGCGGACTGGAGGACGCAAACACGCGACTACGAAGCGCACGAACACAGAAGCGCACTATCACTCACCTTTCGTATCTTGCGTAGTTTCTGGACCTCTTGCTCGTAGTAGCGCAACTGATCAGCGGCGAAAGTGTTGTATTGCTTGAGCCACTGTTCGTAGAGCAGGCGCGCGTGGTGGTCGGCCTCGGAGACGGCGCGCTCGGGCGGCGCGGGCGGCGCGGGCGGGGGCGCCGCCGTGAACAGCGGCACGGACGGCGGGGGCGCCGGTGGCGGCGCGGGCGGCCCGCCCGCCCCCAGCGTCCCCGCTCCTGAAGATCCTCCCCACTCCCCTCCCTCCCGCTCCTGCTCTCGCTTCTCTTGCTCCAACAGCTCCTCCAGAAGCAACGGTTGCTCCTGGTTTACGTTCTGACGGTTAAATGTCTGTTTTCACATCGCTCCTCGACACTCGCCGACTGTCGACTCTCAGATCGCCGGTCGCGATGTATCATGCGTCTCGTTAACACCCGGTCTGATCGAAGCCGACTCGTTGAGTGAGCGATGTATTAATCGGTGACTATTTTTTATGTTTTTCATCAGCAAATGTTTATCGTTTAATAAATATTACGAGCATTAAGAAAGAAAAAATTGACGGGGTATATATTTTATAAAATATATTAAATCGGTTCATTAATTAATTTCAAGTACTAAGGAAGAGGTAAGTGCAATTTATTAAATTCAGGCTGACAAATCTAGTACTACACACAGTGCCGAATTTGCTTTACTTTCTATAGCAAAATAACAAAAAGGAAATAAAGGCCGTGTAAATGTTTGTGTAAATTTAAATATACTACTTTTAATTAACTAATTTAGTGTTGTATGCTTCCTTGATCTGTTAGAAATCGAAAGTAAAAGACAATATCTGTGAATTTATACTTCATAAACGTAATATTACAATGTAAACTATTTTAAATCAATACATTTAAATTGTCAAGAAACTCAAATAAAAAGTAAGACTAAAACCAAGTAATACTTTAACACAACATTTAAATATATTTTTTTATTTAATTTTTTTTATAAATATATAATTAAGTTTTTCGGTACTTGAATGGTAAGAAGATGGACTGTGTTTGTTTTATAAAATCTTAAATTCCTTTATTTATGAACGTATCATCATCAATATTATTGTCAAGAGACAGAGTAGTTTGTCTATGAAATTATGGACATTCACAATGACCCGAAACCATACAATTCTTGTCCACCACCGTTGGTCTGGAAAGCGAAATAGGTATAATTTCTTTGTTCGAAATATACTTCAATGTATGCAATATATATTAATTGATTTACATACGATATATTGTTCTCTTATTAGTGTTATGTTAGGAGAGATGCTGAAAAGGAACAGAGGTTAGTAAGTACGCATGCGTGCCGCGAGCAAGCAAAGAAAAAGCACTAACTACAAGGTGATTAGTAGTGACGAGGCCCTGTAATTGGATCTTAATACTCCAGTGAATCTTTCGCATATTCCATTAATTTAGGGTACAAGGGATACAAGTCACTAGAAGGGATAAAATTTTCTTCTTTTAAGAGTTAGTTTGGCAAGTACAAGTAATTTTTTTTTTCATAGCCAATCTATGAATTTAAGGATTGAATATCATGCGAGCCGAAAGATTCTAGTACGTAAAGGATGAAGCTAATCTTTAACATGTGTACTTGGCAAGTGTCACAGTGCAGAAAAGTGCATTGTTGAATTCTAATTTAAGAGCAGCTAGTTTAATGAAAAGGAGAAATTTATTGGTCATAAGAGTTGTATATAGATACATACATTTGTTTGGTTGTATTGAGTAATTTAATCATTAATATAACAGTATTCTGTATAATATTGTTGTATTTCTGAATTTCAATACAAACGAAGATATTGATTGGAATGAATGTGTAGGGTTATCTTATCGCGAGAATAGGAGGGTCGTAGATATCGAGGGATGACAGTGCGGGTAGTGGGGGCGGCAGTACCTGCAGCAGCAGCGGGCGGCGGTGCAGCCAGTCGCCCCACGCGTCCGCGTCAAAGGGCGCCTGCTCCCACCAATCACCCACATGCAACAACACGCCAGCACGTCGCCTAACATCCTCCACGACCGCCTCGCTTTCATACCGTTCACGTAATATATGACTACTTTGGACTTATTTTTATTATAAATCGCAACAAAACACACAAGACAAACGTATGAAAGTGAGGCTAACAGTTCATATACCCATGCAATATTAGTTTCGGAAGCATGTTATAAATCGGACGAGCGATTTTGACTTATTTATCTGTACAGATGTTACTGAACCTCCACCGATGCGTGGCTCGATTAATATTGCTTTGGATACGTTCACATAGATACAAACATGATACTGCGATGCGGTCATAATCGAAGCGGTAATACGGTTACACGTACTGAGATATATTTAAATAAGTATACAATTAAAGTGATCATTACAAATATAAACCACAAGTTTAACAGCATACATTTAAAGCTATGAATCCGTTACACCCCGTGTTTTGGGGCAGAACAAGTTCAATTTAAAACATTTAGAAGAAAAATGTACAACATGCAAAACAAGTTAATTATTAAAAAATCCTCCAAAACAATTAAATTTTATATTTTAAACAAAGCAACATTTATATTTAATTAGAAATTTAATATTTATTTATTTAAAAAATAAGTGATCCAGATAACTTTTTAAAAATATAGGCATAATAAAAGAACTACATTTATGTAGTGAACAAACAGATAAACATAATTGTATTCATGTTTGTTTCGTCATCATACTAAAAAATATATAAGTTATCTGAATTCCTATTGAATCTGAGCAATGTTCCTAAAGTAATGGTGGACATACATATTGTTATTATTTTTCATAATGAATGTTTTTATGTTATAAGATAAAATATATTAGACGAATTTTTAAAGAAGTACGTCCACCACAAATGAGATTGATTACAACTAAAAAGTTATAAGACGAATATAAATAAAATACGAGGAGTATGATATTTGCTAAAGGTCTAAAGTAAAATCTATATTCGTCCGTAAATAATGAATTGCTAATTCTTTAAATATTAATTTCAAAGTAGCATTAATTTAAAAATCAAGGATAATTATATCATTTATATTTTAGCTTGTTTGTATAAAATGCACAACATTTGCTTGATTAATTAGGTAAGAGTTTTAGTACATATTTATAACAACAAAATATAAGATAGATTAGAGTGAGCAATTCACATTAGCAGTACGAGACGATGGTATCATAATACATGGGGGGGAGGTAGGGGGCGGGGGGCGGCACTCACCTGCATCTGCGGGTAGGGCGGCGGCGCGCGCAGGCCCGGGTAGGGCGGCGGCGGCGCGCTGCGCGGCGCGCCCGCGCCCACGCCCCCGCCGCTGTTCGCTGCAAATACTTAAATCTTTAATACTTTCTTAGATACGCATGGATATTTGATATTTTAAATAAAATTCTCATAGTCAAAGGAGAGATAGCTGTGTGATTGCTGTAAAGTATGAAACTTTCGAGAGTTCAGGAATAAAAAAGCAAATTAAAACCGCGCAAAAACCGAAAAGAAATGCACATATTGCATTATATACACCTTACTACGCACGCCCACGTGCAGAGCCTTGTTTGAGACGTGTCGGTGTTTCGTTGCCGCTCTCCCTGTCCTCTGTAGCCGATTGGAAGTGGCCTACTTCGCTGGGCGGAGATTAGGTTTAATGGGGCTGCTCCGGGTACCTCTCTGGCGTAGCAGAGTTGACTGTGGAGCAGCCCCATTGGTTTGGTGGTCTGTCTAGCGTTTAGGCAGACCTGCCGCCGGGGCGCCGTAGTAGTTATGCGCAAGCGATCCTCCGGCGTCCCACTAAGGCGGGGGGAAGGGATGTCGGGTTTTAGTGGGTAATACCGGCCCCACATCACCACCTGAGGGATCAGGTGGTATGCGTATATGCATTTCCCGACGATAAAAAAAAAGGCAGAAGAATATGAATCAAGAACGATAAATGTGTATTCCAATATGGTGAAACAGTAAGAAACAGCTTGTCTTACATTAATGAAAATAATGACTTTACCTCAAATAACAAAATTTATTCATAATATAACAATACTAACCGGCAAGCGGTGTAACCGCCAGAGGGGTGTCTTGTCGCAGTGGAGGCGGCGCCAGTTGCCGGGCACCTGCCACCATGTTGCGAGCTGATAATAAGGAATAATACAAATTATTTTTTTATATTCAATAAAATATTTCGAACAATGATTTAATACCTTACGCTCGTGTTCTTTAGGTTAGAGCAGAAAAATATTACGTCATGTGTATAAGTCATAAGAACATTCTTTAATTGAAAAGGGATAGTTTGTATTGTCATCTGCACCATGCTATAATGAAAATAGTGTGTATGTAAATTCAAACAGAGTCCCGCATGTCTGAGGGAACTTAACAAGTTGCCAAAAAACACGTGAAGTCCACTCGCACTTCGCCAGCCAGCAGTGGGGCTAATTACGTACCGTTCATCTAATTAAACAGTACATAATCAGTAGGTAGGCATTTTAAATAAAACTATCTTTTCGGACTTTTTCGCGGATTAAGATTTTGATATTTGGTTCTCAACGTTTCGAATGCTCTACAGCAATCATGGTCACGGAAGAGACTAAGGTTTTAGATGTCTCAAAGGCATTATATAGTTTATTTAAAGGCATTATATATTATATAGTAGTATAATATATTATATAGTATAAAAAAGTCAGTAAAGATAGTTTTATATAAAATGTCAAGGATTCGCGTAAATCTAAGAAAGTATTACAGTAGGTAGGTAGTTACCGGAGTGCGGCAGCGCGGCGAGCGCGACGGAGCGGTCGTGGCGCACCACGCCCACGGCGCCGTCCGCGCCCAGCAGGCGCGTGCCGGGCGCGATGGCGCGGCCCGCCGCCAGCGCCGCCGTCACCTGCGCCGTCATCGCGTTCACGATGCTCTGCGGGCTGCCCTGCGACACGACACCCAACATCATTTATTTATCCAGTAATATATGTGTAAATGATATAGAATCTTTTGGCTAGCACAACACTCGGGGTTATTTATTTATCCAGTAATATATGTATAAATTATATATAATCATTTGTCCAGCTGCATTTTTTTTAGGTAACAAAGACAAAACAGCTCAGTACCTTTTTCACCTCTGTTTGCCTACCGATTTTATTTTATATTTAGTTTAGTAGCTATTAACGAGTTTCATTCAGTTACCAATAAAAAGATTAGAATAGAAGAAACTATTTCCAAAAACAGTTTCTTTTATATAGATGGTAACATGACTACCACTTGCCTTACGATAAAGGAAAACTTCGTGATGAAACTTCCTGAGTGAACCTAGCAAGTTTTCGAAAGATATGTCAAGTCAACCCGCTCTTGGCCAGCGTGGCCAGCAGTGGGACGTTAAAAATTTCTGAATAAAATACAATATATTACACTTTAGGGATACCCTTGTCTTATTCCAAGTTATACTCTATCTCTGTAAAAATCCGCCCAGCCATTTAAGCGTGAAGGAGTAATAAGCAAACACCTACACACAAACTTTTGAATATATGTACAATAATAGTACAATTATTTACTAAGCACACCTGTGCAAACTGTACATGTTGGTTGATGAACTGCCCCTGCGGGCGCACGCCGGGCGCTTGCTGCGGGCCGGCGCGCACCGCTTGCACGCCGCCTTGAGTCTGCCGTATATATACCAAATCAATTAATTTATATGAACGTAAATGAAAATAAACTTAAAAAAAATCATAAGAATTTTACTTTAGTTATTTTTTTATTTACTCAAAGAAGCTATGTATAACTTGCCTGTTGCAATTGGAGACCGAACATATTTGAAAACATGGGCCGCTGCCATTCGCCTTCAGGTTTGTTATCGTCAGCCTCAGCTTTTACCTCTGCTTTTACTGCCTGCATAGCGTTCTGATAAACAAAATTTGAGAACAACAATTAATGTAAGAAATCTACACTACACTTTATTTATATATATTTAAATATTTTTGGGATTTTATAAATATAATATCATTGGTAATAATGTAATTTAAAATTCGAGAGTTGTTTAATAAGCACATTGAAGCAGACCTGCAAGGCTATTTGTTGATTTTGTGAAATAACTCGTTGGATGTTCTCAGGAAACATTTGCGTGACGGTGGTCGGCACGTCGGATTTCGTTTCAGGATTTTCAGACTTAACTTCTACCATTTCAACCTTTACATCAGATTTATTTGATTCTATATTTTTAACTGCTTTCTGCAGCTCACTATCCATTTTGTTATCTCCCTTTGTTTCAGAGTCGTCTCTGTAAATTCAAAGTAATATTAGAAGCTAGTATTTTAAGTATACTTATTTAAACTGACAATCTACGCATATAATAAAATGGTAATCAAGCCGAATCTGTACACTAAATATTTTTTTTTTTGAAATACACATTATTATCCATACAGGGGCCGAATCTATAGTTTCTAGAATTTTTGTCTGTCTTTCTGTGACAGCATCAGGAGAAAACCACTGGACAGATATTGATGAAATTTGGTATTATGATAGCTGGTTATCCGGGTCAACATACAGGTTACATTTTACCACGGAAAAATATCTCATCTCTTAGCAATCTATACTAAACGTTAAAACGTATCTAGAGACGAACCGGAGTGAAGCGAGGGTCAGTTGCTAGTTTACTATATATATATAAGTATTGAGAAATCTAGCCACATATTTTTTTATTATATATATTGCACTCCCGTACAGCACGTTAAGCCGTCGGCCGGGAAGATATTATAATGAGCATGGCATACTCGTGGTGGCGGCGGGCGGGCGCGAGGCGCTCGGGCACGTCGTCGGGCAGGTCGAGGCCGTCCAGCAGGTGCTCGTCGCCCAGCGCCGCCAGCTCGGGGTCGGCGTACTCCAGGATGTTGAACTGCTCGCCGATCTCCGCCGTCAGCGACTCCAGCAGCTCCTCGTCGTCCTCGCCGCCCAGCCCCGTAAGGATGTCCACCTGCTCGGAAAGTGCATTCTACATATCAAATCTTGTTTTTATATATATTATAGAACAGCATAACATACATAGCATTTAATATATTGATGATATAGATTTTAAGAAACAAAAATAGAATGGTTTATATTACTTATAATGACATAAAAATGAATGATTCCGATTGTATATGTGTAGGAATCAAAATTAAGACGATAAAAAGCGTAAAGTATATATACCTCTCCAATATTTCCTGTGTCTTGTTCAAGCTTGTCCATATCTCCAATATCCATTTCGTCTTGACCATTATCAGCACCACTATCTTGCTTGTCTGGATTCGCTGCTAATAAAAGTTTTGATCATAAGTTATTTTTAGAGAAATCCTTATAAAATTAATTAAAAAAAATACAAGTGTTGGTATATTCAAGAGTTATAAAATACACAAGTATTGAACAACAATATAAAAAATCATATACCATTTACTATTCTCCATGCTAAAAACAAATTGATAATGTCTTAAGTCAACTTGTAGAACGGTTATGGAGAAAAAAAATAGAATTAAAAACAAATGATATACCATTCGCCTGCGACACGGCAATCTTTTGTTCCATCATCTGTGTATTGGCAGAGTTGTTGACATTCTGTTGCATCTGAGCACCCTCCGCACTCACAAGACGATGTTGAATTATCACTGAAAAAAAAAATCATCATCATTTTTTGCCTAATTCTTGCGCTATTTGTAATTGTGATAGTTAAGTGAAAATTTATTAGTATATCGCGGTTAATAATAAAATAATTTGATAACATTAATTTGACCTGTGTTTGTTATTGTATTGCATTTTTAGTTATTTATACCAACTTCCAAAAAGTTCTATGTTAGTCTATATGTGCATATATTTTATTATAAAATACTACTAATAAATGCTTTAAAGCTCTGCAGTATATAATATACTGACTATGTTCAGGTCGATGCAAGTGCGGTCCCTGTGCGAAGGGCAGCGCGGCGCGCGGCCGCAGCGCCACCGGCAGCGGCGAGCGGAACGCGCCCTCGCCGGGCACGCCCGCGCGCCCGCCTTCTTCCGACGACTCTGCACGCATTATTTAAAACGATCATGTAGTTTGTTATTTCAAACTTTTATACGACTTCTTATAAATTCAAAGTTTTTATAAGAAATAAAATAAGACGCACTGCATGGCATTTAAAAAGAAATCGTATTTCACACATCCTACTAATATAACAATAAATGTGAAAGTTTAAACATTGATTAGTGATAAATGAGCAGTGTCGAGTAGTATACTCACGCGGCGGCCACATCTTGTCGGGGTGTCGCTGCAGCAGGTCGCGCAGCTGCCTGTTGATGTCCTCGTTGGTGGCGAAGAGCGGGAAGCGCTGCGCGGGCGGCTGGTGCGGCGGCCGCGGCGCGTCCGGCGCGGGCGACGCGGGCGGCGCGGCGGGCGGGCTGCCCTCCGCGCCGCGTAGCCGCTGCATCGCTGCTTGAACACACACACGCTCTGATGGAGCATAATACAATACTGAACTTATATTCTCTATCGGATTTATCTATTCATCAATACAGTCAAACCTGAGTAAGTGAGAACTGGTTTAGCGAGTAAACTCTGTAAGTGAGAGTAATTACCGGGTCCCGTCACTTTATCCCTCTAAAACCTCTATAACAGAGAAACAGAAATCTCTATAAGAGAAAATCGTTTTTCATCTGTGAACCTCTATATCTGAGAATGCTACTTGCCTGTATTCTATAAGCGACAGTCGGGCGAATTTAACATCAGCTATTTATTTCTATGGCTTAAATTTTGTGGAATCAACATTGTTTTTGTATCCTTAAATTTCGAGGAAATAATGTTACATCATAGTCAAGTTTTGATGGATAATACCTATACATACATACATGTTTATTTACACATTTGCATTTTTTTTAAATTTCTATAAATTAGAAAGGCCACTCCTGTACCTCTATAAGCTAGAAACTCGGGTTAGTGAGAAACCTCCATAAGCGAGAAAGAGATCGCGGTCCCTTGAATTCTCGCTTATCCAAGTCTGACTGTATATAATCTTTACATAACTAAATTACCATATACTGGTACAGAACAATTATTACTATTCATTTATTATTCTTATTTTTATTATTAATCATCATTTGAATTGATTTTGAATTCATAATTTATAAGTTTGTTGTATTTATTTTGAAAAATTCCATTAATTTACACTAAATTTATTTTATGAAAATTATCTCTTAATTAATATTATCATTAACGTATACTAAATTTTCTACAAACGGCTACACCTCAATTGTACAACAAAACAAACTATGACATATCGTAAGTGCAAGACACCTTGTATCCGCTGGTCGTGTATGATCTGCTGCTGCTGCTGCGTCTGCTGCTGGCGCATCTGCTGCAGCTGCTTCCACTGGCGCTCCTGCTCGGCCTCGCGCGCGCTGCGCTGCTGGCTGCAGGCGCGCTCCTGCTCCTGCAAGCACGCGCCGCGCCGTCAGACACACCGACACAAGTAGCGCACCACTAAGCGTTACTCACATGCACTACACTTCATATTATATTGCAATGTATTCACACTATGTGTCAAACTATAATTTTTTTAAATATCGTTTTTTTAAAGTGATGTACTTTAATCGATCGACATTGCTTTCTCTAAAATGTCATCTATTAAATTCAATAGAGACATACGTTCAGTAATTCATGATTCTCAAAATTTTTCTTTGAATAATAAATAGTCGTGCGTAAACTTTCGAAATACAACAAATAAAACAACAAAATGTGCTACCAAACAGTCACATGCAAAATCATTAAACGCAAAATTTTCTTCTGTACAACCCTATTTAACTTAACATGGAACTCTATTTCTTTACATGAGTAATTTTATGTCCAAAAATTTAATGCTCAGTAAAAAAAATACTATATTAGTTAAGGTGAACAATAGATTTAAGTAGCATCGTCATGCTGCAGTTATCAAAATTTATTAAAATGTTACATTTTTTATTAAGTATATGCAAAATATTAGTAATATCAATCAATTCTTTCCATCCATGTTACGCTGTTATTAATGAATGAAGTTATATTAAACAATTAAAATATACATTATGATTGATTTGATGTTTTTGATATAATATAAAAATATACTATAGTAACTTATATACTAGAAAAACATAAGGCTTATTTACAGTGCTTGAAAAAAAACTTAAAAAAAATAATTATCATCGTTAATCAGTCTTATCATATTTATGTTACGCTATTACCTGTAAACTTAGGTCTAAATTACAGAAAGTCAAGAGCATAATAACGCAACGAAATATTCGACTACATACAGACTAGGGTTAGAATTGTTAGCACACCGATACCAGCCACCGTCCAATGTTAAAGCCAACACTACCAAGACAAAGCGAAAATTAAAATAAACAACGTTACGGATACAGAGGACGCGTCCGGGAGGCGTTCGAGAGTAGTATCCTCGATAAAAAAAAGCTAAATGAAATTAAAAAAAATAATCACACAGCTTACAACGCCATTTAACAACCAGTTTGTTGGGTGACAAGTATAAACTTAAATGTATTTTGAGTGAAGTTAAAGAAGGATCGCGAGAGAGTGCGAGAGCGCGCTATCACCCAACAACGTCCATTAAGCGACTCGCATATACACCTTTATTGTTGAGTGCTTGTTTTTTATAAATATATAAAGTGTATATATAAATATTTCATTTAAAAGAAAATTATCAAACATGTATGAATGGTAATATGTATATAATAGTACAAAATCTATAAATCACATACATTTGTAGCAAAACAGACATAATAAAAATTACATAAGAATATCATATATAATATTAAATACACAAATAATATTGAACAAGGTGACATACAAAAGTCAAGAGAAGCTAAATACAATTTACCTAAAGGGAAATAAATATTGTATAGGTGTCGCGTGTCATGTGTGTGCGTGCGTGTGGTGAGGCAGTGTATATGCGAGGGCGGGTGTAGTACCGTGTTCGTGGCGGGGTGCGGGGTGTGTGCGGGGTGTGCGGGGGGAGGCGCGAGGCGCGGCAGCGTGCGCATGATCTCGGACGGGGTGAGCACGCGGATGTGCGCGTCCGCCTCCAGGAGCCCGCCAGCCGTCACCGTCACGTTGGGCGCGCGAACCGTTCCGCTGGGAGGCGCGGGCGGCGCGGGGGGCGCGGGGGGCGCGGCGGGCGCGCTGGGCGGCGCCGCGGGGGCGGGCGGCTGGGCGGGCGCGGGGGCGGGCGCGCAGGGCGGCGCGGCGGCGGGCGACGCGGCGGGGCCGGGCGGCGCCCCCGCGGGGGAGCGCCCGCCCTCCGCGTCGACGCTGGCGGCGCCGCTCGAGCTCTGCCGCGTCCGTCACGTTACACAACAGCGAACCCGATATACGTCTGACTTCGACTCCTACCATGACCGCTTTCAAATATTTTAGCGAATCTGCTTTTGTTTTGAAAAACTTTCAGTCGGTCATCGTAGGAAACTAAGGCGTACAAACGAGATACACTTTTTATAGTATATTAAACAATATACAAACTCAAAAATACAAAATCAAAAAATAAAATATATTATGCTTGTAAAACATATTATTATAAACATCACGTAAATATAAAAAAAACTATATGTGTAGGTATATTCTAACTTATCTTTCTACAGACTATAAATTAATTATAAAAAAATAATAATTTAATCTTTACTAATTAAAAATCATTAAAACTATAACATTAACTTTATTAGTAGTGTGCTGTAGGTTCATGATTTGTAATTAACGTTTTCCATTTACTCTGTTTTAGTGGTTTCTATAATCAGTTTTTTAAATAGGCAGTGTTTGAACTAAACAAACACATCATTTGACAAGCAAGTCATAAAATGGTGAAACTTCATGTATGAATTTCAATGAACTAATGACTAGCTTTGTTAGTATTTGTTTGATTGCCGTCTCATGCCAATTATTTCTTAACAACTTTAAATTATGTAACAAATGAAATAATTAAAAATATATCATACTACTAAAAAAAGTCTTTTAAAACATTTCTAAATGCGTAGCCCTATACTTTTGGATTGCAGCTTGATAATGATTAGTTTTTTTTAAGTGCAGATTTGATACAAATTCCATATATTATATAAAAATCAAAACATTTATTAAAAACTGAAGAATGGAGTCATTTCAAATTTATTTATTTAATGAGCAATTTATTTACAGTCACACTAGTTCCGGCAATAAGGAAAAATTAAAGAATCTACAGCCCACTATACAGTAACAGAAATGATAAAAAGAAGCTTCCATGAACTTAATATTTAATATATAAGCACACCTGTCAAGATTTCACGTTAAGAAAAGACACAATAAAATTTTATAAAAATTAGAAACGTAAGAATGAGAAAAGTTGACGACAAACGTCTTGAAAATAATACATGGTATTAACATATACCCAAAGACAGCTATAGTGATAGCACCAAAGTCATCAGCCAATAAATATCTGCCGGCTCTAATCACATGTGTATGTAAATTAGATGTTTAACTTAATTTTTTTCTAAAGTTCAAGTTAGTGTTACAAACAAGTATTTATAAGCTCAGTGTTGTAGAGGGGGGTGGGAGGGTGTTGATAGGGGAGGGCGGGCACACGGCACACGGGCGCGGGTACTATGCGATCGAATTGACGGCATTGACTTTCAGGTCCAATAGCTCATTAGAACAAATCGATTAGAATGTTGACAGACAAACTTGTATGTTCGATCGGATAGCACCGATAAGTACAACACAGTGAGTAGTGGTTAGCACACACGGGAGGGGCGCGGGGAGCGGTGGCCTACCTGCTGGGCCTTCTTCATGCGGATGGCGCTGCGGTTGTCGCGCGCGCGCTGCAGGTAGGGCGCCTTCTGCTCGGCGGGCAGCGCGCGCCACTTCTTGAGGATCTGCTTGCAGCGGTCCACCCAGTTGGGGAACTCAGTCTTCCACTCCGGGTGGTTCGTGTTGGCGTATAGTACGGCGGATATCGTGGCCGCGGAGCCCAGGCCTGCATTTCGATAATTTCATGATAGAATTCGTGACAGAAGTTACTTTAAAGACCCCTATACGAGTTGAGCAATCTTAGTAATGATAGTAATGCATGAGTGCACATATTATTGTTATCCAATCAGCATTAAGAAAATCAGAAAGAGCTCTTGTCTTTTTTGGAAGAAGATCAGTTAAAAATATTGAAACAAAATTGCAATATATTTTCTGGAAAAAAATCAAGGGTAAAATAACACCTAAGAACAACATGGTAACTTAGTATTAGAGAAATTTCGAATTTGAACTTAATTAAATATGTACATGAGTAAATTAACATTTTTAAATTATCTCAATACTGAGTTACAACGATCGTTTGTTGCAAGTGACAATATAATTAATATATAATACATATATGTATTAGTAGTACTGACTCTCGTCCGCGCGCATCTTGTCGGCGCTGCGCTGGTTGTAGGAGGGCGGCGGCGCGGGCTGCTCGCTCCACGCGCCGGGCCCGCTGCCGCTGCTGCCGCTGTTGCACTCGCCGTACAGCGGGCTCAGTGCGCTGCTGCAAATTGCAATACGACATTAGGACATACACTCAAACCTGACTGACAACTGGGTAAGCGAGAAAACTCTATGAGTGAGAGTAATTGCCAGATTCCGTCATTTTATCCCTAAAACCTCTACAACAGAGAATCAGAAACCTCTAGTAGTAGTCTAAGAGAAAGTCGTTTTCTATTTGTGAACCTCTATAACTGAGTGTTAAATTTAACGCCTGCGATTTATAGCTTAAATTTCGTGGAACGAATCTTAGTTCCTAGTCAAATTCCGATGAATAATACTGATACAATACACACATGTTTATCACTACACATATATTTTTTAAACCTCTATAAACAAGAAAGACCACTCTTGTACATCTATATGCTAGAAACTCGGGTTAGTGAGAAATCTTCATAAGTGAGAAAGAGATCGCGGTCCCTTGAACTCTTGCTTATCCAGGTTCAACTGTATTATATACATTTAATAGCTATGATGAGTGAAAATTCAGTTTAATTAGTAAATCTTAACATACGTTAGCGTTTATTTGGGTATATAACTAAATTGCTGTATGAATTTTCATCGGAATTTTAGTACAGGAAAGAGAGATTATTTACAAAAATTAAAGGCTTTATTTTGAAAATAAACTACCGGTATGATGAAAAAATCATCTTTTTTGAAAACTTCCATATTATTGTAATTCCATATGATTATAATGTTCCATAAATAATGTAACATGAAGGACATTAAGGGACGCTAGTTCATAATAAAATTTTAATAACATTATCTTTATAATTTATTATAGATATGTCTAGTTAACATTTAAAAAGATTAAAGAGTTAAGTCTCATAAAACTAACGTAAATCGGGCTTCATAAGGAATCAAAATTTACCTGCTACCAAATTCATTGTGATATGGTGATGCATAGTCCATAGGGCTTTGTAACTGCTGACGCTGCTGAGAATAAGGTGTGCCTCCCATAGAGTTGACGTATGACACTGACGACTCTTGCGACTCCTACAGATTAGACAATGTGTATAAAGTAATGACAATTATATATAAATGTTTGACGGCACTTGTCGAGACTTGCCAAGCGTGTACAATGTACATGTAGCATAAAACCAAATCAAGGACAGACTGTGGGATGTACTCTGATGATTTAAACATTAAAATTTCATTACCCTAGTTACCTACAATACGGTTTTTTAATCTGATTGTCTAGGTATCCTTGAGGCAGCTAGAATAATCGCGACAAGGAACGTCAAAGATTTCTCCATTCGTATACTATCATACAGCATGTCAGTACTACAGGCAGGCATTAAATAGCAACTCTACCACTTCAGGTATGATCCATGAATGCCATAACTCTTTGACACAAATAAGCGACTGGAACGAGATCACTTCGCGATGGATCAAAGGCTTACAGCTCATGCGGTAATGATATGGCCGATGAGTTAGCCGAGCCGAAAAACTGAGCCGAAAATATTAGCACTATTGTTTGTCTAACCAATCTTAACAAGAACAATGGATAAAGAGTTATAGAGCTATAATAATATCCTACCTGCGAGTCATCAGTGAGCACGCCCTTGAATATTTCGTCCACGTCGTTGCTGTCCATGTCGGGCAGCGAGTCGCGCACCATGGCGTCCAGGCTCACGCCCAGCAGCGACAGCTCGTCCTTAGGCGAGATGGTAGACGCCTGCGACGACCCGCCGGTGTCTGCACCACATACAACATTTATATGTATTTGTAAATTACTTATTTGTAATCATAAATGACTTATGTATATGAGAAACGCACCATTATGGCCAATTTTCTTTTTTTTCAATCTTACACAAATTGTAATAGTTCAGTTAGTCAAATCTTAGCTACTGTATGACAAACTGATACTATTAAACTTTCTTAGATTTATGCGAATATTTGATATTTTAGAAACTACATATTATTTTTTCGGAATTTTAGAAAATAAATCACTTTATTTTAATTTAAACTTATAATATTGATAAATTAAAACATTTAACACTAACCAGTACTAATATTTTCAGTTTTGGGTGGGTGCGGTGCATTCTCAGGTGTCACTTCAGTCTCGCTAGTCTGTGGGCCTAATATAGCATTCTTTAACGCTGTAGAATCCTCCGTATGCTTTAGTTGACCCTCATCAGATGCTTCTGTCTTAATCTTTGTGCTATCTGTTAGTATATTTTGGGCATCATCTTTTTCCTCCTTCGGCTTCAGCGAATGGAGTAGTTCAGATTCTTCCTAAAATGAATAAAATTAATAATACATATTACAATATTAATGAATGTTTAATTTAATTTCCACGCTCTAATTAAGTGTGAACGTAACGTCGACACATACCGTATTGAGTGTAATAAAAACGGTTGTATCGTGGTCGTTGAAGGCGGAGAGCGCGGCCAGCACGTCGTCGGCGTCGCTGTCGGAGTTGTCGAGGTCGCGCAGCTCGCGGTAGCCCTCGGGCGTGGCCCCGCGCGCCTCCTCACCGCCGCCCGCGCCCGCGCCCGCGCCGACACAGCCTAATGGTTATAATAATTTATTAATATCAGAGCAACTATTGTTTCTCGCAGGTCCTTCTCAGCAGAACTGCATTCAGAGCCGGTGGTAGATTCCTCACGGACTGACTACACTAAGATTTAATTAATTTTTTTATTTTTTTATTTATTCATTTATTTATTACTAACACCAACAAGATATACATTAACAAAAACACAGAATTACAGCATGCCCACAAGTTAGGAGTCTAAATGTTATCTTAATTATAGGTGTTACACACATTGCAAAGAAACACGTATAAAAATAATAGAGAACAATAGGTACATGCAAAAATAAATACACCAGACAATATAATCAAAAATAAATAGAATTGAGTTAAAACATAATTCATTAAAATATTAAAAGTACAATTAAATTTTATATAAAAAATACAACAGAAACAATTAAAAATTAATAATACAGATGGATCAAATAACAACATAATAAATTAAAAGTAATAATATAGTTAGTTTAAATAAATCGTATCAGTAAAACAATTATCTTTAAAATAAAAATTAATTATTAACTTAAAAAAAAAAAACAAAGTAATCAATCATACAAATAGCAATTATTTTTGAAATAAAAATTACGTAAATTAAATTGGAATTTAGAAATAGCATCAGAATAAAAGTCCATATGAGGTTTTGAGTCGATTTGCTCACTATCGTTATTCTTATAAATAAATTTATAATGGTAGGGGAGCCCAAGAGGGGATTTTTGTAGTTACTCAAGCGCGGCAGATTAACATAAAAGAGGTTACCTTGCACTCTATTGAGTACTTTCACCACAATATAAGTCTTCTATATAAAGGGGCGCGTCTAGGGAAGCCGATTAAAATATTTAAAAAATGTTTTGATAAGGTAGAAATACTTGAAACCGTCAGATTAAGGTGTAGTAGGCTAGTCACATCCTGAAAAGTGTCCAATTTAATAATCTGCCGATTTGCACAAGCCTAAGAGGCAAAAATCATCATAAACTTTATAGTCGATTGTGGTGAAAGTACTCAATAGAGTGCAAGGTAACCTCTTTTATGTTAATCTGCCGCGCTTTAGTAACTACAGAAAATCCCCTCTTGGGCTCCCCTACTATAAAGTGAATTGTAGCTAAGCATCATTCTATTTATCAGTGAGTAGCGTCCTTGACGTGAGTGCGTGAATTTTTCAACAAACGGTATAAATGATGACGGTCTCGTTAATCTTGTTGGAGCACGAATGTTTAATTTAGCTAACAGATATGGACTATCGACGACGCCATTCACCAATCTATATAAAAAAACGAGATCAAGGAGTCTTCTTCGATTCCAAAGGGATTGAAGATTAAAGTATTTTAGATTGTCATTATAACTGTTTATGGTTTTAGCTAGCTTGTGGTCATAGGATAAATGCCGAACAAATCTCTTTTGTATCCTCTCTATTCTGTGTGAGTAAATGTCGAAATGAGGATTCCATACCACACTAGAATACTCCAAGATGCTTCGGACTAAGGCTGAATAAATAATAATTTTTGTACACCTTTTTGCGGAGTCGCGGAGGATAAATCCAAGAGTTTTAAAACCTTTTTTTATAACATTCTCTATGTGAACGTTGAAACATATCAATATAGAAACATAAATAAAACATATCAATACTTACCGGTAGAGCTAACTGCAGGCTTAGATGGCTCCAACAATTCTTTGCCAAAAAAGGCCTCTTGCATATACGAAGGAAATTGTTCCATCAATTTAGAACGCGGTTTGCGACGTGGCTTCCGTTTGTTACTTGGCGATTCTATAATGTAATTGTAATTTTTTTATTAAATTACTAGATGAGTACATATCATATAAAAGTCTGCATTGTAATTATAATTGCTTTTGTGAAAATAGCTATGTATCTTATATTATTTTAAAATAATTACCTCCAAAACCTTGTGATCCATCTACATCTTTTTCATCATCTGCCTGAGCTTTCGCAGTAGAATGTCTTTGTCGTACGACAAAGCCTCCTATTCCCAGTTTATTTAGATTTCTCTGACGTTTTCTCCTAAGTACTGTAAGGCCAGAATCCGTAGTGTAAATTGTAAAGCCTTCTGGTACTGGTCCATCATTTGCGACGTTCCAGAGAATGCCTTCTTTGAGATTAGTGTTTGTCGCTAGACCTGTGAAAGTGTTTACTTATAACATTTTATCAAATAATTGGCGTTTTTTCACGTTAAATAATATTTATTAAATTTAAATACGACTTACACAAAATACATACTAAATATACACAATTACACACATTTAAGCATTTCCTATGAAATACATATATCATGCCCTGTATGTCACAGTATAAGCATGCATGTGCAGAGTGGCAACGTACCGGGTTCGTCTTTGACGTCAGCGGTGCTATCGGGCTTGGAGTCGTCTCCCAGCTCCCCTTCTGCATTCTGAACCACTGTTTCAATAGATGCCATTATTTCTAATCCATATGCCAGCGTCAAACACATAAAAATTCATGTTAGATACTTGACTACTATTTTTAATTACTTGGGCTTTGTTTATAACTTTTCAATTACTTGCCTTTCATATGAAACGGTAATAATTAGCTTAGTCTAGGCTAAACTATTATTACTCTGATAAGCAAATTTGCCTAAAAATGTTATTTCTTAAAAATAGGTCAAAGATCCACATTTCCAGTATTTGTACTGTGATATTATTGAAATACTACATTGGCTATATTTTAAAAGATTATATTTTAAAAGTTCACTTGTTACAACTATGGTAAAACTAAACCCTAGCCAAATTGTAATTGAGATAGTTTTTATCTTTACTCTTTTAACTTAACTATAATCTGGTCATACTCGTAGGCTATTTAATTTACTATAGGATAGAAATTAAATGAATATTTTCCAGAATTCCCAAGAAGAAAACATTTCGAAATTTGAATTCGAAACTCCCCCAGAGTGGAGCTTATAATTATCATATTCTTAGATCCAGTCTCACCCGCATCCTTCTCGGTGTTTTCATTCTTGAAGCGTCGCTTGCGGCGCGTGTGCGTGATGCCCATCTCGGCCTCGAGCTGCTTCATGTGGTGCGCGCCGCGCTGCGACAGGCACACGTCGTCCACGTAGTACTCGCCGCCCAGCCCCAGCGCCACGGGCGTGAGGCGCGGCCGCGGCGCCGCGCTCTCGACGGCGCGCGCCAGGTGCGGCGGCGGCACGTCGCGCCCGCGGCACACCACGCACTTGTAGCTGTATGGAAACACCACCATGTATTGTTAGGCACACGCACCCTTACATTCAATATCTCGACTTCGAGAGATTTAGTGTATATATATAGCTAAATGCAATGTATCATTACAAATATAAAAGTATCTATAGTAATTTTTAATACAATAAAAAATAACATTAAAGATAACTTAATATACCAGTGGCGAAGGGTCCATACAAGACGATTCCCACCGTCTTACCCTTTACGGATTCAATAATACATCATACATTATAATATATATTTTTTGAATTAACATAAATAGTAAATAAAAAATCTATTTATTATTATCGATTCGAACGCAGCACACATACCCAGCCCGACAGCAGGCCTCGGCGTCGGCCTCGCCGCGGATGGCGTCGCAGGCGCCGTGCAGCCAGCGCGAGCACGCCGTGCACTGGATGATCAGCTCGCCGTCCGAGTACGGCTCCGAGCACACGCAGCACATCACCAGCGACGCGCACGGGGCGCACTCTGTACACGATCATCGACATACGTTACTACAATATTATTCTGTTCACTCTTACAGTTTCAGTGGTCTAATAACACTAATTATAGACTGGTTATAAATATCCGAGTTACTAAAGTTATTTTAGATATCACATATAGAAGGAATAGAAGAGCCTGGTTATGCCATTGCTGGGCGCAGTTTTCATGTCAAGGAAATCAAGCCATAGTCCAAGTTTTGCTCTCTCTGCCTACTTCGCAAGGAATATTGCGTGAATGTTGTGTGTGACGTACCGGTGTAGTTGTCGCACCAGAGCGGCGTGTCGCGCGTGCCGCAGACGAGGCAGCGGCGGCAGCGCGGGCAGCGCCAGGCGCCGCGCGGCACGTCGGGCAGCGCGGGGCGCGCGCAGTACGTGTGCCACGCCGTGTCGCAGTCGTCGCACAGCACCAGCAGCGGCTCGTCGCTGCGCGAGCCGCAGCCCTCGCACACCGTGCAGTCCAGGCAGCGCCAGCCCAGGCTCACGATCACTTGCGACACCTGACATCGTACATTTTGTTTTGTACTAGGTGACTTTATATCAAACCGTGTAGGCAGTGCACGCCGATAAAACAATTCAACAGCCAGTTTTAAACGACTTCAGTTAAAGTTATTATGATTTCTGACAACAAAGATATTTTTATAGAAATAAACTTGACAAATACAGCCAGATGTACAACAAAGTGATCCTATAGGGTTCCTTTTTTCCTTTTCAGGTATGGAACCCTAAATAAGTCAATAGCACTCAGAAGTAATGTAACTTACTATAAATGAAAGAATTTTCAGAATTAAATCAGTATTTACAGAAATTACTACCTTCATACAAACTTAGAAACTACCTCTTTATAATATTAGTATAGATTACAATAGATTACACGGTCCCGCACCAGCAAATTAAATCGCGATAGTGACTAAAACCGACAACGAGCATGGACTTATCAGTCAATGCTCGTCAACATATTGCGTATATGCAGTTCTTGTATTTCAGCAAGCATGCCAATACACTTTGCCATAATTAAACTGTTAAAAATATATACAACATACTAAAATTTTTATACTTAAAATCTATGTAATTAAATTTGTTTCCTTAATTTTAATTCCATGTATGTTAATAAAAACTAAAAAAAGTTTTGATTTAATAGAAAATTATACTTACTTTAATGCTAACACAATATGGATGATAAGTCTGGCCGCACTGCGAGCACGCTATGAGGCAGCCCTCCGAGTCCGTGCCGATGGCGCCACACATAACGCACAAATCTTGGGTAAGTACGAATTTATCTTTGCTTGAACACAGTACCAATTTATTTTCTACTCCTAAAAAAATATTTTATAGTGAATGGCAATACTAAACAACTGCAATAAAAATGAATTTTTATCAATAATGCCTGTAAAAATTATAATATATAAATTCCTTAAGCTCATAAAATCTAACTATAATTTTTATTGGACCTCTTTAATATTATACCATATATATAAGTATCGTCACCAACTAGAAAATTTCTTGTTAAAAATGTTTACCTGGATCATCTTCAGAAGTTTTATTATCTGGAGCCTGCGGTCTCTGTAGACCTAAGCCGGGGACACCAAACACCCCTCTCATCTTTGGTTTAGACCCTCTCTTCCGACCAAAATCTAAAACTGATCTCTGTCGCTTTTGGAAGCCCAGTTTGCCAGCAGGTGGAAATGCGCCTTTAAGTTTGTAACCACCAATTTTCTTTTTTGCCACCTTTGAGGATACTGTAAAAGGTTTACCCTTTCCAAGGCCGACGTCAGGCTGTAAAATAAGACATTGTTATTGATTTGGTTCATTTTTAAACATATTATGACATTGGAAATCATCAAAACCTACCTTAGGCTCCATAGCAAGTGGATCTTGATCTTGTGTGTTATCATCGCCAAAAGAGGAATCTTGCGAGGTTGAAGCCATATTGTCATCCTCAAATGCTAAAAAAATTTAATCATTATATTTATGAACATGTATAATAAAAGCTCTCTTGTTATAGAAAATATAAATCTGTCACATTAAAATTACTAGCGAGTACTTACAACCAGATTTAGATCCAGTTAGTTGCATATTTGCTTTACATATAGGGCAGGTATATTCATATGCCGGGTTTTGTTCTTTCTTTTGCCTATACTGTAAAGGTTCTGCATCTGGATCACACATTCCATGTACATACCTAAGAAAATGTCATTACATTAGCATCATAATTCATTATCAAAATTAAGACACTTATTTTTTACTGTTTTGTTTCCTTTAGTTTATCAAAAGATAAATTACGTCTATGCAAAAAAAAACTATACAAAAAAAACTTCAATTACTTTAAAATACTTACTTTATATTCTATTTCTTAAAAAATATAAATATACATGAAAACAAACGGTCACCTGCGACAGGAGGAGCAGCGTATCATGTCGCGGTAGGCGGCGGCGCGGTAGGCGCGGCGGCACAGCGGGCAGCACGAGCCCTTGTTGCGCTGCTGGTAGCACGAGTCGCACACGGTGTAGTGCGCGTGCCAGCGCGACGACGGGCCCGCGCCGGGCGAGCGCGCGCCGCAGTCCGAGCACACGCGGCAGCACTTGCACTTCCACCCGTACTTGGGCACCGTGGCCATCACGGGGCGCAGGCACGTCGCGTGGTACAGCTTGTCGCAGTGCTCGCACGCCACGGCGCGCGCCTCCCCCGCGCCGCCGCCGCCCGCCGCCTCGCCGCGGCACACCTGGCACACGCGGCACGCGCGGCACGACCAGCCCGCGCGCACGCCTGACCGACAAACGTTTTCGTACATACAACATCCACAATAATATTATAAATGCAAAAGTAACTATGTGTCTGTTACCTTTTCCTGCTGCAATCCGCTGAACCGATTTAGATGAAATTTGGTATGGAGATAGTTTGAGACTGTTTTTATCCCGGAAATCATCCTTTAAGGGAGTGAAAAGGGAGGTGGAAGTTAGTAGTGTTTTTTCTATTTCTGAATATATTTAAGAAACAACTTGTAAAACACAGTATAGCAAAACTTTAACGATAGTACCTACTAATATTACACAAAGCGGAAATAAAACGGGGGAAACAAAGAAAAATAATTATTACATTATTTTGCACAACCTGCATGAAAAAAAAATGCAAAATTGCAATCATTATTTACCAGGAAGCTGTTTGAGCCCCACACAAGTGCCATGGTAGTGCGCGCCGCAGGTCACGCACGTCATGAGGTTAGACATGTCGCCGATGGTTCGACAAGTCCTACAGTCTATATCAGCAGTACCTGTAATACATATTAAACAGAAAATAATATTAACAAGTAATTCTTGTTTCAAGATTAATTATAAAAATTAAAAACCAGACTGCATAAAAGTAGTTAGCTTTTATACAGTCGGGTTTTTAAATTTTATAATAAAAATAATTAAATGATGAAAACAAATTGACGTTTTATCCTTGCCACTAGACACACATGTACATAACTGCGTATGTCTCCGACTTTTACCAATTGGACTTTTGAAATTAAATTTTGAATTTTTTTATAGTAAATTACTTTTACACATTAAGTAGTAGTAGTAAGTAAATTGTATATAATTTTGTGATCGCCTCTTAAAATCCTTTATTTTGATACCCCACACAAAATTCTTTTTAAAGACACAAATTGGCGCCCAAATCGGCCATTTTACTTTTTAACTATTTTATATAGCCTGTGACACTCGCGTTGTCAACAAATCAACAAATTTAACGACGTATAAATCATTCAATATCGTTTCTAGAACGCCACATAGAAACAAACATACATACATAGGACTGATAAACACGTTCCCTACAGTGGCATTGTGATATTACATAGCCTATAAACTTCCTTAATAAATAGGTTTTAAATGCAAAAAGATTTTTTTTAAATAGGTCTGGTAGTTCTAGAGATTAACCATACAAACAAAGAAATCAACAAACAATCAAAAAGCAGGAGTATAGATGAAATGAAAAAAGAGTATAAAGCTGAAGTTTGTTTGTTTGGTTGAACACCCTAATTGCAGGAACTACTAATCCGATTTGAAAAATTCTTATTACATTAGATAGATAACCCGTTAACTGAGGAAGGCTATAAGCTATATATCATCCCGGAAAAATGTATAGTTCCCTTTGGGATAGATTTGTTTTCGTCTAGGGATGAACCAGAAGCGAAGCGAGGGTGAGTCGCTAGTGAATATCTAAAAAAAGGAATAAAGCATAATAATAAAATATATTTTTTCTTTTAACATACTCACATACAAGTGGTGCTTGGTATAAATGATCCTTGCAAAAAGAAGATTTAGTTTGAAAATCCATGAAGCCTCCCGAAGCAAGAACACAAGGCAGATGAAAATATTTACTACAACTCATCTGTAACAAATTAATTATTAAATTTAATTTCTTCTTGTTTTTAAATTTCGTACATCCTATGAAAAATATACCCTGATATAATCACTTCAGTGTCTATTGTGTTATTATGCCTTATTTCTCTAAATCAACAGAACAGATCATATGTCATACTAAATCAGAGTTGATCAGAGATATGACCTTTTTGGCTTTGACAATAACATGCCATTTTTATTTAATCTGACATTTTCTAAGTAAAAAAAAAATTATAAACACACATTATGAATGATTTAAATGTTTTATTTTTAAGTCATGAATGCATATACTTTTAAGAATTTGACATCCCCCTTGATGCAAAACGTAAAAATACTAGTCTTATTATTTCAAAAAAGAATAATATAATAAAGATTGGCAATTATTTAAAGGATAATTATAAGAAAATATTTATTTAATATCCCATAATACATAGAACTTTATTCAAATGTTTAGTTGCTTCATTTTATTGGATTATTGTAAAATAGGAATTCAATTTTAATAACCTTATGAGGTAACTATATATTTTACCTTGCATGGTATGCTTGCACCATATCTTTGACAAAAACCACATTTTCTAGCTAAAGCAACAGTAACAATCCCTTTCACTCTTGCCTCTTCTAGTTGCTCTTTATCTTCTTCAGAATTGCATGCAGAGGCCACTTGATCTTGAAATGGTGGGCTAAACTCAAGGCAACAACGATGTAAGTAGAACATTCCCGATGTTACAACAGCAGGCAGTTCCAAAGATTCAGAAAATCCAATTATTGAAAGTTCATCTGTGTGCTCCATGTTATACAGTGGGGTCCTTAAATAAAAAAAACTTTTTTATAAAATAATAACTCTTTTTTAAAGAGATACACCAAATATTTGCATAAATCTAAGAAAGGATTAGGAGGTACACCAACTTTAAAATTACTCAACATGTAACTATTCCAGTTTAGGAGTGATATATCATCCTAAAATTTATATGGATGGTCCTAATTTGAACTATTATATTTATTAAAAAAAAAAACATTTAAATTATAAATTACATACTTCAGTCAAATTTATCAAATAAATACGCTAAAACAAATAACTTGAGCACCTCCTTTTATATAATGTAATTCTTAAATGAAATATTAATATATATATATATACACTGCACTTACTTGCACTTATTAAATGCTTTTTGCCTTCTACTCAGAGGTAAAACTTGTTGTTGAAAGTCTACTAGCTCGGGAGGTGGAGATGTCAAGCCAGCAGATAAAGGTAAGGTTGGTGTACTAGGAGTTGTGACACTTGTAGGTGTTGCACCACCTGAGTTCGTGACACTTGGTGTTGTACTTCCTTCACCTTCAATATTACAAGTGACCTGCCGCATTTCTCCTTGTCCGAGTTGGCTACGCTCACTTAAATTACATAAGGCACAATTTTTTCCTGGCCTATAAAAATAAAAAAATAAGTTAGTCATTTTCTATAGAACAAGTTAAAAACTTATATTAATTCCAAACTATTCTCCTGCATACAATACATATTTACAATAAGCAACATGGCATCCTTAATTATCTAATCACCATTAAATAATATGTATCTTTATATACCATTTTTCTGGAGTGTACGGTGGCTCCTCAGGTGCAGGCATTGTAAAGTCATCTTCATCCATCATATCATCTAAAGCCTCATCACGACTACTACGGTGTCTTTTAGCCCCCCTTACTGAACCTGCATTACTTCTATAGCTAAAAATATAAAACAAAAATTTGTAAAATACTTTTGAAATCATAAGTATATTTAAAAATTAAAATTTAAAAAAAAGCCAATACCGTCTTACTATCTTCCCTTCACGAGCTAATTTGGCGCCTTCCTTACGTGGTCTACCAGGGCCTCTTCTACCTGATGTGAAAAATGGGCGTGTGTATGCTTGGTGGTGAAAAAATGCAGGCTGTGTAACCACAGCCAGCGGAGAGGCCGGTTCTTCGCCCCGCGGCGAAGACGCGCATGATGTTGGTGTAGAAGCAGGACCAACATAGAAATCTGATAAAATTTAATAGCTGTTATTCTAAGAACAACATTAAGAGTCTAATAAAATTAGTAAACAAACACAATGTGACAAAATTTAAAATTTCAGTTGTATAAATATTCAAACAATTAATGTTGCATTAAATTTTAGTACCTGAAGACGGTGGGGCTTCGCATTCTTCATCTGATCCATCGTCAGCTAATAAATCCACATCTAAAACCCCCTCGTCTGGTCCGTCCATCTAAAATTTACATAATTGTTGAGAGTACTTTATGAATAAATAATATAAGAATAAAATCGTTCTTATGAAAAAATATTTACAACTTAAAGTCTAAACATAAAACTTAATGTAATCAGACCGCCATAATGAACGACAAGTGGATAGTCACAAACTCGAAACTAATCATTAAAAACTTACCGCAACTGATTGCGATGGACTTGAAATAAACTAAACTTAAGAAAATGATTTAAAACACGAAAACAAACACATTTTTAATGATTTCATACAAATATAAATAAATGATATTACGAAAGTAGAAGTCTAACATTCGCTTCTATTGCGAATGCGAACGATGCAAAACAGATAATGTAATAAAACAGAAAGCTGAAATCTAGAATCACAGACCATAAAAAGATACTACATATTATACATCGTTTGACCCAGGACCGTCCGTATATTCTAGTTTCATATAATTTTAATGGATTTTTTCCAGGAAACTAGGAAGTATGATAATATCTATTTCTGAACTTGTTGTAATCCTGACCATCAGATAACTTTTCCTAATTCCTATTAGCTTCACAAAGGGAATGTGAATATTCATAATATATCGCTATAACTAATTTTTTTTTTTTTTTTTTATACTATTCAGAATTAGTGCTTGACTACGTTCCACCTGATGGTAAGTGGTAACGCAGTCGTAGATGGTGAGTCGCACTAATTCAGTAGCCACCTATTCACTCTTGCCTTGAAGACACCCATATTATAATCGGACGGAAACACCGACGCAGGCAGGTTGTTCCAATCCTTAGCCGTACGTATAATAAATGACGTAGCGAAACGCTTCGTGCGGACGGGTGGAATGTCCACGACATAAGGATGGAGACCAGCCGTTCGTCGGGTTGTCCGATGATGGAAAGGGGATGGGGGAATTAATTCATGTAGTTCCTGCGCACACTCTCCGAAATGTAACCTATAGAATACACAAAGGCTGGCAACCCTACGTCGGTGATCGAGGCTTTGTAGGTTAGCTTTTACCAGCGTAGGGTCACCTATAAGCCTTTGAGCACGCCTCTCAATCGAGTCCAAGGCTGACAGATGGCATTTCGCAGCACCAGCCCATATGTGGCTACAGTATTCCACACACGACCGGACTTGCGCTTTATATAAAACAAGAAGCTGTCCCGGCGTGAAATACTGTCGGACCTTTGCAAGGATGCCAACTTTCCTCGCAGCTACATTAGCTTTAGACTCGATGAACCGCCCGTAGTTCATGTTGGGGCTGATGTCCATCCCTAACAACTGCAGACGTTCTGTGTATTCCAAAGGCACATTCCGGAAAGTAGGAGTCAAGGTGAAAGGACTCCTTTTAGTGGTGAACAGGCACGCCTGTGTTTTGGTGGCATTGAAACTCACAAGATTGGCATCGCCCCAAGTGGAGACTGTCCTGAGTGTGAGATTCAACCGCTCTACCATGGCCTCTCTTTCGGACTGAATTTGATCTCTACTGGCCCGAGGATTCGGCAGGTATCTCTCTACAATAGTGCTGTCGTCTGCGTACCCATAGATACCGGGTATAAGCAGATCGTTGATATGCAGCAGAAACAAGGTTGCAGAGAGAACAGACCCCTGAGGAACTCCTGAGTTGGTCTTTAAGGGTTGTGATGAACAACCATCAACCACAACTCTGAGTGATCGGTCGCTCAGGAAGTCTTTAATCCAGCCGATCAGGCCAGGAGATATGCCATAGGCTGAAAGCTTATTTATAAGGCTAGCGTGCCAGACCCTGTCAAAAGCCTTTGAGACATCGAGGGAGACGGCAATCGCCTCCCCGCTTCGGTCAATAGTTTCGCCAAAGGTGTGGTTGGCATACACTAGAAGGTCCCCAGTCGACCGATTCCGGCGAAACCCATATTGTCGATCACTGAGGAGATCGTTCTGTTCTAGGTATGCCATAAGACGAGTGTTCAATACACGCTCCATAATCTTGCAGAGTATGGAGGTGATTGAGATCGGACGATAATTGGCAGGGTCAGCACGGCTTCCTTTCTTGGGCACTGGTTGCACATTGGCAAGCTTCCAGGATTTAGGCACTATTCCAGTCTTAAGAGAAAGGCGGTACAGACGTGTCAGTATCGGAGACAACTCGGGAGCACATGTTTTAAGGACTATCGCTGGTATACCATCAGGACCACTGGCTTTATTCACATCTAGACGGCACAATACTCTCTTAACCTCCTTATTAGTAATCGCGATTTCAGGCATTGAGATCCCGCAGTGAGGTAGATGTGGTGGAGTAGCATTGCCAGAGTCTAGACACGAATTTTGGGCAAAAAGAGAGGCAAGCAAAGTCGCCTTTTCCTTTGCCGTATGAGCCAGGGATCCATCAGATTTTACCAGCGGTGGCAGTGAGGGCCGAGAGAAGTTCGTCTCGACAGCTTTGGTAAGGGACCAAAAAGCTCTGCTGCCAGATGGTTGGGCAGAGAGCTTTGCGCCAAAATGTGTAATTCGGTCAAGACGAGCCTTCTTTAATGTCTTTTTGTGGGACTTGGCGGCTAAGTTAAAGGCTCTCTTCTTGGATCTTACATCCGGAGCTTTGCGGTCTCGAGCATCAACCCAGGCAAGGTAAGCCGATTGCTTACGCTTTTCAGCAAAGGTGCATTCGGCATTAAACCATGGGCGAGCTTTGCCACCAACGGGTACATCAGAGAACGGGATAAAATATTCCATCGCTTGATGCACCACATCAGTTATAGCATCCGCACAGCTCGACGGATTGAAAGAAGAGAAGCAGACCTGCCGCCAAGGAAAGGATGCAAAAAAATGTCGCATCTCATCCCAATCTGCTGACTTGTATTGCCATACTCGTCTAACGCCAGTAGAATCGTTATCTGGTGGAGAGTAAGACGATACAGTTTTTACCAGACAGTGGTCAGAGCTACCCAATGGGGATGAAACCTGGATGTTATATCTGTCTGGATCAGTTGTCAGCAGAAGGTCCAGACAATTAGCTGTGTGGCCATCTACATCGGGTACCCTCGTCGCTTGTTCAACCAACTGGGAGAGTCCAAGTGATACCGCAAACTTCCACGCTTCTCTCCCAGCATGGTCCGTCTTCTGGTATGGGAACAGCCAATCTTCATGATGGGCGTTAAAGTCCCCCAGAAAGACAAGCTGCGCGGTGGGGTTCCGTTGCATAGCCACATCAGCGGCCTCACTGAGATATTCAAACAATCGAGTTGTCTCCTGGTCACCTGTGTGCGATCGGTAGACACAGGAATACAGGATCTTTTCGATTCCTGTATCTACGATAACCCAGATCGTAGAAAATGTGTGGTCTTCAAGGTGGCGGAGGCGCTGGAAACAGAGGTCATTTCGCACGTACAAACAGACAATAGTTATTATTCTCAGAAGTTAATGATTTAACAATATCTTTTTGTAATATTGTACCTAAATTAAAAAAAGTGCGTGTGTACACGCGCAAGAAGTGGAACTTCTGTATGTTATTGGAACTTTTTATGAAATTTAATTTGTTTTAAATAATTGGGATAGGAGAGGTACTAATTATTATGGTATTCTTTGAAATATTCATATAATAATTTAAAAAGGAATTTTATCTATTAGATTTATTATATAGATTTTATATATAGATATTAGAGACGCAATTTTTATACTAGCTGCAAGACCTACCCTACCCCAGCCTGCAAATTTATGATATTTGCAATGAAAAAAATACTAATCGATAGATTTTCAATAGCTCAATTTAACTACGTAGCCCTTTCAAATTGCTCACCTTTAATTATTTAATTAAAATTCAATAAAGTCTTTGAAAAAAAAAAAAATTATCTGTATATTCAAACTCCTATATCTTTTGATGTATACAATATTTCAAATTGCTCAAAGTTCTAAAACACTGCTCAAGTTGCATTTGTAATTGCTCAAGTAGAGTTTTTACCAGCTCCACTTTCGCTGATTATTAAATAATTAAAAGTATAGTTGTAATAAATGTAACGTAGGTTAAGTGAGCGTGCGCATGCGCACCGCGCATTGTCGGTCGGCCTCGGCGGGCTTGGACAATCGTTCCAATTCAACGTCTTAATTCTGTTTCTAGTTGAATTTCTTTAAATTTATTGAATTTATGAATTGTTCACATTACGTGATTCCACTTCAGATATTATAACATAAAGAACAGATCTGGAATCTACCAATAAATGAAAATTAATACCAACAGATAAATTAAGACAAAACTTATGTTCAAATGCTTATTCTATTAAGGTAATAGCCATGACAGGGATCATTAGTAAAATGTTATTAACATCAATACAAGACGGAGCTGGTAATAACTCTACTTGAGCAATTACAAATGCAACTTGAGCAGTGTTTTAGAACTTTGAGCAATTTGAAATATTGTATACATCAAAAGATATAGGAGTTTGAATATACAGATAAATTAATTTTTTTTCAAAGACTTTATTGATTTTTAATTAAATAATTAAAGGTGAGCAATTTGAAAGGGCTACGTAGTTAAATTGAGCTATTGAAAATCTATCGATTAGTATTTTTTTCATTGCAAATATCATACATTTGCAGGCTGGGGTAGGGTAGGTAGCTGCAAGTCTTGCTACAAGTACGTATGTTCCGACTGGGTAATACCACACCACAGATTAAGTAATACTATACTAACACTATATTTCTATGTCAACTTATTTTCATCTTTTTAGTTTACTTCTTGTATCCATCTTTTACTGGCACTATTCTTTGGAGTGCTGTTAAAGAAAAAAGATCTATCAAAATGTCCGTCCAATATCCAGCCGCGTAAATTTTGTAGTACTTATATCGAGATTAGTATTAAATGTAGTTGCACATATATCAGACAACTGACAAGAAATATTATGTATGAGTATTGAATAGTCGATAGAACCTACCCAGTTCCTAAAAAGCTAGCTGTATTCTCTCACTGAATTACAATGTTCATTTTTATATAATATATTATAAAACTATTTTGAATATTGGATTATCAGTAATGTAGCAAGTGTACACCTAGCCTTAGATAAACTTATCTGAAACTTATCCGATTACGTGTCAAGAATCCAAGCATAGAGTATATGAATCCAAGATTCAAGAATAATATTTGAAATTTGACATTGATAATTGATTTCAGTTCGGTAGTTTCCCTTGTGTTTTCTTTAAGATTTTGTAAAAATATAAACAATTTAGTACGATAAAATGAAACAGACAGTAATTACTTTAATTATTGCATTATGTTTAATATCAAATTGCAGTACATCATTATTTGAAAGCGATTCATGTTACTCTTTTGGTAGCGGTAATGTTTTTCCCGGCGGCGCTAAAAAAATTGATCACAAATTACAATTCACTAAAGCTATGAGTACGTTTTAACTATATTAAAGGATGCATTAGTAATTCTTATTTTAATGGAATAGTTTAATTGGATTTAATGGAACTCTAATTCACAGTTTCAAAACCGGCCCCTGAGTGGGAGGCGACAGCTGTTATAAATGGAGAAATAACGCAACTCTCTTTATCTAGCTTTAAAGGAAAATATTTAGTCTTCTTCTTTTATCCATTAGATTTGTAAGTATTTGCCATTTATAACATAAGTAAAAATCTTAATGATTTCATTTATATTTTCTTATTAAATACCTTTACTTGCTTTTAAAAGTTATTATATATTTTAGCACTTTTGTATGTCCCACTGAAATTTTGGCGTTTTCGGAAAGAATAGAGGAATTTAAGAAGATAAATACTGAAGTTGTTGCATGTTCAGTTGATTCACATTTTACACATCTTGCTTGGATTAACACTCCACGTAAAGAAGGTGGACTTGGGAAAGTAAACATACCTTTATTGAGTGACTTGACACACTCCATTGCTAAAGACTATGGAGTGTACTTAGAAGACTTAGGACATACATTAAGAGGCTTATTCATAATTGATGATAAAGGAATCTTGAGACAGATCACAATGAATGATCTGCCAGTGGGAAGATCAGTAGATGAAACTCTAAGATTAGTGCAAGCATTCCAATATACTGACAAGCATGGTGAGGTATGCCCAGCTGGGTGGAAGCCAGGGCAGGATACTGTAAGTATATTGTCTATATAAATACTTGCAATTTTCTATTTATTTGGATTCTTAAAATCTAAGAAATAAAGTGTCATCAATATAAAATCTTAGCATTTTTAGAATGTCTCAATATCTATTTTTAATATATCTTTTATATTTGCTATTTGTTGTTGCTTTCAGATTATTCCTACTCCAGAAGAAAAAAGAAAATATTTTGAAAAGGTTGCAGCATGAAATTATAGTTATAATACTAAATAAAATTATTTTTGCTTTATCTAGATAAGTTCATAAACTATTAGGGCAGTACTTTACAATTCAAGACAGATAAATTTCTAATTAAGAGATAAACCTTATGCTCTAAAGATAAGAACAAATTTTTTATATTAAGAAATACATATTTTTATATTTTTTGCTACTTTTGTAACATTTACAATTAGCTTAGTCAGTAAGAGGGTGATCATATTGAACAATAATATTAACTATCACTTTAAACTTTTTTTAATGGTTTTATTTTGTATATAATAAAATAAATCGATATATTTTTAAATACTCAAGTTGTTTAAAAAAGCACAATTATTTTTAGTTAAACTTATCCAGTGTCAAGACTGATACAAGCATTGCATTTTACATTAATATGGGGGTGGTAAGAAAATATATTATATTTTTATATCAGTTCTTTTATTTATTACAATTTAATTAATGTATTATTAGTTGTATATCACATATAGTGAATTAAATTGTGTCCAAATGGCACTCCTAGGAGCCACTGAACATAAGAATTGAATATATTATGAGGATATAAAAAATATATTATAAAAATGAAAAACCTGACTGCATAGAAACTAACTAAAAAGATGAAAACAAGTTGATGAAGGAATATACTATTATGCAGTTGGAGACACACATTTCACCCTTGCCGCGAGATGTATGCACACATATGCAGTCGGGTTTTTTATTTTTATATATTTTTGTTTAGTTACAGCCTTTTAGTTTTTTGCCAATTAGACTTTGAAGTTATCTTTAGCAATTTTTTATCCTCGATTACTTTTTAACATATAAGTTGTATATATTTTTGTAATTGCCTCTTAAAATTCTTTATTTTGATGACATGATTGGTGGAATTTTTTTTTAAAGACAAATTAGCGCCTGAAATCGCCATTTTAATTTTTAATTACCTTTTTATAGCCTATGCGTATATAACACAAGCGTTACCAAGAAGAATCTAACGGCGTATGCATCATAAAAATCTGCCCACGCATGTGGTCTCTAGAGTGCCACAAAGGAACAAACATACATAATGGATACATGTACATTGTATATATACACATTACCCTTCTTTGCGTCGCGCAGTCGGATAAAAATCACTATCAGTTAGCTATTCAACTTCGTTGTTTCTTAAGTTTTTTTTGAAAGGTCAATTATCTTAGTAAAAATAAGTTATTATTATTTTACTCATTCTATTATTATTTTTGTGTATACAAGCGACATATAATAGCATCTTATATATGCATCAGTTTTTATTTTAAATAGATTTTTATTTTAAATAGAATAAAATAGACATTATGTGTGTACTTTAGGAGATAGACACATATTATGCTGTCGCGGACTTTTCTATAAGAATTTTATAATCTTAAACCGCGCGCCGAGCCAACCGCGCGTCGCCACCCGTTCAGCTGAACTTCACGTAATACAATTTCCTAATAATATGTATACATAATTTTGATGAAATGTTAGCCGTTTTGCTGCGAGTAATTAAAAATTTTAAATCTGTGATATCTTCTAAGATATTTATTTTAATGATATGCTGTAAAGAGCAATTTTGATCTATATTAAATGCACGACGTTTCTAAATCTATTTAATTAGATATGGAACTATATTGTTTAACCAAATGATTATACGCTCGACCTACGGGACTTTTGACTTTTCTCGTAGCTGAGGCCGTGGATTGATACTAAATACTTTATAGGCTTGTCTAGTTTGGCCTTAGCCGAACTGATTTTGAGGTATTATTCGACTGTTTAGTACTTATATCCATACTTCAATACTAATATTATAAATGTGAAAGTGTGTTTGTTTGTTTGTCCTTCTGTCACGTCGAAACGGAGTGACAGATTGGCGTGATTTTTGCGTGGAGATAGTTGGAGGGCTGACCGCTGAAGACAGAGAGTGACATAGGCTACTCCTTACCGCAAGAGATTATCTCATTCCCTCGGGAAAACTCATTATAATACAAAACAAAAAAAATATTTATGATCAGAAATACTTCAAACTTAGTATTAATGCTCTTCAATACAATTAAATAAATAGGTGTGTTTCATTTGCATTTTTCTAAATTCATCCCATAAGGGGGTAAAATAGGGGATGAAAGTTTTTATGAAACCTACCTTTTCGAGTTTTTTTTGTGTAGTTTTAGCGCGAGCGAAGCCGCGGGTTCTGCTAGTAGTATTATAATATGATCTGTGATATATGGGACGCGGCTTCCGGAGGAGTGGATGGTATAATGGTATTATAATGTGACAAGCCCGACTTGGATAACAAAGGTTGAGATGTTAGGTGTTTTTTTTTATTTCAAACCCAGGATCACCAATATCATATGTGCTATATATTAATTCAATCAGTTTGGCCTACAGGTCAACTACAGGAAAGCATCCCGTAGACCCGTAGATCGGGCGAATATAAGTCGGATCCAGTGTTTAAAATAGCTTCGTAAAACCCAATATTTTTTAGTAATGCGACAAAAAAAATGTGATTACTGTGGGTTATCCTTGGAAGATATATAACATGGTTCGGGCCATCCGCAGGGCCCAGGGGTGTTGTAGTGTGCGCGCAAGCGATCCTGCAACACCCCATTGCACTGCGGCGAAGGGTTCTGCTGTGGGTTTTAGTGAGTGGAAAATATATAACATCGCGGACATTTCTGTAGACCTTTTTAAGATATATAATTCCGTAGTACATTTTTTATATATCTCGAAAGGTTTAGCCATCGTTAGCAATGTAAGCACCCAAAATATATTTTTCTTACGATATCATCACAATTTTTTCAAATTCTCGGCTTTTCCCTACTATAATAATTTATATGCATGTGTCTATACATAGAAACCTTCCAGAAGAAATTCTCTAAATGGTAATGAAAAGCCTATCAAAATCGTGGTTTAGGAGAAAAATGTAAAACTCAATGAAACAACAGAATAATTGATAGATTGATTCAATAGCGTATTAAGTAGGTTTTTCCTTCAGATACACACATTTTAAAACTAATTGCCATTATTTATGGGTAAAATATATGGACTAAGATTCCGCTGCAAGATTACTACATGTTCATAGCGTATTTAATCAAATTCATTTTTTTATATACAATAATAAAAGGGACAATATATTTTGACCAGGGTGCCTATTAAAATGTGCCCGCTAGTATGTTTAATTAAATAAATAATAGTTGACTTTTTAGAACAAAAACGATGTATTTGAATAGTTCCTACGAGTATATAAGTCCTCTATTGTCGTAAATGTCTAATAGGAACTTTTCATATGTTTCTCGGCTAGCAAATGGTATATCATCGATACTATCATCGTTGGAGAAATCGGGCTTTTGACTTTTTGACGCAAAAATATAAAGTTTCAGAGGGTGAAATAGGTATCGAAAGTTTGTATTCGAACAAATTATTATTTTCCAAGGACCTAAAAAATCGTTAGGTATATTCCATAATTTTGTTAAGAAATAAAGAATATTTCAGCGGTTTTGACCAATGAAGGTAAAGCTGTCCATCTGAAGAAAACACAAAATCCTTCGGATTTGTATTGTTCTTGCGACTGTAAACTGTTTATGTCTCTTCTATGTCTCTATGTCTGTTGACTGTCTATTACAAACAATGTACTAAAACATAGGAAAGTATGATACTGCTATTATTGTGCTACTATTTTGTGCTGGAGCTGGCTGACATTTTGAAAGATGATAATTTTGTAAATAACTAGCGACACACTCTCGCTTCGCTCGGGTTCGTCCCTAGCTTGATTCCCAATGCAAACTTTCATCCCCATTTTCACCCCCTTATGGGATATTTCCGGGATAAAAAGTATCCTATGTAGTATATCCTTCCGAGAGTCTCAAACTGTTTTCTTACCAAATATTCCGCTTTGGAACGACGACTTTGATGTTGAAGTTCTAAAAAATATTTTAATTATCGATTGATTAAATACTTAAGTTTAGATAATTTTCCCTAGGTTATTTTTTTTTTAGATTTTTCTAATTTGTATGTAGGTACCTGCACTATTTCTTCTTATCGTGGATGACAAATAAAACTTCTTATTGTTATGGTGACATATATAACTTTCAAGATATATGTAGCAATTATTATACTCTATGGTCATGAGCCATGACAGATGTCTCGCATGGATGACAAATGACAATTTGACAAATAAAACACGGATGTGATTTGAAAGTTGATAATTGTTAAATATAATAAAGAATAATAAACTAAAAACTTATTTACATATTACATTTATTGTACAGTGTACTGAATGTACATTTTGGTAAATTTTAATAAAAGATTTAACTAAGTATACAGCTGTATGTCTGTTATTCGAATTTCTTCTGTTTTGGCACAATCTGGACTTCATAACTTGTTAAGTTCGGGATACTTTGCAAGTATGTTCTTTTTTATTTTCATATCTTTGTCGACATTTTATCAGTAATAGAACTAGACAAAAATAGCTTATTTTGACTTTGTAACTACTACAATATCTCAATTTAAATTTACTGTTTTTTACCCGTGGTATCTTTTTCAAGGGTCATTAGCGAAGATGGTTGATGCCAAGAGAGTTCTCAGCTATGAGGACATGCTTAAAATTATTCATCAACCAGAGAAAGTAATAATCGATGTTCGTAACCCAGAGGAAGTTACATCAACTGGAAAAATACCTTCCAGCATTAACATACCATGTATGCTATTAAATACCCAGTTTATTTAAAATATTTCTATAGCTTCAATCTATAATAAGCTCTTATTACAGTGCATAATGTCCAAGATGTATTAAAAACTATGTCTGAAGAAGAATTTAAGAAGCAATTCCAGAGACCTAAACCATCTTCTTCAGATGAGCTAATTTTTTATTGTCAATCTGGCAAACGTTCTTCTGAAGCTCTTGACAAAGCATTAAAACTTGGATATAGCAAGTAATTTTCTATATATTATTATTTATTAGAGAAGACAGTTAATACTGGCATAATTCAACAATTTTTATATTAGCATATTTCAGGTTAGCATAGTCATAACTATAGCTTTATAAATTATAATGATGTTAATATTTAAATGTAAAATAGTATAATATTAAAGTCCTTGTCATTGTGGATTGTGCTGGTATAAGTACTTCTCGTATGACAGATTTTAAGTGTAAAACTTATTTTACATTCAATTTAGGGAACTGATTCTATAATTTTGCCAACTAGGTGGCTAGCCAACTGGTTGGTTGGAAAAAGGCAGACTAATTGGCCAACTAGTTGGTTCCTGCCTGTAGGTTATATTTCTTTTAATAATGAATACATAGTGTTTGAAACTGTGATTCAAAAATAAATAATATAATAAACAAGAGATTACATAATTATGTTCTTTGTTCAGAGTTGTAGAAACTTGTTCAAAAAATTTTTTTTCAAGATCTCTCTATGTATATTTCTGTGAAGTGGAGTATAATTCATTTTAATAACAAATGCATCGTTTTGTTCCAAAATTCAATTATTATTCATTTAATTAAACATACTAGCGGGCATATTTTAATAGGCACCCCGATCAAAACATATTGTAGGTACCTTTTATTATTGTATATAAAAAATTGATTTTGCTTAAATATGCTATGAACATAGCAATCTTGCAGCCAGATCTTGATTCATATTCAATTTATTTTATTATCGCATATTTTTTTCAATTAACAAATAAGTGAATAGTTTTAGTAATTAAATTTAATATTTGAAGATAAATTTCTTGTTGAATATTTTTGTAGAAATATTATTGATTTGTTATATATTTTTATTTCATATATAATTTATATGTTTACAGATCCAAGACCTACCTAGGTAGCTGGAATGATTGGTCGAACAAACATAAATAGATGAAAATATTTTTTTAAATGTTTTATTTAATTTTTTAATAAAGCTATGTTAAAGTGTTTTTTTTATATTGTGAAGTTTAATGGAAATATTGACTAGTTAATTAAGTTCTTCTTCCTTTATATTTCATTGTAATGGTTATTGTGTTTTACTTGCCCAGTCTGTCCAACTGCCAAGATAATTTTTCACACTGAAAGGTTTAATTAGCAATTAATTCATTTATTTTTAATTAAAGTTAAAATTATTTCATAATAATCATTTATTGTTCTTACTTTTTAAAGCCTAAATTAATAGCATTTTGTTGTGCCATTCCTGACCTTCTGCCAATCATACAATAAAATATTATTTCTGTTTCCTCTGATGGTTTAGGTAATTTATATAAAGTTTGGAATTCTTTTTCAGTCATTGTGCCAAGAACAGTAGAGACATTACCCACTGAAAAATAAATAATATGTATAGGAATTTAAAGAGATCTATTTAAATTTATAGTTAAGTTCATGTAATGAAAAGGGTATCAATGTGTTTATTTGTTACATACAAGTATTTATTCCAACCTAATGATAAAAAAGTATCTAATAGCATATTTAAGATAATTCAGACCTAACTGTGCCACATTTTCCACTCCTTAGACAATGCTGCTTAAGTCTCTTTATGTGTAAAACTTTACCTCATGAAAGCTGAACATGTTACTTACATGGAATGTTGATGCTATTTGGTATTTTGCCATGTTCTTTTATTTCTTCTGGTTCCCTTACATCAACTATAATGGTTTTTTTATTGTTTGCTGCTTTATTGACATACTCATAATCAACAGTCAATTCTTCAACACTAGGTTGTTTAGAATAAAAACGTTGGAAAATGTATGATTGTCTTGTATGATGATCTCCTAAGGCTAAATGTTAAAAACAATGTAATACTTAAATATAAGTAAATGATCACAATATACCAATATTCATAATATTTTACATTTAAACATACAAAACGAATTAACATTTTTTACTGAAGAATTTATTATTTCTCTTCCTCTGTTCTTTATCAAATGTGCAGAAATTTGTGCAGATCTCTTTAAAATTCCACAGAACATTTTAAAAGCAACGATTTATGTACCTAGCTCTAAATTACGAGTTAGTTTTTGCACAAATTTAATTATTATTAAATCTTGACAAATAATCCAGAACACGAACAAAATTTGTAAGGTAAGTAGGTATTTTTATCGAAGTACGAAGAATATCACAAACGGAGAAATTCGAAATGCTAAAAAAATGACAATAATCATCTGTGATCTGTCAAATACATTGAAATTTGAACTTTCATGTACTAAACTCTAAAGCTTTGTACAGAAGAGTCAATACACAAGAGTATGGCTATCCATCAGATTTCCAGCGAACCGTTAAAAACTCCTTGTATATACGCTACTAGTATTTGGTCTGATCCGGATATCTTGCAATATATAGGCTGACACCGAACATTACTTATTTATCTATGAATATCAAAGTTAATACATTGAAACTGTAATTGTACATTGCACAAAATATACTAATTGTTTTTTGAATAGACTGACTCTAATGGCCGGTTTACACGTGTCAAGTCGTTTAGTAGTTAACTAAATTTTAAGTGACAAATAAGCGTCCAAACGTGTTAAGTGACAAGCCCCGCCCACCAACTAAACCGAAAAAATAGGAAACATTCTAATTTAGTAGATAAGTAGTTAACTTAATTTTAACTTGCAACTTGCTACTAAGTTGTCTGTTTACACGCAAGTAATCACTTAAAATTAAGTTAAAATTTAGTTAACTACTAAACGACTTGACACGTGTAATGGCCGGTTAACTCTAAAGCACGTTTGGATTTTATCTCATTAGTCCTCTATACATATAATGAAATTGTAACCAAGCCGAATCTGTACATTAAATATTTTTTGGAAAATCTTATTGAAATAAACATTATTATCGATACAGAGGCCGAATCTATAGTTTTTAGAATTTTTGTCTGTTTGTCTGTCTCTCTGTTACTGCATCACAGAAAAACCACTGGAGGGATTTTGATGAAATTTGTGATTTGATTTTGATGATGTTTGTCAACATATAGGATACTTTTTACCGCGGGAAAATATCTCATTTCTGAGAAAAAATACAAAACTGCAATGTAAGAATATACTAATATGTAAATCCTAAGAATTTGGTTTTTGGTCATCTGAGCGCGGGCGGAGCCACGGGCAATGCTAGTTACATATAAAAAGGCCCCAGTGAGCGTCTATCTTTCTATATGTATGTCTGTGCACGATTATTTTAAAAAAGTACTAAACGAATTTGAATACGATTTCTGGTATCAATATCTGCAATTCAGCAATATAATCAAATTAATTTGAATCAAATTGCCCTCGTATTCGTATTGACAGTACAGTAGTGAATTGAGTTGAGTCGGTAGGAAAAGCCCTTAAAAATTTGTTTTTTTTTTTATTACCATGCGCTTAAATGATTATATAGTAAAGCAAATTATATTGTCATGTTCACTCACTATTTATTTATGTGTGCTCGTTACTTCATTGCTCTTAAACTGTTGGACGGATTTGGATGAAAAGTATACGGAAGACTATGGGCTTAACTATTTTTCAAGTTACATGGAACTAAATCTATTTACATCTTTATTATTTACTATAAAGCGAGCCACTCGTATTAAAAATAATTTATTTATAGTCTTTCAAAAACAGTCCAATTTAATACCACAAATGCATAGCGTAGCATCTATAAATAATTATGTATCAATATACTCTATGGTAGCATCTCTATGTACAATTTGTGCTTTGTGGATGCAATTGCATAATAATAATAATTTCCAATGTTTATCTATGGTTCTAATGTCATTCTCATTTCTCATTAATATTCGAGAAATAATAAAACAATGCTGCCATTTTATAATATAAATTAATACTGGGAATGACATTAAAAAAATATGTTAATTAGTTAACTCTCTTAAAATTCTAATAAATTAAGCATTTAATACATAATTAGTTTTGTAAGTTTAATTAATTGAATTATTCTGCTCTTACTCTTGACAACAATCAAACAAGTTCTGTGGCTGAAATTAAAAACATACATAGGTACATCTTGACAGCTGGCTCATCACATCTATCACAAATTACTTAATTTCTTTTGAAATATAAAGAAATTTGATTTACCTTCAAATATCGTTGATATTTTTTGATTTTCTGAATGTTGTGAGTTCCTCAAATGAATATTATAACAAATACGTTTGCTTGAATAAGACAGTTATGTTGGTTTTAGTCATGTTACATGGCTGCATTAATCACGACATCGTATTGAGTACATATTCCTCGTTTTTTCTTATTGCAGTCTATTTCTATCCGTGAGAGTGATGTTAATAAACATGGCGATGTAAATTTATTTACAGATGAGTTAAGCATAATATTTTCTTTGAATGACATTATTACAAAACAGAGTGAAATGATTTATAGTTAAAAGTTAGGTAAAGGTCATATTGCAAAAATGGGGTCTATGCGACCAACAGGACGGTTCTTGTCATTTGCTAATAACATTCAAAGAACACAGAAGCAAACAGGTAAGTAATCTTGAAAAAAAATGTCTATTTTTAATGTCAAAGTTTACATGCTTTAGCTATGAATCATTGCTGTTATTATGTATGTATCGTATGAGGACATTCACATATTATATTTTTTATAGTACAATGTCATTATTATAATTTTTTTTTATTTAAGTTTGATTCAAACTTTCTTTTTAAAACTTAACATAAATAAAGTAGGTATAGAATATATGAATCGATTTTTACATTAATTTCAAAGAGTCTACATGCAATTAGCTTGAAAATAAAATGCTTCCAACTATAAGATACATCTCAAAAGAATTGGTAAAAGACTAGTTTCAGTTGAGGTTTTTTTATATTATTATTTTTTACCTTAAAAGTAATTCATAAAATATCTTAATTTAAATATTTAAGTGTCTGTCAAAATAATAGCTTTTTATTAAATGCATATGAAATTATATACTGTACTTATAAGAAAAAGATTGTTTGTTCTGGCTAATCTACAAAATGGCTGGACTGATTTTGACCTGGCTTTCACTGGCAGATAGTTCATATTATAAGGAGTAACTTAGGCTACTTTTATTTAAAAAAAAGAATTATGGCATTGAAAAGAATAAAAGTTATCTAGGGGTGTCCCTATTGAGCAAAGCAAGGGTAAGTTATTAGTAATATATAAAATTTCTAATTTTATTGTCCTTAGTTCCAAGTGGATTCCCTCAAAGTTTATCTGGCAGTGAGACAGATGTATCAACATCAAATGAAAATTTGTCTAGAGAGGAAAGATATGTGGTTCGACATACTGCAAGAGTGGAACCACAGGGCCAAGAGAATCAAAGCCAGTCTAACAACAACAATAGGAATTCCCTAAAGGTAACATTCATTATATACAATAAAGTTAATATAAAAATTCCTATTGTACAGAATAAAATTCTGAAACCTTGTAGAACCACATCACAAATTTAATATTTGTTGCTATGAAACCCTTGGTATAGGAGTCATCAGTCAATTTAATACTTGTCTGATTTAAATAAACATAATTATTAAAGAAAATATTTGTTTTACGACAGGATAATGTTTCAAACAGCAATCGAAATTCTCTCAAAGATTCTGTGGGCGGTGGTAACAGTAATAGAAGTTCCTTGGATGTATCTTCTTCATCATATAATACCCTTATTATCCACAATCAGGATGACTCCTGGTCATCCCGACCGACGCCTATTCGGTAAGGCATTGCATAGACCACCATTTTCCTTACCAACTTTTTTATAATAGAGCTATAAACAGTTTTCTTTTTTAATTATTAGAGAACACGAACGAACAAATAGTGAAGTGAAGCACCCAAATACTCAGTCATCTCCATATCACACATTAAAAAAGAGTGAAGTTGGGAAAAAACCCAGTGGCATTCCACTGCCAAAAATTCATAAAGAACAAACTGTCACAGCTAGTGCTAATTATATTGATATTGGAGGACAGAGGATATATACTAGTCCTCCAGACCACGGTGTTCAGGTTTGTTCCCAAAATATACAAATTAACCATCAATTCTCAGTTGGCCTGTATCTAAATTTATATTCAAACATTACATTTTAGATGACAGTTTATAATATCTTTTAACCAAATTAAGTATTTTTTTTCTTTATGATAAGTAGTTATTTATAATTAATTTATTATAATTAATATATTTCTATTTAAGATCCTATTTTTCTTCTAGGAAATAACTGAAATACCAGATGACTTCCTCAATCAATCATCAGTACTGAAGCACCTAGCGAAAGAAGTAGCGCAGTCTCCAACGCCGCGAGGCCCGACGCCTCCTGCCTCCCCGCACTCCCCCCACTCCCCACACTCCCCACACTCCCCCCACTCCCCACACTCCCCGCATAACACCAGGGCTCCATCAAAGCCTAGAGATGAGAGGAAAGGCAAGGGCTCCAAAGCAAAATTGAGCAAAGAAAAACTTAATTTGTCTAGATCTCAGCCTGATTTGACAAGGTAAGAAAGTTATTTATTATTTTACTTTAAAAGTTGAACTATATTCGTGATTGTGTGTTCACCTTGTGGTGATAGAGTGGCTCATTAGCGTAGCAAGTAGCAACTAAGAACTGAGTAGCACCAAGACATACTGGGAATTTATCTTTTCGTATTTTTTTGCGGATTTATTTTGATTTTTGGTTCCCGACGTTTCAAATGCTTTACAGCAATCATGGTCACAGGTTTTTATTTAAAATGTCAAATATTCGCGTAAATCTAAGAAAGTATTATATACTGGGAATTTATAAAGACTTTTGCATTTGTAATAGTAGTCCAAAATATTTCTTAACTTTAAGGTTGCCTTGGATATGTAGCTTATAACGACAAGGCCATCTGTTGTACGTATTTTCAAGTAGCTATCTAAGTATCTTTCATATAGTGAAATGATAAAAAAATACCTTTATTCAATTAGACTTAATGAGCATTTCAGACGTCGATTTAATTTAAAGATAGTTTAGGTGAAACGTGAGGAAGACCAATAATTTGTAATAAAATCACTAGTGTGGGAGTGCGCGCGGTGCCCGGCGGGTCGGAGTCGAGCGGCTGGTGCAGCGGCGGCGAGGGCTCGCTGGAGGAGCCCGACGACGCCTTCGCCGCCGTGCTCGACGCGCTCGCCGCAGAGAACCACCAGCTCAAGCGGCAGCTGGCCGACGCGTGCGAGCGTGTCGCTAAAACTAATAAGGTGAGCTTTTAATCCATACACATACGAGTTTATTCATGCACAATTTTTGTCACAATCTCACTCTCACTCTCTAGCGTAACTAGACTTTTTTAGCCTTAATGCAAAAAAGTGGAAGTGACCCCCTTTGCTTATTTTGAAGACGAATCTGGTCCGCAGAGACAAATTTTGAACTTCTCATATTTCATTCTCAATTCTCATTCTCATTCACTCTCTTGAGTGAGAATTCAACTAAAAATATTTTATATGGTACTTGCCGTTGACCTAGAATCATGAAATTTGGTAAGAAACAAAAAGGTTTCATGCTACGGAACTCTCAGTGTGTGAGTCAGACTCGCATTTGTACGATTTTTAACCCATGTAGAAGGTTTGTTTGATTTGTTTTAAAAAGTGATAGTTAAGAATTACGTAACAGAAATAGCGTTTTAGTAACTGAGCAGGATGTAGTGTAGAGCGCATTCTTTTGCAAATTGAAATTTCACTTTCAATACCCACTTAAATCATATCGGATTTCTTATTATTAACTTGTTTTTTTTTATCAATTTGGAAACTTCGAAAAAAAATAACGCAATATTTGCTTAAATTGCTAGATGAAGGTTAAATCTTTCTTTAATATATAAATATTTCATGTGACTGTGTTTGTGGTGGCACTCCTCCGAAACGACTTGACCGATTTTAATGATTTGTATATTTGATAGATATGAGAATAGGTCGTAAAGTATTTTCACCCTCCTACCCTATCCCCTATTTTTTAATAACTAAGAGTAAACTCGAGCGGAGCAAGGGTGAGTCGCTAGTTCTATATAAAAGGAACTTGTTATTTCCTATTTGTCTGATTTTTGGTTGTTTATGTTACGTGCAATTAAAATAAATCAAAAAGTACGGTATGTAGTTCATATTGCGTATTTCCACATTGATTATTTAGGTTATCAAAATAAACACCGTCGTTGCATATGTGTTTCATAATTTCTGTTAAAATTATCTTAAATTTTCCAAATATCAAAGATATTTATGAGGTGGTATTTAGTTATGAATAATTCTTGTTCAATGGCAACAACTAATTTTGCTAAGAAGTTTAATGATTAAAGCAGCGAAGCATAAATACCAATTTAAAACAACTTAATGTTTGTGACTTTATTCTTATTCTTAAATATATTAAAAATAGAAAATCTCGAATTGTGTCTTTATTCGTGTTACTTTTATATATTGTCTCACTTTTTAAGTACTCATATAAAGGATAAACATATAGTAGGCCGAACATATTGGCTAGATTCTTAATTCAGACATCATAAAGAACTCCATGTAGCCCTATGAAAATATAATTTAACGTGTACGTAAAGAAGAAATTAAGCCTTGCCTTCCGTTATACTTTAAAGTTAAAAATCCCACAAATATATTAAAAAAAAATATTATCCACACTTCCACACTAATATTATAAATGTGAAAGTGCGTTTGCTTGTTTGTCTGTTTGATCTACTTTCACGTCCAAACGGAGCGACGGATTAGCATGATTTTTCGTTTGAAGATAGTTGGAAGGCTAGAGAGTGACATAGGCTACTTTTTGCCGCGGGAGATTATCTCATTCCCATGGGAAAAGACGTTAAAACCCAACTCAAAGAATTATTTATTGAAACTTGGTATTAATGCTCTTTAATATAATAAAATAAATATTATGTGTTTTAGAATTTTCCGAAATTCATCTCTTATGGTGGTAAAGTAGTGTGTAGTAGAGGATGAAAGTTTGTATGAAACCTACCTTTTTAGAGTTTTTTGTTATAGTTTTACCGCGAGCGAAGCCACGGATTCTGCTAGTAATATAATGTAAAAATTCGCCCTCACAATGTTATTTTTAGTATAGTTTTAATGAATGGGTTAGTTATTTGTATGGGTTATTTACTGATTAGACATTACGCGTGACTTTTTAATCGTTGCTTTGACCGAGTGGCGAGTTTATTGTTTACGCCATAAAAATCATAATATGTTGCTTCTAATATAATATAATAATAGAATATGCCAAAGTATGCTCTTCATCTCATCTTCAAGTTTGCTATAAAATGTAACAAATATGTAATGTATTTCCACATGGTGATATTAATATTTTACAATTATTCGTTAATATTATATTATAAGACAACGGACATGACCTACAACTAGTTGAAACAGAAAAACTTCGTTAATTTCAATTTCATATATTGATTAATTTTGAATTTTTTGCGTTTTCAAAAACTATTTAGGTGACCCAATGTAAGAAGCTGTCTTTTATACGATCGCACAGTTCCTCGTACGTTTAATTTGGTCCGTGAGTAATATTTATTTTTGGTGGTAGTAGCGTCATTCACACGATTTGAATGAAAATCATTGTAAAGTACGTTGTACTGAATCATGCTAATTTTTAGGTGATTTACACGATTCAGACATACATATGTATAAATATACTTATTCAAAATGGTTAAATTTTAAGTTTCATTTGTAATAAATATGTATTACATATTTTTAGTTTATTTCAAACTATCGCTGCTCTGTGATATGCGTTTATCTTACCATGGAATGCTGGTTTGATTTTGTTGGGTAAATGTTTGGTTTCAATATCTCAGCAGAAATAGGAGACTAGAATAAAATTATAATATGTCCTACCTGCTTACCTTAGTAAATATGGTAACGACTATAATACTATAAAATATATATATGTAGTTTATAAATTACATATGAAATATTATCAGAAATAGCATTTAAAAAAATATGCTTCAAAGGTTAGAAATAACACAGTAAAGCAAAATGAATATGTACAATGTACACACATATATAAAATGAAACTTAATCTAACTTTGGTGCACTTAATTTAATTTTCGATATTCTATACAGTTCATGAGGTATACTATGTAAATATCTCGATAAGAAATTTAATGAAAAATAATACTATATGATGAGTGATGACATAACAGTTGGAGGAAGAAGTGGAGAAGGTCCGTACGGCACACGAAGACTTGGTGGGATCATGTGAACGACGTGAGAGACTCGAACGAGCCGCACGAGTTCGCTTGCAAGCGGACTGCAGGCGGCTGCACGAACTTAACCGTGCGCTGAAACAACAGGTTTGTATTCGTTTAATTTTTCGCGATTTAAAAAATTAAAAAAAAAATTTTCTATAGATATAATAAATATATCTATAAATATAATAAAGTTTTAACTGAGTCAAATCTGTAAATTAAATATTTTTTTGGAAATCTTATTGAAAATGAAATGAAAATGAAATATTATCGATACAGAGAACGAATCTATAGTTATTAGAATTTTTGTCTGTCTATCTGTCTGGGATCGCATCGCGAGAAAACCACTGGATAGATTTTGATGAAATTTGGTAATGCTAATAGCTGATTATCCAGGTCAGCGCTAGTAATATATATAATCTAAATAAACTTTTACAAATAACTGACTTGAACAGCCTTGACTAGTAGTGTAATTAAAAATAAATTTTGCGCACGAATTTTTAATATAACTTATATAAGGAATGAGAACGGGTCTCCCTTCAATGCGATTGAGAGGTGATTGGGCCATAGTCTACCAGGCTGGGCAAGTGAGTATGGACTGATTTCATACGTTCTTTGAAATCTAGGTGGATTTTCTCATACATGCAGGATGATGCATTCCTCACGATGTTTTTTCACCGTATAATAAGTTGATATTATATTATAAATGATTCGCGTATAAAAATATCAGAGGAGTGATACCTGGGAATTTGAAACCGTTAGATTTTTCAACCATTTTCAACTCGTGAACAACAGTGAGACGTTGAAATGAGCTAACATAACATATAATACAATATTTGTGTAGTCAAACGAGTATTGTTTGCTATTGCAGGTGGAGCTGTTGTCGCAGGGCGTGCGCGCGGAGGGCGACGGTAGCGACGCGTTGCGCAAGGAACTGCAGAACAGGGAGATGCTCATCGCGCAGCTCATCACACAGAGTGAGTGACCTTGTGAATTGAGTTGAGCTTTAAGATCTTATCCCACTTTGATTGTCGGTTGTCGTTCACTTTGACTACGTTTTAGTGTCAGACACGTATTGTTTTGTGAAAGTTATTTATGAATTTTTGATTCCCCGTACAAAATTTCATCCCCATTTTTACCCCCTTAAGGGATCATTTCCGGGATAAAAATTCCTATGTCCTTCCCAGAGTCTCAAACTATCTTTTTACCAAGTTTCATCTAAACCGGTTCAGTAGTTTCTGAGCCTATTCAGTACAAACAAACGAACAAATAAATCTTTCCTTTTTATAATATTAGTATAGATAATATAAGAAATATATGAATAATATATCTTAAACAACCTTTCTTTCATGCGAACTCTTTTAATGTATCCGTATTATTTACATGTACGATGTATTTACGTATGTGACGTAGTATTTAGCTGACACGATTGAACTGACCAAGACAAAGCGGCAATGCGCTTAGAACGACCATACGTGGTACTGTCGTCCGAGCCCCGTAAATGGGTGAAGTTTCCTAAGTGAGAAACTAAAAATAACATTTTTATACCATATTAAAAAATAAATCATACATATATAAAACATTGGTGGATATTTTTTTAAGATAGTTACAAAAAATACAAGATCCTTAGTCATGGCACGTTACGATGTTGGTCGGTGATGGAACCATGTGGTCACCGTTGATTCATATTATTTTATGCAAAAGATTTTTTTTTCCATCGAAAAACAGTGTTTATGGCCATGTTGGCAAACAGTGTAGAGGACAGAAATCTTATTGCTTTTGATAGTGTAAGCATTATATCAAGAAAAATATGCACTAAGGGTGGATACTGAATTAATAATTATTAACTTATTTTAGTTACTCCTGTAGCTTCTTATTTAAAACTGTTATCTATAGTTGTATTTGATGGTATTTAAAGAATGAAATCGTTATATAATTATGGTCTCCGTTTAAATGTTTTATTTGAGTTATATTAATTAATTTAATACTTTATTCCTTATATATACAGCATACTAAGTATAACTTCTAGTTATAATCAATTTTAATTGGCCAAGTAGGTTTAATTTATTTATTTTCAATTAAATATATTGTGTGTGTATGTTGTGCAATACAGACAAGGAGCTGGCGTGCGCCAAGGAGCGGCAGGAGATAGAGATGGCGGCGCAGCGCGCCACGCTGCAGGAGCAGCGCACGCACATCGACATCCTCGACACGGCGCTCACCAACGCGCAGGCCAACGTCGTGCGCCTCGAGGACGAGGTGACCCACACGCACACACACGCATACGTACACTTTTATGCAGGCAAACATTCTAATTTTATTTAATTACAAGCGACTCACTCTCGCTTCGCTTGGGTTCGTCTTTAGCTTGCTTCCCAATACAAACTTTCATCCCCATTTTCACACCCTTAAGAGATAATTTCCGGGATAAAAAGTATTCTATGTCCTTCCCAGGGTCTCATACTAGCTTCTTACCAAATTTCATCTAAATGGGTTCAGTAAATCCAGAGATTACCTCGCACAATATCACAAACTCACAAACTTTACCTCTTTATAATACCAATATAGATTTTATTAGTATTCGCGTAGCGCAAACAAAGTTCAAACTATGTTGTAGTGTAATCATACAAGAGTATTTTATTTAAATAAACGTCTGTAAACTTTTACCGTATCTTCTGATATGTATAATATGTTGACAAATTAATAATCATATAAATCATATAAGTAATAGTTACTAGCAATGTTAATTACAGTGTTATAATACATCAGTATTGGTGCACTATAATATCTCCTCCTCATTGAGATTGGTCTACGTGAAATCGGATTAGATCGCTTAAATCGGCAAGAGTTCATTATCTTACTAAATATTATAAACGTGAAAGTTTGGAAGGTTGTATGGATGTATGTTTGTTATGCTTTCACGCAAAAACTACTGGACGTATTTTTAATGAAATTTCACAGTAATGTTGTGGGTATACCTATATTATATTAAATAGACATATTGTCTTGTTGGTAGTCTCAACTCTCAGAGGAGGGAATTATAATAAACCAGTCGTTATCCAGAAGTCTTTTCATTTAGACCTCATTAACATCATTCATCAATATCATTTGGTGTCAGGTGTGGGGTACGAACCCATATACATACCATAATGTATAGCTTATACATCAGCACACATAGGCATAAGTCATAAAGATAATACTAGATTGAAATAAGGCTAGTGTACAGTAAGCTCCGGTTGCAGTGCCGGCACGCGAGCGGGTACGTGGAGCGCGTGCTGGGCCTGCAGCGCGCGCTTGCGTCGCTGCAGCAAGCGTCCGACCGCCGCGAGCACACCGAGCGCAAGCTGCGCGCGCAGCTCGAGACCGAGCTGCAGGCGCTCAGGTACTTGTTCTCTTCTTTGTTTCTTTTTGTGATAGCGTCTTATAAATCTTATATGGCTTGATTCCCCATACAAACTGTCAACGCCCTTACCAAATTTCATCTATATCGGTCCATTAGTTTTTGAGTTTATTCGTTACAAACATACAAAATTACAAATCTTTCCTCTTTATAATATTAGCGTAGATGTACTTGTTTATTGAAAGATTAGCGACTCACCCTCGCTTCGCTCGGGTTCGTCCGTCGTCTGTCGTCTAGATACATTATTTTTTTGAGCGGAATACTAATTCTTTTTCTAAAATAAAAAAACTTAAGTTACTCCTTATAACATCAACTACCTGCCAGTGAAAATCCCGTCAAAATTGGCCCAGCTTTTTCGGAGATTAGCCGGTACAAACAGACAGACAGACAAAAAAATTCAAAATTGTGTTTTTCTTATGAATACCGTATATAATTCCATATTATGCATTTATTAAAGAGCTGTTACTTTGACATTACAAACAGACACTTCAATTTTATTTATCTGTATAGATTTATTTATTAGGTTTATTTACAATCACAATAATACACACAAATATCAAGGCATTTATTTAGCAATTTGATGCAAATGATTTTGCGGGTTTCATTTACCTGTATAGATATTGAAAAAAAGTAGGTATCTATTGTAATTCAGTATAGCATCTGTCCGTACAGGAAGCGCGAGTGCTCGTGCGGGGGCGCGGGCGGGGGCGCGGGCGGCGCGGGCGCGGGCGGCGAGGCGGAGCTGCGGCGCGCGCTGCGCGAGCGCGACGAGCGCCTGCTCGCGCTCGAGGGCGAGTGCGCCAAGTGGGAGCAGCGCTACCTGGAGGAGGCCGCGCTGCGCCAGGCCGCCGTCTCCGCCGCCTCCATACCCAAGTACGTGCTGTATGCGCAACATTTATTTATTATTATTAATTCATTAATTAATTCATTCTATTCATGCATTCATTCATCCATTCATTCATTCATGCATTTATTTATTTATTTATAAACCTCTATGTTTTCATGACCATGAAAACATTTAAATTATATTATATAGTCCCTACTTTAATTTTTTTTGAGCGGAAAAAAAATATTGATAATAATAATAACTTGTAATCTTGTATCGTTCATCAGGGATGCCAAAATCGCGGCACTTGAGAAGACATCGGCAGAATCTGAGCGACTGATGGCGGAGGCTCGCAGTGAGAAGATCAGACACATGGACGAGCTGCACCTGGCGCAGAAAAAAGTTGCAGACCTTGAGAGCAGGTACTATCAACATTTTATTTTAAATGGATGAAATTTGGCACACAGATAGATTATAGTCTGGAATAAGACATAGAAAACACAAATGTACGGTTCCCGTGGGATAGGTTTGTTTTTGTTTTCCATATTATGATTTAATTATAAGATTATATTAATATAATACGTAATCTTCACCAAGTGAAAAGTTACATTTTGCAATGGAGTGACTGACGGAAATAAAGTAGAGATAAAAGGTAGTGTATTCTCATAGATTTTGACTAATAAATTATTCCTCTTCAAAAAATCACATGATCTGTTACCACGTTGCTTCACGAAAGAAAAACAAAACAACAATAATTGATAAAAAAAAAATCTTATGGAAAAAAAAGATGTTTTGTGAAATGCTTTCTTTTATCAAGAGTCCTTGTAATGAAAAATAATAATTATTTTTGAAAATATATATTTAATGTTTCTCATAATAAAAGGGTCAAGGAGCTGGAGTCGAAGGTGGCCGAGCGCGATGCAATGATCAAAGTGCTGCAGAAACACACGAGTGCTGCTTCTCTAAGGAATAATTCTAGTCGCGAGGAACTTGGTAAAATATATTTTGATCTTGTTTTTGTTTTATACATATATAAAAAAAAGGTGAATTCGAGTTCTAAGGAATTTAAAAATACGGATGGATAATTTTTACTTTTAGTGCATATAAGGTATTCTGGCAAAAATTGCAAAATTATCTATACATAATCATTCATTTACTATATCATTCGACTGTGATTATATTATTATATTAATAATGAAATGTAGTAATGGAAGCTAAAGTAATATATATATTTATTTGATAGTCAACTAATATGAATGTACAATGTTTCCAGTGGGTCTGTCGTCGGGCGCGTCGTTCTCGAGCGCAGAGGGCGCGGGCGGGTCGGTGGCGGGCCGCTACCGGCACCTCGCGCGTCGCAACTACTCCCCGCACAACGACAACGCGAGCGGTATGCCGGCTTGTTTATTCTAATCTATACTAATATTATAAAGAGGTAAAGTTTGTGACGTTGTAGGGGGTAATCTCTGGATCTACAGAACCGATTTAAATGAAATTTGGTAAGAAAATAATTTTAGACCCTTTTTTTTTTTTTTTAATGTTGGGAAATGCATTTACGCACGAGGTGTGGGACTCACCGGCAAAACCAGTACTACCCACTAAAACCCAACAAAACCTTCCCCCGTCTTAATGGGGCGTCGCAGGATCGCTTACGCATTCAACTACGACGCCCCGACGGCAGGTCTGCCGAAGCAGACCACAACAACCACGGGGTTGCTCCACAGTCCACTCTGCTATCAGAGAAGTACCAGGAGCAACCCGCATGGTACACTGCCCTCCGAAGAGGGCCACCTCCTACCGCCCACCGAAGTGGGCCTCCTCCCTGTGCGTTTCTTGGCTTCGCGCCCGGTTGGGTTGCCGGGCACTACTGAGCCCCCCCACCACGACAAGGTGAACGCACGTTGGGGGGGAAATAATTTTAGACCCTGGGAAGTACATAGGATACTTTTTATCCCGGAAATCATCCCTTAAGGTGGTGAAAATGAGGATGAAATTTTGTATTGGGAAACGTCCTAGGGACGAACCCGAGCGAAGCGAGGGTGAGTCGCTAGTCATATTATAAACGTAAAACAATCATACCAAAACTAAAAGCTACCTCACTAGAGTGTTCTGAGAAAGCCCACTATTGAAAAATGTTCTGTATTGTATTCTTTCTTCTAAAGTCTTTTTTCAAACAAAAATTCTAACCGAAATTCGATTTCAATTGGGAAAACTAGTTTAAAACCGCACACTTAATACTAAAAACATATATATTGGAACAGGATGCGGTTTCGATAGTTCGTCACTGCGGCTAGAAGAGCAGCTTGCAGCGCTGGAGTCGCGCCTGGACCGGCCGCCCGTGCCCGCCGTGAGTTACCTCCCCGACGCGCCGCACGCCCACTCCCCGCACTCCCCTCACTCCCCACACTCCCCCCACGCCCACTCCATACATTCCCCCCACGCTCACTCCCAACACTCCCCCCACTCCTCTCACTCTTCGCACTCATCCCACTCCTCTCACTCGCGTCCGCATGCCAACTATTATTGAGATGGTTTGCTTCAATTACATTTAACGATCAATATCATCGATGAATGCCAATTTGTAGAGATTAAATTGCAAGTGATCGGTCCGGGATCCCTAAGAGAATCCAAGTTTTTTTCCCAGTGTTGGTGCGAATGTATCACTACAATATTTTTAGATTAAACATTCGATCGAACAAACGTTACAAACCGGAAATTTTTTATACGAAATTCAACTCAACTCCACGAGCACAGTTCCTACTTTTCCTATTTCTAAATTATTGCATTTATTGCGGGTCTCACTTTACATAGTGAAAAATAATTATATTTATGTATCATCGTACTAAGCAGTCGTTGTTCCATTTGATAAATCACATTTCCCATATTCCCACATCCACACAAAGACATTCCAATAGTACTGCAGTGACAATAACATTCCTTCAATCGATATTTAAACTATACTTATTTAACTGTGTGTAGCTTTTGTGTTTTGTTCTGTGTGTTTTAGATTGTTTTCATATTTATTTCTAACAATTAGCTTTCTAACTGTGAAAATTTGTTCTTTGTCGGAAACCGAAAATCTATATTATGATAAAAAAATAATATCAAAATTACTAGACTATTTTAAATAAAAAATCCATCTCTACAATTATTTATTATTATAGGATAAAAAAATATTACATTTTTAAAATATGTATATATTTCAGTATTACGAAATATATCCAAAATTGCCTTTTTACAACTAAGTGCCTTATTCGGAAGTTTTACAAAGAATGAACCATAGATTTATATACGAGAATGTCGGTGCCAATATGAATTGTATAGATTTTAAGAATCTCCTGAGATATGAAAATGGAATTAAACTCCACTAGTCGTTTTAATTCATCATTATAATATTATTTGATATTATACATAATACATATACCTATGTCGTCATGTTTTATAATTTTATTAAATTAAATATTTAAAAGTTCAACGAATATCTGGTTAGCAGCTATATTAGTTTTAATGCATTGGTCACAAAAGTACGCCAAAGTTAGAAGTAATAAAACCTTTTGCTCTTTGTATAGTACATATTGAAATAATTTGTAACATTTTCTATATACCTTTATTTCTCTATTCTCGTATTTATTTTAGCTATAATATTATTTTTAAGTATACTGGTTAAGATACGTCTAAGTCTATTGAAATAAATAATTTGCTTATTACTAAGGAGTTGTTATATTATGATAAATTGTTGTTGAATCTTTTTTATCTTTTTGATTTAAAGATAAATATACGATGTATACACATTACATTATGAAATATTTTGTCGATTTTTTAGCACATTTTATAAATATTGTGCCTTTTTCGAAAGCTGTCATTACGAGAATTAATCATTAAGATCTTATAATAAGGGAGTGTACACGATATTTTTTTAAACATTTTTTTTGTATTCATTATATTTTCGACGAAGCATGTTGAATAATAAAAACATGGTTTTGTTTGTTGTAGTTTTAATAGCCATTCCTAATATTAAAAGCTTTGAATTTAGCAAGAATTAACCTACTATTTTTAAGAACTGCTTGGAATCCCGAAATTAAGCCACTTTAATGCTTAGTTTGCCATTAAAATACTTCAAGTAAATATATTTTTATATTGAAATAACCATTTATAACTCTTACTAAAAGTTTTTAAAGCTTCATAATCAACCAGACCTGGCATTGTTTGTGAACGTCCACTGACTTTGTCGCTCTAAATACTTTTTGTTGTTTCGAATGACGTCACTTATAGAAGTAAAGGTTAAAAACAGTGAAATATTTCAAATAACTTATATAACTGTGCAAATTTACTTTAGTGGTAATTAAAAATGATTCTGAGTAAATTTATTATTTATTAATATTATTATTATTATTATATTAATATTTATTATATCAATATTAATAGTTTATATATATTTGATATTGATTATTTGTTAATTAAATCAATTAAAATAATCATTTAAGGATCGTTTACGATGCTATAAGTAAATAAATATATTATGTAGTGTTCGTTCTAAAACGGCGATGTTACAACTTTCTTCAGAGCTGGTTCCGTAATGAGGTAAGAGTGCCTATTTATATTCACGTTTTTTTCTTTCTATTGTCAGCTCATTAACTCTGTAATAACACGATTGCCCAACTAAACATTTCTATTTTTGTTGTTTTGTTAACATTCAATGTTTCAATGAAAAGTTTCCGTTCAAGGTAATTGTTGCGAATTAATACAAAAATTATATATAAGTATGGCAACATGCATATAAATAAAAATAAATTTTTAATTTCGTATACGTTTTCTTAGTTTTTTTTGCATAATTTAAAGTTTATGATTATACTTATTCAACTCAACATATAAATGGTATTCGATTGAGCTAATTTTTCTAGGAAAAGCTAAGAGAAAATACTTTGAAAAGAATTACAAATAAATTCTCAAAAACAACATTTTTTTATATGCTCACGTACGCAATTGCATTGCAATTGTATTCAATTGCAATTGAAATTATATTAGTTCCGCTGAGTTTCTTTCGCCAGTTCTTCTCAGGTCTGAGGCTTTTTCTTTCCGAACTGGTAGTAGACTCATGACGTTCAGTAAAAATTGTAATAATTTAACGCTGAATAAAATATTTTGAATTTGAATATGCCTTAGCGTGGTCTATGCTGCTTCCCCGGTCTGACAACGGTGGGAGGGCGCGGCGGGCGCGGGGAGGAGGCTCTCCTCCTAGAGCGGCAAGGGCGCGCGTCCCAACAAACGCGCTCGTCCAGCTTGCCGCCGCCGCCCTCCGCCCTCCCGCGCCCTCCGAGGAAACCCTCCGCCAGAACCACGCGATATGATAGGCTCGAACATCGAGATGCGAGAAAGGTAACTTAACACTAAGTTTTATTAAATTACTTTATTATATAAGAGAAGAAAGCTTTATATTTTTTACATAGCACTAGCGGCTTACCCTAGCTTTTATTGGAATGAATCGTTTGAGAACGTATAGGAGACAAACAGACAAACATACATTGATTTTTATTTATTATAGTTTATATTCTTTTAGTGATACTTATTTTTTGCAAATATTTAATGTATCAGCCCTTTTTAACGTCCCACTGCTGGGCACGGGCCTCCTTCAATACGAGGGGGATCAGACCATAGTCCACCACGCTGGCGGACTTCACATGTCTTTAGAAAACTTGCTAGGTTCTCTCAAACATACAGGTTTCTTTATGATGTTTTCCTTCACCGTAAGGCAAGTGGTAATCATGTTAGAAATGATTTAGAGAGGTGCGAGACCCGGGATTTGAATCCGCTACACTCGGTTTCCCAAGCGAGCGCGTTACCACTGGGCTACCACGCCATATATTTCATATTGATGAAAAATATATTTTTCACTTTGTTAGTAGTTCTAGTTGTCATTTTTCTAGCCAGGAATCGAGCTGGTTTTTTTAGAAATAGATCTAATTATTATTTTACAAAAAAAAGAAGTAAAGGTTTCTAGATTATATTGAACAAACTCAATTCCCGGTCAAAAAACACAATATTATTATAAAATACATTTTCATAGGATTCAGACGGATCAGGATCTATCGCGTCTACCGCGTCCCGTAGTTCCCCACTCCCCTACGACACGGTGCGCAAGCTTCCATCAGTGCCGACTTCAGCATCTCTCCCTGCTGCCGAGTCGAGGGAGTCTCTCGTAAGACCGCGTGACTCCAGCCTTCCATCTCCTTCCAAACTAGCCGTGTACGCCGCCGCCCGTCGCCGCTCTGCAGAATCCGCCAAAGACAATAATAAACGAACACATCACTATCGAATTCAATTTTAAATAAAAAAAAATTATTACCATGATTTGTTGTAAATAATAGCTATGAAGTAATAAAAGCTATATATAACACTTTCTTTTAAATATTTTATTAATTAAGTTATTATTTAAAGTGTGCTAATGTGAATATTAGAAAGTAGTAGCACAGATTATGTAACATTATTTCGAGTTTAGTATAAGATTCTCTTTTATTGCTCAGAAAGTATGATCGTGGGAAAAAGAATCGAAATTAAATGTATTTAATGGTTTCCACTAATAACATTTTTGATTAAAATCCATTTATTTAATAATAAAAGCAAAAAAAATATCTTCAATTATATATTAAGTACTTTCTTTATATAATTTATCTAATTTCTAAACTTTATTACTTAAATGGAATAAAGAGCTCTACTTCGAAGTCATAGAGACTACAAAATTATTTATTAGGTATTAAATAACGCGTTGTGAATAGATATTTTAATTAAACTTTGTGTAGATACTAGATAGAGTACAAACTGATAAATCTATACGCACAACTTACACACTGCTAACAAATTAACTATTATATATAAGTCGTAATTTTTGTTTCATACAACCTGCCCCATACCACATGTCTGTAGAAAATAGTATATTATCTATATAATTTTCATTTCTTATATAAAAACCAAAGACTGACTTCTTACAGCTAGATTGTAGTTACTATATTTTCATATTATTGCCGCATGTTTCAAATTTTTTTTATATTGTGCACATAAAGTCTATAAATTTAAAAATATAGATAATTACTGAACGATTATATTGTTAATAGGCGAGATATTTAAATATCTGAAACCCTTTTATTGTAAGTATTTTATTTGTGAGTGGGTTTTGTATTATTAATTGATCATTCTGTTTTAAAGCTGAAAGTGCCTAAAAGATACAAAAAGAGATTGAGATCCGGAATTTTTAATCTAAATTAAATATTAAAGAATCGTTGCATCTATTTCACCATGAAATTGTTTGTATGACGATGCAGGTATCGGTTTGACGGATTTTAACTATGAAGTTGGAGATGCATCATTTTCTGTATTAGACCTTTTCTAATACAAAATTATGATTATAAATAACGACAAATTAGATTTTATTGCGACAAAAATTGAGATAAATATACATAATATTTATAATATTAATTATAAAAGTGGCTTTGTTGGCTCCTTCTTTTTTATATTGGAAGGCATTTTGCTCCTAAACTAAGAGTTAGTACTTAGGTACTTAATTCTGCACATAACAAAGTTAAGGGTGGCTATAATATGTTTTTGATGTGTTCATAACTTAGTTTTACTAGAGATAGAATTTTGATTGTGTGGTTGTGTTATTATTTAATGTTAAGAAAAAAGATTTTATTTAAAATTGTTTTTGCTCATTGCATTAGTTCATATTAGAATACAAATATTAAATTAATATTTTATATATTATAATGATAATTATTACTTTGAAGTCGATTTGTAATTATGTTCTTTAAACTAAGTAATCATACCTATTCTTTTAATAATATTAAGAATCGAATATATATTAAGAAAGTGCTATTAGAGGTATAGCTGAATTACCAGTAACTGTCAAAATAAATTCTTTGTGATTTTTACGCTGTTTTGGTATCCAACTTCATACAGAACTCTCAATTATCTAGTCTTATTTCTTATTTGTAATTTTATACATTAACGGAATCAAGAATAAAAGTTTTATTAAAGAGTATTATTTTGTTAAAATATCCAGGACGCCCCTAAAAATAATCGTAGTTTACTATAACTAGTAGGTTTATGAGTTATGACTAGCAAACACAACGCAAAATTCAAGTCCAATATACGAGTACTTATTTAGGTACATCTCTATATTCTCATTTAAAGTTTTCCCTTTACTATTATCGGCCCATAAAATTTGGTACAGGTCGGACAAAATACATGGTTGGACCAAATCTATATTAATATTATAAAGAGGTAAAGTTTGTGAGGTTGAGGTTGTAGGGGGTAATGTCTGGATCTACTAAACAGATTTAGATGAAAGCTATGAAGATAGTTTGAGACCCTGGGAAGGACATAGGATACTTTTTATCCCGGAAATCATGCCTTAAGGGAGTGAAAACGGGGATGAAAATTTGTGTGGGAAATCAACTAGGAACATACCCTAACCATAACGAGGGGTGAGTCGCTAGTCTATAATATAACGTAACGATCTAGTTTTGTCATACGATCGTCGTTTTCAGCAGACAGCAGTGTACTTGCGGCTCGTGGCAAAAATGGATGATACAGCACCGATTATTATTTCAGACGAATTTAGTAATAAAGCTAGAAGACTAAGATGATGGGGATCTATTAAATTTTATTTCCGATGCTATATCCTTGCCCAACTCCTCGGATATACTCGTACGAGGCATCATTCTTCTTATTTTTTCTATAGCAATCCTTTTGTTTGAAGTCTCATAATTGAATGATTTTTATACAATTCAATAATTAGTTGTAAACAAAACAAACTCCTTTTGTTTACGCTTCCATGTATGTCGAACTCAAACACTGGTACCTAATTCAAAGGCTCGTAAGTCGGTCCGTACTACACGGATTCGTGTTACGCTATTGCTCCGTTTGTGCGTGGCTCGCTAGCGTGGACACGCCTTATGATTTATCATTAAGCCAAATTCTCCAAAATGTATTAGAACTATGAGGTAATTAATAATTCCTTTGAGGTTGGATGAAATGTCGAGACAAGATGCAATTTCGGCGAATATATAGATCCGCCTACTACCTAATACGTCTCATTTTTATTATGTAGGCCAATTCATTTTTACCTTGATTTTACTATTAATATAATATGGTAGTTATTTTAGAGATACAAGGTTATATCATTCTATATGTATATTTATTTTGCATTGTACCTTTCTACCTACATGATACAATTAACAAAATAAAATAAATAAATAATCTTAAGGTTTAGAGAAAGTCACCTGAAATAACTAACACGTTTTAAATATTTATGCACTTAAGTAATTTAAATTGTGTTTTTCTTTGATAAAAATCTTAACGGCTTTTTTAACGGCCTTGTCCCTTAGTGCCAGACGTGAAGAAATTTTATAATTATCTAACAGCGTAGGTATATATTGTCTTTTGTCCGATTATTTATAAGGACAATTCAAATTTAATGTTTTTTTTTATATTATTTTTTTGTTACAAAATAGATTTTTATCTATAGATACCTATTATCCATTATATAAGTTTCATGCACAACTGATATTTTTAAATTATTTTTAACGGTGCCTATGAAATGTAGTTACAAAACCCGTAATTTATTTTTAGGTATGTACATCAAATAAGGTCTAACACGTTCAAATTATTTGATACACACGATGATTTGACAAACATTTGAACGTGACAGGGCACATTTTTTATACATAAAGCAAATAACTACCCCATAGGTAAGTATTTTTTTTTTATAATACTTTCTTAGATTTATGCGAATGTTTGACATTATTAAATAAAACTATCTTTTCGGATTATTTCGCGGATTTATTTTGATTTTTGGTTCCCGACGTTTCGAATGCTTTACAGTCTCTCCCGTGACCATGGATGCTGTAAAGCATTCGAAACGTCGGGAACCAAAAATCAAAATAAATCCGCGAAATAATCCGAAAAGATAGTTTTATTTAATACCTAATATTTTTTTTAATATTTATTTCTAAACTACGAAACAATAAGGATTCCTTAGTAGCTTTTATATAATAAATTTTAAAAGTCAGGTGCGTAAAACAAACAACAGAACCAATGGCCTTGATCCTGACATTAGATCAAAGGAGATTGAGAGCGCGCGACCTCGAAGTGAGTTTGCGTAACGATGTCGTACACGGTATACGTACCGGTACATTGTACAATACCGAGCTCTTTGGATGCTGAAATGAGGACATGCAATTTCAACATACTTAATTAATAATGCTTTAAAGTTAATGTACTAAACGATTAGAAATAGCTAGTTCAATTAAACTTATCGTAAGTATTTTTTAAACTTTTTGATATCAACCAAAAATTAAGCTTTTGCTGGTTATAAACTGTTATAATAATACCGAAAAATAGAAAAGGATATATATGTTACAGTCAAAACTATTTTTAATCAGAAGTACTTTTGACTAAAGAGGTTGGTCAAAAGTAGTTTTGACTGCAGGCATTTTTTTTCTAGTCGTTTACGGCGTTGTAATCAATGTTCTAACCTAACCTAGAAAGAAAGAAAGAGTTCTTCCGAGTAACCTTCAACCTACATTACCTTAATTTTTAAGAGTTTTTACCGATATCACTAGTGCCGGATTCAGTCTTAGCACCGCCCGGCGCCCCTGGGCACAGTAAAAAACTGCTATTGACCAAGGACTGCAGTCAAAACTACTTTTGACTAAAAAATAGTTTTGACTGTAACATATATATATATATATATATATATATATATATATATATATATATATATATATATATATATATATCTCAGTGGCGAAGCATCTTATCCCACTACATCTACTCATATTGGTTATACATAGAACATACTGGTTTATGTAATAAGTTTTTATTTAAATATAATATCAATGTATTACGAATTTATATTGTTTATTACGGCACGTACGGACGTACGGCAATACTTTCAAACTAAACAACTTATAGTTTAAGTGGAACATTTTCTTGATTTCACTTAATATAGGTATTTAAATCGCATCTTTACCGTCATAGTACTATAATCAAATATAGTAATTAGTAGCAATTATTAGGCACGGAAAATATTTTAAATTTTAAATTTCCCTGTTTTAAGAATAGGGCGAGATCGCTATAATCTAAGCGGCATCTACATAACTATATACTATGTATGTATCTTTAATTCTTAAATCGTAATAGACAGCTGATTAAAATTTGCATCGTGACCAATAGGTACTAAAGTAATGATTTTGGCTGGATTAAATTTTGTCTTGAAAATAAAAACTTATATATTATTAAAATAGAATATATAGGCTTAGATTTGAT